GAGTGGGCATCCTTGTTTTGTTTCTGACCTTAGAGAAAAGCTTTCAGCTTTTTATCATTGAGTATGTTTTTAGCTGTCTGCTCGTCATATATGCCTTTTATTATGTTATGTTCCCTCTGTACATAATTTGTTGAGTTTTTTTTAAAATCACAAATGGATGTTGAATTTTGTTAAATGCTTTTTCTGCATCTATTGAGACAATCATGATTTTTATCCTTCATTTTGTTAATGTGGTATATCATATTGGTTGATTTGCTGCTATTGAACAATCCTTGCATCCCAGGAAGAAGTCTCATTTAATCATGGTGTATGACCCTTTCAATGTATTGTTGAGTTTGGTATGCTAATATTTGTTGAGGACGTGAAAAGCATTTTAATGACTCTTCTCTGTAAGCCGGGGAGCTTGTGGGAAATGCTAGGTTAAAATGGGCTCCTTATTTCAATAGAGATGTCAGAATCTTGTGGTCGATAGAGCTTAATAGCAAGGCTTTGCAGCTATTAACAACTGGAGACAAATTGGAAACAATAATAGAAGATCTACTATACTCAAAATAGTTTAGTTTACAGAAATCTTTGCTGGTAGCCAGTAAATCATAGGACCCCATGTCCTGAAATTTTGTTGAAAAATTTAACAAAAATGGATGCCAGTATACAACTGATAACAGCCAAACCAGTGTATATTAGCTGAATATCAGCATGGCTTAGGTCCAAATATGTGGGCAACCCACATAGGTCTACTTGATATGTATAACAATAGCAGAAAAGCCTGACTACCACCACCAAGATTGAGTTCCGAGGCCCTCACCAAATTGCCAATCACAGGTATGAATGAAAGATCTCGAAGGTGAAGAACTCTGTAATGTAAGTGTTTCCGACATCTTCCCTTGCGGCTCCGTTTTCAGGTTAACACCAAGAACATCACTAGGCCTTTTGGAAATCATCTGGCCACAGTCTGAACAAATACAAATTTCTGGAGTCTATGAAACCTTTTTGGTCTATGGGACAAAGTACATGCTATAGGAATATATCCATCATCTATTTATTTTTCCAGTGAAGAATTAGAATTGATGTCTTCATCATGTATGGCAGTATCCCCATAGTGCAGTGGTTCTCAACCTTCCTAATGCTGCGACCCTTTAATACAGTTCCTCATGTTGTAATGACCCCCAACCATAAAATTATTTTCGTTGCTACTTCATAACTGTAATTTTGCTACTGTTATGAATCGTAATGTAAATATCTGATATGCAGGATGTATTTTCATTGTTACAAATTGAACATAATTAAAGCATAGTGATTAATCACAAAAACAATATGTAATTATATATGTGTTTTCCGATGGTCTTAGGCGACCCCTGTGAAAGGGTTGTTCAAGGCGACCCACAGGTTGAGAACCGCTGCCATAGTGGATCCCTGATATATAAGAAAGGCCTATTCTGGCAGGAAGTACCATATGCTTTACAGGGATAAATTTCACCATCAAAAGCTTTACAATAAGCAAGGGTGTGATTCTTACCACATCTAGAATTAGCATGATCTTTGGCATGTGCAAAAGACAGATGGACCTTTAAGAATGACAGCTGCGCCCAGCCAGTGTGGTTCAGTAGTTGAGCATCAACTTATGAACCAGGTCACGGTTCGATTCCCAGTCAGGGCTCCATCCCCAGTTGGTGGAAGGGTGCAGGAGGCAGGCAATCAATGATTCTCTCTTATCATTGATGTTTCTATCTCTCCCTCTTTCTTCCTCTCTGAAATCAATAAAATATGTATATTTTTAAAAAACAAAAGTAAAAGCTATTAAAAAAAGGATGACAGCTGCTGTGAGACAATTTCTTTCTTGGAGCAAATCAGTAGGTAGATGTTCATTTGTCTACTGCTTTTTTGTTTGTTTCTCCTTTATTCCAGTAAGCAGAGGGCCCGAAGCAGTTTGTGCTATCAACAAGCAACATTATATATTGCCTTTTGTCAAGGTTTCATTAATTCTCTGATACTGTCCCAGAGTATAGTCCTTGTTACCAGACCTTGATCATCTTACCATTGTATGGTGCACAAGCTGGTCTAACACATTGGTGATGCTGTGCTCACAGGACCTGAGATAATGGGTAGATTAATCCAAAGAAAGCATAAGAGCCTCAGCCAAGATTGTGGAGGTCCAGTGTCTGGTGCGTGTTGGAATGTCCCCTCCAAATTGTATACTTTGTTCCACCAATGACTAAGGAGGAGCCTCAGTGTTTGTTGGGCTTCTTTGAATTTTGTGTCCACTACTCAAACCCATTTATGGGTGGTCCACATGCTTCTAGCTTTAACTGGTCGAAGGAAAAGAAAGGCCTCTCCCTCTGCTGCTGGCTGCAGTGCCTTCTGAAGGGAGATAGAATGGGCTCAGTTTTGAGGCAGATCAGAATTCTGTATTAAACCAGGATTTTTGAGCAAACCATGCTTGCCCTCTTCAGAAAGTACCTATTCTTTCAACTTACCATGGGGCTACTTGAGATAAAAGCAAATGAAAGAAAACCGTGAAGACTTCAGATAGGCTCCCTCGGGGCCTTCTCAAGTTCTCAGAAGGGATGGGTGGCATGTAAGCTGTCATACCTGGAAACATGCTCACAGAGAACGTATTTGTAATTTAATATGGGGATGTGTTAGGGTCCTTTAAGTCACCTGGCCCACTCCTCAGTCCATTATACACGTATCCTCAGCACTTGGCCTGACACATAGACCAAAAAGGAACAAAAAGCAAATAACATCCTTGGAGAAATATTGATTTAATCAGTTTTTAAAAAGACACTGCAACATTTATAATGAGCATTCTTTGCAAATAACCATTAAAAAATTTAAGGTATGTATACAGTATCAGGATTCTTGTTACAAATAATGGAGACTGGTTCTTTCAAGAAAAAAAGAACATTGGATAGCTCAAAGGAGGTTAACCAAGCATTCAGTAGGTCAGAAATGAGGGTGGCGCTATGGATTTAAGCAGCAAGAGATCAAAACTTCTTTTATAGAAAGTTTCCAATGAGCGACTTGGTTTCATTCATTTTCCCAAACCATTTAGAGAAGGGGCAGTTCCCCAAAGAGCAAGCTTTCTGTTCAGGAAATAGGAGGCACTTGTCTGTAACCAGTGGATTGCTGCACACACACAGAGCTCACCGGGATCAAAAGTCCCTATGTGAGAAGTGAGACCTCTGTTGAGAAGTAGCTGCTGGTATGTGTGTGTGTGGGTGGGGGGCAAGGGGGGGCAGGGTGCTATGTGCTTTTATCAAGCTGACTAAACAAAACCAGCAGTCTACTGTACATAGAGAGCTGAGCTGTGAATGTTCATATATGTATTTTTTTCTAGAAAACCTATACTCCCATAATTTATGTTATTAGTGCTTCTGATAGGAATAAAGTATTGCCACATGCTCATATTGGGCATGTAAAAGTTGGCTCTGAAAAATTACCATCAGAAATAGCTACAGAAGCAGGAAAGGTTTCATAAGCTAGAATTTATTCCTTTGAGTTCTGTTTTTGTTTCATATTTTGGTTCTTTAAGCTTGTTTATCTGTCACTACTTTTGCCAATTTAATCAGAAAAATTGCTGAGTGGTTTGGGCATATATTAGGTGCTTGGTACATATTGTCTCATTTCAAAGGAAGAAAATTAATGGAGTTATATCTCTTTGGAGCCTAAAAACGTGTGAAAACTAATTATACTTATTGATGGTTTGGGGGAGATTGTATGGGAAATGCTACATGAAGTTGTTTTCAGTCCATGTAAGCCTTACTTCTTCCCTTCGTTTATAAGAAAAGCATGAGGCTCCAGTCTGAATCCCAGCTACATCCCAGGCTAGGACAGGTAAGCTGACGATCTGGCAAGGCAGGCCCAGGGCAGAGCCTCCTAGGTGTGCCCTGAAACTCATTCTGAGCTAAGAGCATTGGTAGAACAGAGTGGACCCAGTTCCAAGGCTTCAAGGTCAGGACACTCAGCTTAGTGCCTGGTCAGTCTATTCTGTTTGTCCTCACCCTGGCCCAAGGACATGTGTCTGCATCTTAGACATGGAGTGTACAACCAGAATGAACTGTTATCAAAATGCCTGTAAGCCCCTCAGCACATGCAGCAGTGATTGGCATCTAACAACGTATGGCAATACGGGGAGTGAGGCATTCCCCCCAAGTTTCTAAATCTCAGCATCCAGCTTTGGCATCCTGAGGGGACTGTGGTCTCAGTGGGGTGCTTGGGACGCAGCAGGAGAATGAAATGCTCCTTGAGAAAGGCAGAGACCATGGAAAGCAGAGGCAGTTCAGGGTACCCTTTAACACAGAGACTCCCAGAAATTCTTGGAGGGGCAGATACTTTGTAATGAAAAAGTTTGGCAAGTGCCAATTTAATAGGAGTTATTGAAATAAACTCTCATTTTGAAAAAGGCTGGTGAAGCTTGGAATTTTCAGGAGAGATGACAATGACTTACCACCAAAATGTAGAGCTCAATTTTTCCCCAGAAAGGTAATGGTCCACAGGCATCCACACTGGTCCTCTCAACACTCTGGCCCTGACACATGGTCACAGATGGCCAGTGGGCATCACCTGATGAACACTTTGTAGACAAGAAATCATATCTTTTTTTGTGGCTAAGAACTGAACTAAGAATATTGATTGTATCGTTCTCTTTAGTATCATTAATCAACTGATGCAAACAGCCAAACAGCACATGTCCTCTTCATTACTCTTGAGACTTCTGATTCCTCTGCCATTACAGATAGGCTCCAGTTTTACTGAAAGAAAAATCTCAAAATCGGGGGTTTAAAATAAAGTAAGAAATGTAGTAAACATGCTCTGTCTTTGTTCTCATTTTAAACCTGATTTAGAATTCATCCCTAATAATGAAAGAAAGTGTGGTGTGCCATCTGGATACTAGCATCGCGAAAGGGAGAGATGTTATTCTTATTTGTGAATTCAAAGCTGCAGTTGGACTATTGACATTAACTATGGGCTTTGGACTCCTCTTTAATCAAATCAGCTTCCCCAGTTAAATTGACTGCTTTTATTAAGTTACAATTAAATAGCTTCCAGTTAATACAAGAACATGGACATAACATCACAAGTGCACTGCTGTCAAGTTATAAGGCCTGTGTAAAAATTCTGCAGCCAGGTTATTCACAGGGACACTAAACAGCCACCAGCCTGTTTATTTTGGTTTTATTAACAGAGATACTGACTTGGTGAGATTACAAGCATAGGCCTTTTAATATTAATAGCTTCCTAGGAATCTGAATTTTTGCTTTCAATGCCAAATAATATCTGGAAAACATGCTCACTTTTGTGTTTTTTTAGAAATTCTAAGAACTGGCCCAGATTCATGTGATAGTCATTCCTTAATCCGTAGTCACCATGGGCCTCAAGGAGTAATTCTTCAAAAGAATGGAAGAGTCTCAGATCCTCCCCATTTCCTTCGGTTTCGATACTTTCAGCATGCTTACAGGAAATGTGTTTCCAATTGGGATACCTGATCGTGTGCCAGAACTCCTCACAGTGCTCTTTGAAGCCTTCCACACAGATTATACCAGGCTTTCCTGTCATACAAAATCCAGTCACATCTAACCTTTTCCCAGCATCCAAAATCTTCTTCCTTAGGTCCTGCTGATATATGTGGTGGCTGTAGATCCACATTCGGAGAAATATGTTCTTGACCGGCTTTGCTTGTATAGATGGTTCATAAACAAGCTTTCTGTTCAGGAAATAGGAGGCACCGTGGTCCTGTAACCACTGGATTGCTGCACACACACAGAGCTCACCTGGGTCAAAAGTCCCTATGTAAGAAGTGAGACCTCTGTTGAGAAGTAGCTGCTGTTGTCTGTCAAGCTCAGATGACCGTCCAAACAGCTGCAATGCTACATAGGGATAGCTGTGAGGCATGGTTACTTGCAAATCAATTTTCACCTTAAAGTGGAAATCAAATAGATTTAAGTACCATAAAATCACCTAAGCTAGTTTATCAGTAGCAACTGCATGATTTTATGAAGGATAATAGTTATTGCTACTATTGGCATCTGTGTGCCAGACACTGTACTAAGTACTTTACACTATTCCTTCCATTTATACATTCATTTATCCCAGTATTAATCAAACACCTAACCATGTGCCAGGTACCCTATGCTAGAATAAAGAAGCGAAGACACCATTTCTACCCTGGTGAAGTCTACAGCCTAGTGAAGGAGACAGACATTAAACAAATAATTATGCATAGCAAGTATTGAATTTCAGTGGTGAGAAGCATTACCATGGAAGAGTACAGGGACCCAATGAAATGCGTAAACAGGGGGACTGAATCCAGTCTGGGGAACCAAGACATCTCCTTGGGGGAATGACAAAGGATGAGCAGGAAATAGAAGAGTGGCTCTCAAGTGCCTGGTCTACTTATTACCTGTGCTATGCTAATGCTGGAGATAAGTGGGTCAGAAGAAGAAGGTAAATTCATTTTTAGTGTTTAGATTTCTATCTATTTGCTTTCTGTGTTAAAGTACCACCAAAGAAACAGCCATTCACCCCTTAAAAGCCAGTTTGGCTAAAGGCCACATTTATATTTGTGAAAATCACATATGTACAAGAGAACCTATACATAATAGTTGGATTGGTAAAAAACTGGATGACTGAGCAGAAGAATAATGGTAGTGAAATGTTTTTTAGTAAAAAACAATACTAGGTATATTTGTTAAAAGGTGTGCATGTTCATGTAAAATTCAGGATGTTTACTGAAGACAATTTACAGGGCACCCGTATTTTACGTATTTTGCTTTCAAACAAGGAATGGAAATATCCTGTAATATCTTGTTTGTTTCTTCAAACTGAAAGCTCATGTTACAAGTGTTTCCAATAAAAACGAGGGACCTGGTAATTAAAACAACTCGAGGCACTTACCTTGGGCTCCTCAATCTGGAGTGTAATCACAAATTCAATTTTTGGTGGCAGCGCCTCCCTTGTGCCTTCCAGGTATCTTTTTATAGTCGTCAGCGCGTTTACATCTTCCAGTTTCACTTCTCCTTGGTTGGGAAACATAGACAACAGCATTTCCATCTCCAGCAGCTGGAGCTGCAGGCACTCTTGGACTGAAGCGGAGGACATGTTGCCTAGAAATCAACCTGCCAGGAAAACTGGAGAGGCCCAGGGACACTGGGTTTGTCAGTCCGCAGTGCCCAGCGAAATCTCCCCACGTTCCCTTTGCGCGGGAGCAGTTTTGCAGGAACACTGGACACTGAGAGCTGGGGGCACACACCGGGACACTTACACTTTTCTGCTTTACCTCCTGGATCCAAAATCTAGCATGTAAGCATCCCCAAGGCACTTCCTTAGAATTCAGATTCCCAGTCCCCCCCCCCCCCCACCCCCGCTTCCGATCTGGATCCGGGGATGTGGACTTCCAACAAGTGTTCCCAATTATTCCGTTGCAGGTGGTTGGCAAAAACCTGGGGATGACAGAAGCCTGGATTTGGGGGGAAGGCAAGGGGCCCAGCGGAATCCTCCCAGGTCCCCGGCGTGGCCGGAGCTGGACTCTGCGGGCAGGGAGCCCCGCAGTGCCGGGGGGGGGGGGGGGGCGAGCTTTGGTTCCCCGGCTCTGGGGTCTCGTGGGCCCAGCCGCCCCCAACGTCAGAAGTCGTCCCTCCGCCTCAGCGCCCAGGGCCCCTCCCGGGTGGTCCTTTCCGCCTCTCCCGAGAGCCAGCCGGCCCGGGGCGGCGTCAGAGAGCTCCGGACGATTTGGACCATTTGCCTCTGCCCCGAGGGGTCTAAGTTGAGCGAAGCGGGGAATGGGAGGAGGGATCCTACAGTTACATAAATAAAATGAGGTTTAGTGTCAACCTGGGCGGAGGCCCAAGAAGGCTTCCCGGAATCCAGAGGTTTGGGAGATGAACCCCGAGCATGGAGAAGCGGTGCGGGATATCAGGTGCCTGTCCCTGGGACCGAGGCCACCTTGTCAGAGGCTCAAATCGGCGCTGGCATCCCCCATCCGGACCCTAGGATTCCCAGCTTCCTACAGACACAGGATCTACACCCCCCCAGACCCAAATTTGGAGGCGGGGCTGGGTATGTTCTGGCCGCAGTGCTCGGACGGCTCGCGACCCTCGGCTGCAAACCCCGGGCCCCCGCGGAGGCCTCACCCTTCCTGGTCATTCAGGGGACTCTGCCCCCAGCCCGCACCGACCCCGGATCCGCAGTTCCTGCAGGCGCTGGCAGCGCGCGGGCGGCGGGGCGGGGCCAGCGAACCCTCCCCGCCGTGATTGGCCGGGGGGCGTGGCGACGTGCCGGAAGTCACGCAGGGCCACGTCTGCGGGTTCCAAGAGCGCCCGGGTGGTACCAGGCGAGCCGCGAGGCAGCTTCTCCGCTGGGCGCGGGCGCGGGCGCGGGCGAGTCTTCTGGCCGAGGTGAGGGGGCTCCGAGGCTGGGCGGCGGCGAGAGGGCACGTTCCGGTCCACGGGGCTTCGGCCGACCGCGGGCTGGCGGGTGGGTTAACGGTCTGACCGACCTGCTGCGCGCGGGACACACCCACCCGCCACTGTGCCTGGGAGCGGGCGGGCCGGCCCGAGGGTCCCTTGCGGGGCGGCGCGCCCACGGGCCTGGGCGGGGGTCTCGGGGCCTCGGGCCGGAGGGGAAGGGAACAGCCCGGGTGCTGACGATGGAATGGGGGGTGGGGGCGGGGACACGCTTAACTTTTTCAGAGCGGACCCTGGACTTGGAAGTACTTTTAACAAAAGCGTTCACGTACCCATTCAAAGTCGTTTCAGCACGTGAAACGCATGAAGGGGTGGACGCATCTTTAATAATAACAAAAAGACTTTTTGGACTTACAGGGCTGGTTTACGCCCTATGAATAACCGTGACACATTACCCACGGGTCAGTTTTTAACAAAACGTGGTCATGCTTGGGAAAGAGGTTTGATCACTTTGGACGGGACTAAGTCAGCTTGGCGAGCGCCAGCTTTCTTCCAACCGAACGAAACATTTTCCTCCATTTCCTTTAACTTTTGTTCATTGAAGCAATTAAGGGCAATAAAGGAAACAAGATACAGGCACACCTCATTTCAGAGCGCTGCACAGCTGTGTTTTACAAATGGAAGGCAAGGTCCTCCACCGGCCGAAGGTTGACGGGCTTTGCTGGCGGTGCTCGCCCACCGCGGCTGCTGGAGGCGGCCCGCACCTGCCAGGTTTGCCCGGGAGGCTGGCAGCTGGGGGGCTGCTGCTCCTCTCATGGCTGATTGGAAGGGGGGCTGACCCAGGGACTGAGCAGTGCACACAGCTGAGGCGGGGAGCCCCAAGTTCCACCGGGAATGGGACTATCCCAGAGGAGGACGTGGCCAAGTGGACTAAGAAAAGTTAGAGGGCTAAGGGCCAATGTTTGATTTTTTAAAATTAAAGGTAAAAGGAAGATGTTGTTAGTTTCAGAGCTTCCTTCCTTTCCTTCCTTCCTTCCTTCCTTCCTTCCTTCCTTCCTTCCTTCCTTCCTTCCTTCCTTCCTTCCCTCCCTCCTTCTCCAAGGATATGTTCATTAATTTGAGAGAGAGGGAGGAAGGGGGAGAGAAACATCAGTTGCCTCCCATATGCACCCAACAGGATGGAAACGGCAACCTAGCTGTGTGCCCTGAGCAGAATCAAACCCTAACCCTTTTTGGTGTGTGGGAGGGTGCTCCAACCAAGGGAGCCACCTGGCTGGGCCAGAGTTTAACTTAGAAGTGTGTCCTGGAACCACCCCCTGTAAGGTATTGGAGAGGAAGGAGACTGTTACCCTTTGTTTCTCATCTGGGAATAGTCTCTGTAGGCTCGGAAGAATTACAAAAGAACCGCACAGATTTCCCACATGCTCTGGGTATGTAGGTCCAGTCCCCTTGAGAGTACGGCCTTGGGCTTTAGGGTCATCAGTTACCCATCGTAAATTTAGCTCATTTAACTGAGGCCCAGGCCTAAGCTGTTCCACTTGTAAAATGAGGTGATTTTTGATCTTGTAGGAGTCTAGGAATCTTGCTGTGGAATCTTCATTTTAGTTGAGAGTGGACCATTTTAAATTCAACCCAAGTCCAGGGATATCCCTAGAGCCAAAATGGGAGATGAGTTGTGAGATAAACTGACCCCTGCCCTGGAGTGGACAATATAATTGGGGCAAGATTTTCTAGGTACTACCAACTCCCAGGACTTGTTCTGTCATTCTTTTCTCTCTTAAAAAATGGTTCTTTGGCCCTAACCGGTTTGGCTCAGTGGATAGAGCGTCAGCCTGTGGACTGAAAGGTCCCAGGTTCGATTCCGGTCAAGGGCATGTACCTTGGTTTCGGGCACATCCCCAGTAGGAGGTGTGCAGGAGGCAGCTGATCGATGTTTCTCTTTCATCGATGTTTCTAACTCTCTGCCCCTCTCCTTTCCTCTCTGTAAAAAATAAATAAAATGTATTTTTTAAAAAATGGTTCTTTGGGGAGGTTCAAAATGAGGCATGCCTATTTGGGGTGGCAGTTTTTGAAGCAAATGGTCCTTGAAAGATTTCTTAATATGCCTGAAAAATATTCCTTAATTTTGTAGACATGGATTTAGATGCTGTTACAAAACACTCAGCATTACATGCCAAGCCCAGTGGACTCATTCTTCAATATGGGACTGCGGGATTTCGAACAAAAGCAGAACATCTTGATCATGTCATGTTTCGCATGGGATTATTAGCTGTTCTGCGGTCAAAACAGACAAAATCTACAATAGGAGTCATGGTAACAGCATCACACAATCCTGAGGTAATGCATTTAGTTCTCTGATCAAGCAAACCTTTATTTACAAGACCAAACCTTAATGTGTTGAGCAGTTTGACCTAGTGTTCAAATTCTAATTCTAGGAATGGGCCATCACGTCGTTTTGTGCCTTTGGATGTGAAATAGCTTTTTCTTAATGAGTGGTCATATGGCTCATGATTCATTAGAGGGTGTGGAGAGAATGAAATGAGACTGTTATTTTTGGGGGGAGTGTCCACATTAGAGAAATAACAGAATGTCCTTCCAAATTAGTTGCCACAGTATCAGTAATAAAAAAATCCTACCTCTGTTAATTTAACAGAAATTAGAGAGATTAGAAGTAAGGTGGGGAAAGGGCAAAAGTTTGCAAAGACAGTACATTTTGAAATTTTTCAGACAGGTTTTTTTAATAGCTAGGGAATAGTTTCTTTTTCTGAAGAAATAGCCAAACAGGAGGCTCCAGGGATCCAAAAGTGAGCTCTGGACAAAATGTTGATGAGGCTCATGGTGTTGGTGTTTATGACAAGTTTTTATCAAAGGAGTGGAAGCCTGGTGTATGGATTCGTGCACATTGAAAGGAAATTAATTAGGAGGTGGCACCTGGGGTGGTGCTGGGGCTCAAAGGGTGTCTGTGAAGTGAGCAGGGTCCCTCCGGCAGGTGGGGTCCCTGGGCCTGGCCTGCGGGGTTAGGCTAAAACCAGCAGTCCGACACCCCCTGAGGGGTCCCAAAGTTCGAGATGGCACTCTGCAAAGTTGCTGTGGCTCTGCAGATCCTGTGTTGAGCATCTGCCCCCCTGGTGGTCAATGTGCATCATAGCTACCCGCGAGTCACTTAGCCTTTTATAAATATAGATTCCTTTTGATACAACTAAACTTATTCTGTGGCTCACTAATACGGGTGGGGTAAAAACAGTTGTGAGTATGCGAAACACAATTTATTCTTGTATTATTATTTATTAATTATTGTATTATTTCCCATATGAACAACTGTAGACCTACTTTTGCCCCACCATGTACATGATTTGAATAATATGCTTCTGTTTGGTTACTATGGCCTGAGATTTTTGCCTTTGTAGCTAAATCAAAAGTAAGTTAAAGCTATGTAGGATTGTAACCTCTTCCCCCAAAACACGAGGACTTTGCTTGTCCAACTTCTAAATGTGCATTATTATAAATGCATGTCTAAATTTCTGTAATTTATTAATGATCTGTAGGCAGAACCTCATATTTATTGCATTTCTTAAAACAATTCTGAGCTGCTTCCTTCAGTTGACATTCACTCTAAACCAGCAATCGCCAACCTTTCGGACCTTACGGACCACTAGTGGTCTGCGGACCACCGGTTGGCGACCGCTGCTCTAAACTGTACTTTTTTTCCACCAGAAATTTGAGCAGGACAGAATTAGGAGTCAGTTTTCAGCTTCTGCGCCACCCACTGGTTGACACACTGGCCAGGATGTGCTTAGAATCGAAAGTAATAGTGAGGAGGAGTTCTAGGCCCTCACTCTGCTCCAGCTGTGCCTTAGTTAACGGGTGGTTAAAGCACAGATGGCAGCCATTTAAAGCTAGTGTAGTCTATTGGGTGAAAGAGTCAGATGGACTTAATGTTTTACTATCAGCACTGACAGTTCTTGGCTGTATGAACATAAGCAAATAACTTGATCTGAATCTTCGTTTTGTCAGATTAGAATAATAATGGGATCATTAGGTTGGTGTGTGGGGTCATGAAGATCTACTGAGCTAATGAGTACAAAACACCTAGTCTAGGGCCTGGCATTCAGTAAGGGTCACTGGTGAAGCTCTCAGCCATCACTGTCTTTTGTTGGGAAAAAGCATCTGGAGTTTACTTCCTCAGCTCACCCTTTTGAAGATGCACAGATGCTCATGTGCTATACAAATAGTTGAAGGTTAATAACTAAGACTTTTTACATTCTTAAATAAACATTATTCATTACCCACTTTATTGAATATATGCTATGGCTCTTCCCTTATGTTTGAAATACTAGCAGGTGAAAGAATACATGGTTGTTTATAAATAAAAAGTTTTTACCATAAAAAAAAAGATGCACAGATGGCTTATCAATTGTTTTTCTTTTAAGGAAGACAATGGTGTCAAATTGGTTGATCCTTTGGGTGAAATGCTGGCACCTTCCTGGGAGGAACACGCTACCTGTTTGGCAAATGCTGAGGAGCAAGATGTGCAGAGAGTGCTGCTGGACATCAGCGAGAAAGCTGCCGTGGATCTGCAGCAAGACGCCTTCGTCGTGATTGGTAGAGATACCAGGTGACCATTGAGTTAGTGGTGCAAGCAGCTTTGAGAACTCAGTATAAGTGATTGTAACAGTTTTGGTACCATGATAAATGGAAAGAAAGACAGAACTGCCCCGGGAGGCTTCTCCCCTACCTGGCCTTTGTAGGAGACACAGGAACTAAGTCAGCACTGCAGCTTGGGTTTTGGAGTCAGAACACCAACTCCAACACTTACTATCCACTTTAACCTTTTGGAGCTTCCCTTTGCTCATCTATAAAATGTTGATGATAAGGCCTAACACAGGGTTTTTGTGAGGATTACATGAAATAATTTACGCAAAATAATACATTTCCTGGCACGAGAGAATTAACAAATGTCTCCCCCCTGTACTTCTAGGTTTACTTTTTCCCCTGTAGAGTAAGAACACATGATTTTAACTCATTATATTTAGAGATATATTTTATAATCCCATGTTGTTGGCCCATATATTTATATTATTTTCCCATGCTGGAGTTCACTGTAAAATATTAAGTTTATTTCTACAAATTTGTCATATTTGGCAGCTTTTACCTTCCTTTACAAAAAGGTTTTTTTGTAAAATGTTAGATTAAAAGTGTGCTTTGAAACAAGCATTCACATTTATATAAGATTTGGTTTAAGCCAGAGATGCTTTCTAAAGGAAATTTTTACTCCATTTCTTATTGCTTTGCAGTAGTGATTTACCCTTAAATGTGTTATCAGAGGGACTTCCATCTATCACTGATTCCATGATCACTGGTATGTATAGGTAGCAGAAATAGCCAGGTGACTTATATTCTGAAGCAAATGATCTCACAATAAAGCCATCCACATGTATCTGCCTCTTGCCTATTAACTAGTTAAAATAATACAGAACATCTTTTTCTACAAGGCAGTTATATAATGATATACAAGGCAGTTATATATTGCTTTATTTTCAGATAGGTAGATAATTTGTTTTTATGTTTTAAAATGAAAAGTGAGTTCTGTTTCCTTGATACTTTAATACCCAATGCTGCAGTATTAGTTACTGCTCTTAGGCAGTATGTGTAGTTATTGTCAAACTTGACAAGGTATTTGGGTATAGTGTAATTAGTGCATCCTTTATATCTATTTCCTAAATTCATTTAAAAGCCAGTATCTTTCCAAGAAATAACATTGTAAAAGACTACTCATACTCTACCCAAATTATTTTTTTCAGAGTTTTCATACTTGACAGGTTTCAGTTCAAATATAATGACCTTACTATTCTGATATTTGTAGCACATAATTTCAGCATTAGCTTTCAGAACTAGCCACCTACCTGTTGGTTTCTGGATGGGAGGTACTATTTTCTTCTTTTGTCTCCTAGGCCCAGCAGTGAGAAACTTTCACAGTCTGTAATAGATGGCATCACTGTTTCAGGAGGTCAATTCCATGGTATGTAGTTATCTTAAGTTGTAAATTAATTCAATATTTAAAAAACATTTTTTAAAATGATAAAAGTAATACATATTTATTTTAGAAAGGTTTGAAAGTACAGATAAAGTTTTTTAAAAATGAACTTCAGGATATAAAATACTAGTCTTTAAAATTAAAAAAAAATTTTCTGGGCATGCATATTTTATTTTATGTATACATTCATTACATGTAGGAAGCATCTTAAACAGCTGTCTTTAGTAAGGCTGACCTTCTTGATATAAAACTCCTTGAAGTTACTTGAAGTCTGTCCTATGGAGTTTTTGTCAATATCAGGTATTCATTCCCTAATGGCTGATCACGTGTGGAATCAGCTGTTGTCTGTCATGTAGGTATGGAAAGTATCTTTGGTCTACTTGTAATCATGATTTTAAGTTTTGACAAGTGGTTTGGGGTTTTTCCCCCCTATTTTTAACAAATGAGGAAGTATTAAATGCAACAAAATGGAGGCTAGAATCCTCTTCTTATATAGGTTGGGCCCCTTGTGAATACAATGAACCCGTTGTGCTTGGAGGTGAATTTTCCTAGTGTTAGATTGTTCTCTTTTAAAAATTTCTTCTCTTCACCTTTTCAGCCTCCTTTCCAGATCCTGTGTCTTCCCTTCCTTCACAGATAACCTGGCTTCTTCCAATAGTTCACCTAGCTCACTTCTCTCTTTGCTCCTCTAGTCGTTACTTCGCCTACTGCAGGCCAGTCTCCATCCTTGCCCCTCCAGTGAAAGGCCTCCTGACACTTACCTGAATTCTAATTGTCAAATCCAGTGGGTGTTATAAAAGTGGGGATTTTTAACCTGGGTCCGGGACCTGCGGCGGGTGGTGGTGGTTGGTTAAGCTGCCCACACCCTGTTAATACAGTATGCAGAGTGTTGCCTACACTCACACTTAGTTTCTGGGGAGAGGACTCATAGCTTTTGTGAGATACTCAAAGGGATCTGCAACCTAAAAATAACTTTTAGAATTTATGTTTTGAAATTTTTATTTCAGTCTATGTCTTGGCAGCTGTCCATAATTTGGCCTCCCTCTTTCTTTAAGCTTCTGCTTCCTTGGCCACTGTTCCTTGTTGGTCTCTGTGTGCTCCTCTACCCTCTCTCTTAATGTGGCCATACTTCGCTTCTCTCTCTCACTCTGCCTGAGTGGTCATCTTTACCGCCATAGCTCCAGCTACGTATATTCTTTCATTTACTCATTTATTTATTCTTCAAACATTTCTGAATGCGTTTTTACAACCCGTCAGTAGTCTATATTTCACTATTTCAACCCATAGTAAGAAACCCATTTGGTATCATGACGTGTGTATGTGTGCTTGTATGTATAGCTGAGATAAAAGTTTCCATACATACTACTTACCCATACTACACGATGTGCATTCATCTATTGCTTTAGAAAATGCAGACATGCAGTGGCTCAGCCTGCAGTGTGCAGTGCGTTGGTCTGAATGACGCCCCATAAGGTGGCTGCCCCTGCTTTACATTCACTCTGCCCAAAACTGTGTTCTTCCTAGAATGGTTATTTTCAACATTTTGATTCTATCTCTAGAAGCATCACTTTTTTACTGTTTTGTTTTAGAAAAAATTGAGGTTTTTTTTTTTTAACCTTTCCTTCATTTCTCTCCAGCTTCAGTGTATTTCAGGAAACAAAAGATTAACGGAGCTACAGCACAAGGAACTTTGGGGGAAGCTACTGGAAGATAAGATTAGGGAGGTGAGCAGGGGCCAAGTCATTCCAAGCCTTAGAGGTCATGGTAAAGATTTGGGTTTTAGTCCAGATGCAGTGGGTCTCCACCAAAGGATTTTAAGGCAGTCACTCTGGCTATTGTGTAGCGAGAGATAGGAAAGTTGTAAGAAAGGAAAAGAGACCAGTGAGGAAACTGTGCAGAAGTTTGTGCAAGAGTAATGATAGCAAGAGAAATGGAGGAACTTGAAATTAACATTTAACCCAAAGGATTTTGTGATGTGATGAGGATAGAACTGTGAAGAATGGTTTCTATGTTTTTGGGTTGATCAGTGGAATAGAGGGGTTATGCTTTTTATTAACTGTAAATAGTCATTTAGTGAATGTTTATTTGGTAATTTTGATATTGGTCATAAAATTTGTTTCATCCTTTAGTATGCCTTTTGGAATAGTTTTTCTCTTCCTTACACAGTTCTCCTCCTTAGACTTAAGCTTTTACTTATTTTGGGGGTTTCTCCATCTCCTCTCATCTAATCCTTATACCACAGCCAAGAACTTAAATGACTTTTCGCCTTCAGTGCAAACTCTAGTGCATGACTTTGAAGACTGTTGACAGATTTCATGAATGACTATTTATTGGATACTGGCCTATCCCTGCTATCTATTTCTCCTGTTCCTTGCTCATGTTGCCTTTTTTTGTGTGTGTTTAGATTTTTTACTATAAGCTATTTGTTTTTCTTGAAAAACAAATTATTTGTGGGACATTTTTGAGGTTTATGGTGAACGCAGAGTTTAATGTTTGCTTCTGCTGGGAGTACTACCTGGCTGGTTGATGACATGGTTCTTTGATGACAAGGTTCTTTTAGACCCGTGTGGTTATGGGAATTTGGGTTGGAAATCCATGGGAGGCATGTGATTGTGGTTATGTTCTTTAGCTGTGGGTTTTCCCTCTCCTGTGCTGAGTTCTAAGACAGGTTTTCTGGGAGGGGACTTTTGACTTATTTTTTTTTACTCCTCACCCGAGGAGAAGTTTATTGATTTGAGACAGAGAGAGAAACATTGATTGGCTGCCTCCAGTAGCCACCCTGACCAGAGTTCTAACCCACAACCTAGGTACGTGCTCCAAATGGGAATCAAGCCTGCCACCTTTCTGGTGTACAGGATGACACTCCAACCAAGTGAGCCACCCAGCCGGGTCTTGACTCACGTTTGTTTTTGTTTTTTTATTTATTGTTGAAAGTATTACATATGTGCCCCCCCCCCATTGTCCTCTCCCAGCCCCCCTGCATTGTCTGTGTCCATTGGTTATGCCTCTATGCATACACGTTCCTTGGTTGATCTCTTCCCCTCCACGACTCACTTTTGATTCACTTTGACTCACGTTTGCACTGAAGAATAGTCCTCCGGGGCCTCAGCTTTATGAGGGCCTGGCCTTCTACTGGGTCCCCCCTTTTAGAACAACATGGACTTTTTTGCACTGAAAACCATAGCTCAATTTCAAGTTTTGAGGAATGTCCAGAGAATAAAACTAGTTTCCTTAGCTCTAATTGTGGAGTTCTTCTGTTTAAATAGATTTTGGCCTACTTCCTCTACAACTTGTTGGTACTGCAGTTACTTCTAAAAAGAAAATTTTAATCTAGCATTTCTGGTTGTTTGTAGGAGTGTTCATCTGAATTATGTAGTTTGCAATGTTACTGGAAATATAACTCAATTACAACTTTTCTGTACTGCTCTGTGTTTTTTTATTTGTCTATACTGAGTGATTTTGTTATCAGTAGTTCATATTTCTTTTAGAATTGAGTTTGTGTTCAAAGTGTATTTTTTATAACCACCAAACAATTAACTGAATTTGACACTACCTACCTGGAGGTAGTGCTTAATCCTACCTCAGTCCCATAAGACTGCCATCCCCGCACCTCCTTCACATCCCGGTCGTCTGGGCTTCTGACCAATCTGGAGCCTCCTTGGGTTGGGTTAATTTGCTAAAGCAGCTCACAGAACCCAGAGAAGCATTTTACTGATTAGGTTATTAGTTCATTATAAAGGATTTAACTCAGGGACAGCTAGGTTGAAGAGATGTGTAGGGAAAGGTGTGTGGGGAGGGATTCAGAGCTTCCATGCTCTCTGAGCATCCCAATCTCCACATGTTCACCAACTGGAACGTTGGCCTTTTGGTCTTTTGAGTTTTTATGGCGGCTTCATTACATGGGTATGAATGATTAAATCATTGGCCATTGGTGACTGAACCCAATCTCTAGCTTCTCCAGCCTTCCTCTCTGAAGTTGGGGGTGGGGGAAAGGGCTGAGGGTAGCAACCCTCTAGTCATGTGAAATCAGCCTCCATGCTTAGGTTACCTAGGGGCTTTCCAAATGTCACTTTTTTTTTTTTTTTTTTAAATCCTCACACAAGGATATTCTTTCAGTAGCTTTTTTAGAGAGCATGGAAGGGAGGGAGTGGGGAGAAAGAGAGAGGGAAAGAAGCATCGATGTGAGAGAGACATATCAATTGGTTGCCTCCCGCACAAGCCCCAACCAGGCCTGGAATTGAACCTGCAACCAAGGTGCATGCCCTTTACCTGGAATCGAACCTATGATTCTTCTGTGCATGGGCCAGAGCTCTAACCACTTGACACACAGGCCAGGGCCCAAATATCACTTTTTTAAGGTAATAAAAGACATCATATTGCTCTCTTTGTTTAAGAAATCCCAAGGGTTTAGAAGCTCTGTCAGGAATGGGGACAAAGACCAAATACATATTTCTTACTATAAATTACAATGTGACATGCACTTGTAATGATTTTAGTGGATATTTTTGCTTTTTAAAATTTAGCATTTTGTGTTTTCTGAACTGTATTTTGTCACCTTCAGTTCCTTCAGTATGAATCCATTTAAACTTTTTTCTTTGTTAAGAACTGTGACACATTGCTTTCTTTCCTTCTGTGACAGATTACGGCTTGCTGACAACGCCGCAGCTGCACTACATGGTGTACTGCCGGAACACCCAGGGCCAGTATGGAAAGGCCACCACAGAAGGCTACTACCAGAAGCTCTCCAAGGCCTTTGTGGAGCTTACCAAACAGGTCAAAACTTGAATGTTAATTACATAGTTTGTCACTTCTCCTTTTTCCAAAAATTCGGCATATCATTTTCTTTCCAGGACTACACAAATTCTGGTCCTTGTATCCTAACTGTGTGTTGGCATTTACTTGGCAAGGCATGTAACACATTCTTAGATCACTGGGGGAACAAACATGGTGGTTTTCTTGTGGTTATAAGTATTCATTCAGATGAGTTTACTCTTTTTTTTTTTTTAATATATTTTTATTGATTTTTTACAGAGAGGAAGGGGAAGGGATAGAGAGTTAGAAACATCGATGAGAGAGAAACATTGATCAGCTGCCTCCTGCACACTCCCCCACTGGGGATGTGCCTGCAACCAAGGTACATGCCCTTGACCGGAATCGAACCTGGGACCCTTCAGTCTGCAGGCCAACGCTCTATCCACTGAGCCAAACCGGCCAGGACGAGTTTACTCTTAAGTAGGTGCTATTGATATCACACTTGAGGCATCTTACTGTTGAGATTTTCTTGTTAAGAGAATTGGCATGTTAAACCTGGATGAGATTTGAGGAGCTTAATTCATTTGATCAATAAATATTGAGTGTATGTTATTGTCAGGCACAGCAAACCAAAACAAAGCCCTTGCTCTCATAAAATTTATATTCTGGGATGAGGATGGGTAGGAGAGGAGACTGTCAATTAGAAAAAAACAAACAAAAATGCCTCGTGGTGTTATATACTATGAGAGATGTTTTACTGCTCATTCCCACCTTTGAAAGACTGTCATGTGACATAGACTATTATTTTTAAGGAACCCTGCTTTATTGAGGCTAAATCTAAGAAAGCTTGACAAAAAAAAAATTATGAGATGGTTTAAATTAAATTACAGTACCCAGAGAGAGAGAGAAAGAAACAGCGGTTCACCTGTTAACAGCTGTGGACCAGCTAACAAGAGACTGCTCACATTAGCAGGTGTCTTTTGGAACTTCAGATTAATTTCCAGGTGCTATGCCTGCAATTGTTCTAAAGAGACAATAGCCAGGCATTTTTGAACCCCAGGAGCCTCTGCCTCTTATTTAACATGAACTTCCCACTTGCCCATAACCTATCCAAGGGAGCAAACACTCTGACTTGGACTCTGTGCCTATCCAGAACTGGCCCGCTTCACTTCTCCCATCCCTTTGTCTATAGCTAATGTAAATCCCTGTAAACCACTCACATCGTTCTTCCCGTATGTGATATATAAAGACACTTGCACAACTCTGGGACGACAGTGTCATGTCTGTTTTTTCTATCTGGCTATGCTGCTGGGGTTTTAGACTCTAACCCCAAGAGCAGTCTTTTTTTTTCTAGCAATGACTTTTAAAAAAGACTTTCAGCTGTAAATTTTTTGTTTAACAAACTCCATTTCCATAAGTCATTCAATCATTGAAACTGTTCCTGTGTCAAAGTGTTCAAAAAGGGTATTTTAAAATTTTACTTTGATGTTTTATGATTTTCATCTGAATATGTGTGCCCTTTTGTTTCTTGATTTAAAATAGGTGAACTGAAATAATGGAAGATGTTTACATATGGGTATGCATGCCTTATGATTCACTCTTATCTTTAGAACTTGAGATTTTCCTCCCTGTGTCTTTCCTTTAAGGCTTTCTGCAGTGGTGACGAATGCCTGTTACTTAAGGTTGACTGTGCAAATGGCATAGGGGCCCTGAAGCTGAGAGAAATGAAAAACTACTTCTCCCAGGGGCTGTCAATTCAGTTGTTTAACGTTGGGACTACAGGGAAACTCAATCATTTATGTGGGGCTGACTTTGTGAAAAGTCATCAGAAACCTCCACAAGGTATGTAAAAAATTTGTTTTTGGAGTTTTGAAACCAATCTCATTTACAAACAGAAGTGGCCAAATGAGAGCCATGCATTTGGTTTTTGTGTCACTTGTAGACATCTGGACACCTTCCTACTCATCAGTGCCATTCCAAACATGGACTCTGCCTGTGGGTCACAGGACTCCTCACAGCGTGTGGAGTGGGAAAGCAAACTCAGAAATTGGTAATCTGGAGAGCTTGTTCACACACTGATTCCTGGGCTCTCCCGCCGAATTTCTGAGTCTGTAGGTCTGGATCGGGTTTGTAGAGCACAGGAATTGGCATTTCTATCAAGAGTCCAGGGCTTTTTGATGATGCTGGTCTGGGGACCACACTTTGAGAATCACTGATCTAAAGAATAGCAATAGGTAAGTAGCATTATTTTTCATCTTATTGAATTAGACACACTGTGGAAAGAGAATGCTCCTGCTGAATTATGTGTTTCCAGAATCAGTGTTTTCCACAGTGGGCATGTTAGGAGGGAGACTGTTCTTCAGGTTGTAGTTGTAGTAAGAGGTTTCTATATTTAGCTGCATTATAGATTCAGAATTGTTAGCCTGGTTTGCAAATGTATTTTGTTTGATCTGTGTGTCTGTGTTTAATTGCATTAGTTGCCACCATTTATTTTTATTAATTTTTGTTTATTGATTTTAGACATCGATTTGTTGTTCCCCTAATTTTGCATTCATTGGTTGATTCTTGTGTCTTGACTGGGGATTGAACCCTCAACCTTGATGTATCGGGATGACGCTTTAACCAACTGAGCTACCTGGCTAGGGCCATTTTTAAAATGCTTTGATTTCACTTAAATATTGGAATCTGGCTTCTCTTTACCTCATGTCACGTGGACTGGCTGCAGTAGAGTGGCTCCATACTAAGACAGGACTGCATTCTTCAGAATTCTACAGACCTTATCTAGTGACTTCTCACATTAACGTTACTTTATGCCTTACTGTAGTAAGCATTTAAATTTCCAGTTTAACCAATTTAAGCTCCCTTTCATTGGTTGCTAGTTTTGACTACTACTTTACCTGCAGCTCAGTTCTCAGGCCCTGATCTATCCATTCACTAAATCATGAGCTTTTTATCTTGCTGTAGGCACTGGGGCTATAGTATGAACAAACCATAGGCCCTGACTTTCATGGAGCTTGTGTTGAACCCTGTAGTCAATCTTAAATTCATATTTACTGCCTACTTGCTTCATGTTGCATTGGCAATATGTTGACATCCTTATATCTAATAAATTTGTAACAGTTGCTGAGGTTTCAATAATTTTATGCAAATTACAGAAACCATTTATCTCTCATGGGCTATAATTCTGTTTTGTTTTTTTAAATATATTTTTATTGATTTAAGAGGGAGAGGGAGAGATAGAAACATCAGCTTCTTGTTATTGATGGTGTGAACAATAAAAATCATCCCTATCTGAATTAAAGCACATACCTCATCTATTGCTGATTTTTTTTTATATGTAAAGGACATAGTAGGACTAGATAAATTGCATTCAGGAATACCTGTAGCTTTTAAACAACTATATGGGAACCTATGTTGCCAAACCAACTGGCTTATAAAGTGGAATATTATTTTAGCATAATGTCAAGTTCAGCATAGAGTTTGAATGCTTCTTTTTCAGTTAGCTGTGAAAGAATTTACCCTGTAAAAACTACCAATAAGCCTGCATACTGTTCGAAGATTAAGGCACTGGTTTTTATTTGGAAGGATAATTTTAACTATTTCTTGAATAATCATAGTGGACATGTTTACGTGTAACACATAAGACCAGCTGTGATCATACTTTAGTGAAAAAATTTCCATTTACAACTAGAATAAGAAAAAAACCTAAAACTTTTAATATTGAGTTGTATTCCCGTTTTTTAGACTGAAATGCATTTTTAATTATTCTGTGTACTAGGAATAGAAATGAAACCCAATGAAAGATGCTGTTCCTTTGATGGAGATGCAGACAGAATTATTTATTACTACTATGATGCAGATGGCCACTTTCATCTCATTGATGGAGACAAGATAGCAACACTCATTAGTAGTTTCCTTAAAGAGCTCCTGTTGGAGGTATGGCAGGGAGTGATTGACTACCCTTTAAAACTAGACTTATTGGTGAAATAGTTCTTTAGCCTCTATAGCAGTCAGTTGAATGTCTCAAAGGCACAATTTATGGGAAGTTCCTTACATGTGTGGCTGGAAAATACAAAAAGATATGGTTATTCTAGACATTTCAACTTTGGAGAACTGGTTTTGGAATTCGAAGTTACTCTTTGCTTCCTTATATTGACAAAGTGTTATGATTTGAAGCTTTTTGAAGTTTTGAATTCTTCATAGCTGACACTTTAATAATGGGAGTTCCACCATAAATCCCCAAAGCTTCAAGCTTAAATAGGAAATTTCATCCTCAGAGATTTGTTTTGATCTTTTGGAAATCTCTGGCTAGCCTTATAGGATGAATGGGAAGCAATTATTATGATCTACTTCAAGATATACTTCAAGAATTCAATAAATACTTTTATTTAAAAAATTAAAGAGATACAGATCAAGAAACCACATGTTTCTTTATAAAAGATTCCTTGTAGAATTGTTTTAAATAATGCCCAGAAGTATTTTAGCTTTTTTTCTGGCCTATATGTAAATTTTGATTGAGTCATTTATTTATTGCATAAAATAAGGCACAGCTGAATTTGTTGATCACTTTGTCATCCTTTAGAATGTATGTTTGCTTTGGAGTGTTTTTGCTTTAGATGCATGGTCATTTCATTGTTTTTGCCTAGATTGGAGAAAGTCTGAATATTGGCGTTGTACAAACTGCATATGCAAATGGAAGCTCAACACGGTATCTTGAAGACGTTATGAAGGTACTGAACCATTTCCATTTTCTGGTGGTTTCTTAATTATATTTTACTAGAGGCCTGTTGCACAAAGAGATTCGTGCAATAGGCCTTCCTTCCCCTGGCTGCTGGCACCGGTTTTCCTCTGGCACACGGGACCCAGGCCTTTGGTCTGGCAGCAGGGAGGCTTGGCTTCTCCCCTCCAGTTGTAGCAGTCTTCACTCTGGCCGAAGCCTTCAGTCTTCGCTCTATGCCTGCATATGCAAATTAACCACCATCTTTGTTGGGTTAATTTGCATAGTCGCTCTGATTGGCTGGTAGGCGTAGCAGAGTGACAGCAATTTGCATGTTTCTCTTTTATTAGTGTAGACTGTAAGATATTTCTGTGTGGAAAATAAATACCCTCATAAAAGTGAATAGGTTGTAGTGCATGAAGCTGAGTCTTTGTTCATGTAAGGCTAACTAGAAATTAAAAAATTAAATTGTTCCTGATGCAAAAGAGGGACTTTCTGTCTTTGCAGCCTTTTAGCAGATTGACTATGATGTGTATCACTAGTCTGGCTTAATGCTTATTCAGTAATAAAACTGTCTTCTTACTCTTCTGTGGAGAAGTTTTTTGGGTTGATAGATTCTGTTTCTGATTATTTCCCCAATGTCCACCAGATGACCACCATCTGTATGACACTGCTCTAAGTGTTAGAGGTTCATGGCCAAAATTGGGTCTGTTTGCCTTGACTCTTTTTCTCACTAGCTACTGCAGTCTTTTTTAACTTTTGTGTATCCCTTTGTAAGTTCCTGCATTTTGCTATTTTTGTCTTGCCACTCGTTTTAAAGTAGGAATGGTGAAGCCAGGTTCCTATAGGATCTGGACAGCTGAAGTGAATGAGTACAGTGGGCAGGTGAGGACTAGGAAGAGTGTGCCCAAGCCAGCTGTGAGGAGCTGAAACAGAAATTTTCATGTAAATTTCTGATTTTTTAAGTCTTGGCAACTGATATAAATTTTAAGAAAAATAGTGAGCAGGCACAATAAAACTCATCTGGAGGCTGGAGTTTGTGATCTGATTGATTTCAGGGTGGGGCAAAAGTGGTTTACAGTAGAGTTACTCAAGGGACTTCCATCAGGGGCCCAATTGCCTACTTTTCACAGGATTTTCAGTATTCAGGTGGTTGTTTTACTATTTTAATTCCTATGTTCTGTCTTAAAAATCTCTTATAGGTAAGATACCATTTAAGAAACTGAATACATCAGAAACTGTTTTCAACCATTTTCTAATAAATTAACCCTTTTTGGTCCAACCTTGAGGCTGACTCGACAGACCAGGTGCTAGGAGCAGGTCCAATGTCGAGCAATAAGAACATTAAAAAGTTCAACATTCAATCCCGTCAATTAATTTGGACCAGACTGTTTGAATTCCAAAAATAACATTGGACCGCAAAGGGTTAAATACTTTTAGCTCTAATGATTCTTGAGGCTTCCTAAATCCAATCAAATGTCCATCTTATTTGGTCTTTTTGTAGTTTTGCACTATCAAGACTTTGACCACTGTTGCCAGTGCAACCTCCATAATTTCCTACTGGGATTAATCCTAGAAAACTCCTAATGGCCCCTTCTTAAGCTGGGAAATCCAGCCTGCTTATAAAGGTTTATTGGAATACAGCCATGCTAATTTGTTTTTGTATTGTCTGTGGCTGCTTTCACAGATAATGAGAGTTGAGCAATTGTAACAGACAATGTGGTTGCAAAGCCTAGAATTGGCCTTTTATAATAAAAGCTTGTAAACCTCTACTCTAAGCCACTCTTCATCCTGTAGCTAAATTGAGCTTTCTTCCTCACTAGATTAAGCCCCAGGTGTTGCTCCCTATTGTATCCCTGACTAGTAGGTACACAATGAATTTGCTGATTGAATAATTGCTGTTATTTTTTTTAATGTGTTATAGGTCCCAGTCTATTGTACTAAAACTGGTGTAAAACATTTGCATCATAAGGCTCAGGAGTTTGATATTGGAATTTATTTTGAAGCAAATGGGCATGGCACAGTAAGTTCTCTTAAACAATTACAACTTTAGCTGGCACTTTTTTTTAATGATGGGGATTCTATATCTGGTTAGTAATAGGTAATATTCTACTTTGTTGAAATTATTGGGATGGTAGTAGAATTTGATTTGGTTGATCTTCCTTTGAGAGTGAAGAAATAATGCTAATTTGTTCTTACAGTATAGTTACTTATAAGAATGCACATCTTAATTTTTTAATAAGCTGGTTGTCTATACATCATTTAAAAATACTCTGTTCAACTGGCCATAGGTGGTAACAAGTATAGTAGGTGTGGTAAATTGAAAAGTGTTGGATAGCTTGAGAATTAAGTTATAAACAACTGGAAATGTAATTAGCAGTAAGCATACACTTTTTTTTTATGGTGCTCTTAGCAGACAGAATGTTTTTAAAAGTTTTTTGAAATATAACTCACCTGCCATAAAATTCACAATTTTGGTGTGTAAAAATGGTTTTTAGAATATTCATAAAGTACATAATTTTTCTTTAAATGTTTTAATACTTTACCTCATTTCATAGATAGATTTGAGGTGCCCAACACACTTATCTAAGTCAAATACTTTTCCTCATGAATTTCAAAATTGGCTTCTAGAGGCAATGAATGAAAGTAGAAGTAAAATAAGTTCTTAGAAAATACAACTAAAAGATAGCTTCAGTGATCTAATGCAGAGGTTGGTGAATGAATATAAAGGGTAGATAGTAAATATTTTAGGCTTTGGGACTATAATGTCTGTTACAACTGGTCAGGCCTGCTGGTGTGCGGTAAATGAATGTGTATGGCTGTATTCTAGTCAAACAAGTGACCAGCTGCACCTTAGTTTACCAACAAATAAGAATTTTAGCAAGTGGCTGAGCATGGTATGCAGTTCCTCCTCAGTGGCGGGCATCTGAAGGCACTAAAATCATGGGAAAGGCATTTCAAAATGACAGAAATCTTGAGGAACGTGATGTATGTTATAATAGTTTGGCACTATTTGCCACAATATGATATAGGTGAGTGGAGTGCGCTTTCTACTTCTGCCTGGCTTACAGTCTTAATTTTAGGACAAAAAGATACTAGTTGCAATGAATTATGTACTTCAGGTAAAATGATACAGATCCACCTAAGAAACCTGGTTGCACAGAGCTGATTAAACTGGCTGAGGGACAAACATAATGTATGTGATCACCTTTGCCAAGGTGGTATTTTATTTGTCATCAGCTCTTTAAATGTTAATAACCAGTTTTATAATCCACAAAGGACCTTTTTTCTCCTTAGTAATATCTTTTGGGTTTTGCTTTGATCTTAATTTCATACATTGTAAGGCTGCCATTATTTTTCCCCTTAGTTTCTCCAGATTCATTGAGAATTTCAAAAGTGGTTTAGCATGATAGTACTTATGACTGGGCCTGGGGTAGTTTTGTGATTGTGTACCTCTCATTGCAGGTGTTGTTTAGTAAAACTGCTGAAATGAAGATAAAACAGCTAGCAGAAGAATTAGAAGATAAGAAAAGGAAAGCTGCTAAGATGCTTGAAAACATTATTGATTTGTTTAACCAGGTTAGAACTGATGGGCTGGTGGGGTCTTGGTTACTTTCACATTATTCATAAAGAAGGTGGACAGAATAGTGGGCTTATATAAAAAATTAAAGTGGTGAAGTCCTGCAAACTTTCTCACAACCATGGCCCATACAGTGGAGATTTACACTGAAATGACAATGACAGAACATTGAAGTGCTTCCCTTGCCCTACATTTTTTGATGAAAAATTTCATTAGATTCAGCCTCTGAGTATATATATGACTAAATATGTTTTTTTAAACCTATTTTCTCAAAACTCAGGAAGAACAATCAGTTGTCTCGTGGGTCAGACTGGGTAGAATTGGAGTGTAACTAATGGCAGTGGAAGTAACATTTGAGCATCTTGCACATTTTGGGCACTTTACATACCGTATTGTGTAAACCTTGCTGTAACATAGAGAGAAGGGTTATTATAATTGTCATTTTATATATGAAGAAACAAAGGCTTAGAGCTAATAAGTGGCAGAACATGGCTTCAACTTCAGATATGTCTTACACCAAAGCTCCTATTTCTCTAAGACTTTGCATGATGCCTTCCATCACGGCATATCTCAAAAGGGATCTAGTTACAAAGAAAAATTTGAATTATAGAATGTTAATGCTGGAATCTTAAGAGTTATGTAATTTCATTTTATAGCTAAGGAGGAAGATTAAAGGCAAGTTTTTCAAGAGCTAGTTTTTCCCCCTCATTAATATTTAATTTATCCACACCAGTTAATGTTGCTGCATAGGGGGAGGAGCAGGAAGCACAGGAAACTTAGTTTTCTAAGACACATTCACATCTAATCGTTCCTTGTAGTTGAATGGTTCCTTCCATTGTCTCCCATCTTGCAGGCAGCCGGTGATGCTATTTCTGACATGCTGGTGATCGAGGCAATCTTGGCTCTGAAAGGGCTGACTATACAACAGTGGGATGCTCTCTATACGGATCTTCCAAACCGACAGCTCAAAGTGAAGGTGTGAGCAAGATTTTAAAATTCTTTTTTAAAAATTAAAACCTATTATTTCAAATCTCACTATATAAAAATGTTTCCCAAGTGTTTCGTATTTCATTCTAAACATAAATATTACATGGAAAATGATGTCTTATATCATCTAACTGTATTTTTTCGTATCTTTAAAGATTACAGAATAATTCTTAACCATTCTATTCTTTGAGAAGTATTTGGTTTCCAAATCTATTATAACTATATATCACTGAAAAATTATGGAAAACTTAAAACATACATATAGAGAGAACAAAATAATGAACCCCTGTATACCCAGCTTCAGTAGATTTTGAGTTGTTCCCTCTACATTCTCCACATTCCCATATTATTTTGAAGCACGTCCTGGATAGCCTATCATTTCGAGTAAAAATAGTTCCTCAGGCTAGATGCTGAGTAGAATCTGTGGGCTCAAAGGGAGAGAATTTTTAAAAGGCATTTAAGATAAACGGCTAATTGATTTCCATGTAGATTTATACCAGTTTACACATTCACCTCCAGAGTTCACAGAAATTGCTGCTGATTGTTCAGATTAGTCTGGAGCACTGTGACTAGGAGATTCTCATGATCCTCTTACATAATAGATGATTTTTTAAAACTAACTTGATCAGTGACTTAAGTCATACGGTATTTACTGGCCGTTATTTTAGTGGTAGTTAGCTGTAAGACAGTATGTGGAAATGTTATTTCTTTTTGCTAAAGGTAGTTCTTTGTAGACTGAAGAAACTAAGAAAAGTTGATATCAACAACCCTGCTTTTGGCAGAAATAATTATAAAATTTTAATGTAATTTCATTGTATGCTTAATTTGATACTTTACTTTCTGTGCTGTACTTTGTGTACAAGAAGCTGAAATGTAGCGCTGTTATTGTTAAATTGAAATGGGGATGAAATTATAACAAGCATGAAATGCTTGTGCATAGGTTGCAGACAGGCAAGTTATTAGTACCACGGATGCTGAAAGGAAAGCAGTCACACCCCCAGGGCTACAGGAGGCAATCGACGACCTGGTGAAGAAGTACAAGCTTTCCCGAGCTTTCGTCCGGCCCTCTGGTACAGAAGATATAGTCCGAGTATACGCAGAAGCAGACTCACAAGTAAGCTGATACAGTTCTATTGAAAAAATGTGCAGTGGGAATCCAATAACAACATAGGTAGTAGGGGGTGGTAGTAGGAGGTGAAAACTATTTTAATAGTGTTGCAATCTCACTGTGATAATTAAGGATTTAATGTCTGATATTTGTTTATGGAGCCTTTTAGGTTCATATTAAGATTACAAAATTATTTTCATCAGTGGTTGTTATATAGTTGAACAAAATTACACCCACTTAGATTCTTTCCCAAAATATTTTTCTTTTGATTTATTCTATATTTCCTAAAAGCCATATTTGTAATTGTGGCATGAATAACTAATAGGTACTTAGCTTGACACATGTTGAATTATTTTCTGGTTGTTTTTTTTCCTACAAAAACATAATCCTGTTGTTTCATGAAAACAATCAGGGTTGAGGTCCATTTCTGAAATTGACTCTCAATTTGTTTTTTGAAGTATTTCCTTTAAATGACAGCCTTGTTCTGTGCTTTTGCTGTTTTTGTGATAGGGTCAGATCTTTGTGATTGTATATTAAAATTTGCCCTCTCACACATCGTTTTCTGTCACCATAAATCCTTGATAAAAAATTTGCACAGTGGAGGCAAAATAGTCTATTGAATAGGGGCTCAGAAGGAGACATTTTCCATTAATGTATACATTAGCTGGCACCTTTTCTGCAGAAGCCTTAGGCCAGGGGTCCTCAAACTTTTTAAACGGGGGGCTAGTTCACTGTCCCTCAGATCGTTGGAGGGCCGGACTATAGTTTAAAAAAAAACTGTGAACAAATTCCTATGCACACTGCACATATCTTATTTTGAAGTAAAAAAACAAAATGGGAATAAATACAATATTTGTATTTGCATGTGGCCCGCGGGCCGTAGTTTGAGGACCCCTCCCTTAGGCCATCCCAGAATCCTATATAATAAAAGCCTAATATGCTAAGTGTCCAGTCATCCGTTCAACCATTCAAAGCATAATATGCTAAGGCTGTTTGAGCAGTCACTATGATGTTCACTCACCACCAGGGGGTAGACGTTCCGACTGGTAGGTTAGCTTGCTGCTGGGGTCCAGCTGATTGATCAGGACTGAGCAAGATGGGCTGGACATGCCCTGGAGCCCTCCCGCAATCCGGGACCCCTCAGGGGATGTCGGAGAGCCGGTCTCGGCCAAGGGACCCTACTGGTGCAGGAATTCATGCACCAGCCTTCTAATGTAAAGAATAAATACCCCTGGCGGGGTGAGGAGAGGCTATCTGGGGAACTTAAGAGTTACTTACTCTTAGGATAATTATGGCTGTGTTTTGCCTTTAAGGACTATGTTTTATTAAATATATTCCGTTTTGGAATAACTATAATCTGATTTGATTAAGAACTTACCTTATTTGAGAGACTTTGACTTATTTCCCATGTATTTAAGGTGGTTAGAATTTGCTACTGAAAGATGAAAAAAAAGTTTTCATTTGAATTTGTTAGTGAAACAATCAGGAAGCTCCCTCCCCTTCCCTCAGGGTTAGCTGCAAGTAGCCTTTCCCATCTAATCACCTTTAATGTACTTTTCAGGAAAGTGCAGACAGCCTGGCACATGAAGTGAGCTTGGCGGTATTTCAGCTGGCTGGAGGGGTTGGAGAAAGTCCCCAACCAGGTTTATGAAGACAATTTTTACATTCTTGAGAGACTGGATTTTTGAAAGGTTTTTATAGAACGGTAAAGCCATTATTGTGACGGTTCAAACACATCTATAACCATAATGTTTACTGCACCTTAATGGATTGTTTCTAGGTCTGATTGTTTTTCTTAAACACTACCAGAATAATTCCTTACACTCGTTAAATTCGTTGTTTTTTCTTTTAAATGAAACTTACCTCTAGTTTCAGTCTCACTAATGTAAGATATTGGGGCTTACATATATGATTCAATTAACTTTATAATGTATGCTGGGAAGAAATCATGAGGGCTGCTGGAAAATTAAATCTTATTAGCAACATGTTGGGATGTCTTTTCTGTAGCCATTACCTAACCAGGATGTTGTTTGCAGTCAATTGTTCTCCAGCAAAATCTTCAGAGTGATTTTTAAGTGACTTACCTCTTCAGTTACCATCGTCAGGAGCTCAGAGGTGGGATATGGAGGCTGTACATCTCTGTACTGAGGTGGACAAGCTGCGTGTAAAGAGATTATGTCCCAGGCTTCAGGCTTCGGTTATTCCTTATTCCTCTTAGTGAAGGTATGTGGGAGAAAGCTAATTGTAATGCATCACCAAACCTCTGGCACTAAAATATGGTTAATAACAGAAAGAAAAATTCCCCAACCAATCTAAATTAAACCAATCTTGACGCCAATAGAAAAAAATGTGCAGTGTGTATTTTGCAGGTTTAAGAGAACTCAGGACAGTAAAACAATGAACTATATATGCATATATAGATCTCTCTTAGGCACCATAATCAATATGAGCCAACAATATTTATACGTGATCCAGGCCACATTCAGACGTTTGCTCTTATTTACAAATACTTAAATTAAATACAACCTGAAATGTGTTTTGTTACATACAAAAAAAAAAAAAAACTATAGAACTCAGAGTAATGTTTGTTTTAAATGATAACATTTACATTTAAACTAAATGGAACCACTTGTGGTGCTCAAGTTTTTATCACTCCTTCCAGAAAATCTTTTTCTACCATCTCTTCTATTTTTTGCCTGGCTTTGCTGGAAAATGGTTTGTGGTTTTCCAGTTTCATGTCCGTATTAGGGAAAGTGTTTGAGTAGAGGACAGGGCTCCCTGAGTGTCCCACACATCGGCTAGTGACTTTGCTGTTGAAGACTTGACTGAGCACATTGAAGAATGGCAGGAGCTGCTCAATACTGCGCACGGTACAGATGGTGAGCAGCAAGTGCCCCGGCTCCCAACCTAATGTTCTCCCTGAGTTGTCTTCCTCTGGATTTTTCTGCAGAAAACAAAAAGGGAATTGTTATTAACAGATGTTATAGTACATGAGAATACTTAAAAAGGAATAAACATCAATAAACAGTTAAACAAATACAACTGATGATATTACATCTTCATTGTAGACTTAAGATTCTTGCTTCTAACTGAGGCCTTTGGATACCAGTTATTAAGTGAATATAGAGGAGTCAAACACTGGTTACATTTTTCAACTAGAATGCATAAAGAAGCTTAATAGAATTGGTTTTGGATAGGGAGAGTCAAATATTAAAAGTTCATTTTGTGCTTTGCATATACTCAAAAAGCTCCCAGATTTCTGGACTCCCACTAATGTAACCAAGGACTTGGCTACAGAAGGCCAGGAAGGAACAAAGATTCTTATACATTTTACCATTAGTAACTCAATTCCCTATTAGCCAAGTGGCTTAAACTTGCCGCAAGATGGTAGCAGGACCCAAAGTGAGTAATTGTCATCAGCACAGAGAAAGGAAAGGAACCCTCGGGAGACTGTTTCTGTGTTGTGCTAAACAATGTGGGGAGGAGAGCTGGAACTGGAGTAAAAATATCCAGGTTAGTGCCCTAGCTCTGTCATTTACTTACTGTGTGTCCTTGGGCAAGATACAGAACGGTTCCTCTGTAAAATGGGGGACTCTATCTTGCAGCAGGAAAGTCAAATGAGAATGTATATATGTAAAAATTCTGTCAACTAAATAAACACAAGATCATCTGTGTACTAAGAAGCTAATGTGAAAAGCCACTAAATATACAAACACAGCTGTTAAATATCAATATGTCTGGAAAAAGTTATAAGAACTAAAGATGCTTGAACTTAGGCAGACTCAAAGATATGAAAACAAACACTAAACTGGAGAAAAAAAGGAAAAATCAAGTGGAACTCAGGAAACAGAATTACAATCTGTCATATTAGTTACAAGATCAGATGTTGCCAAGAAACTTGATTCTACCTAATATTTTAATCGCTAGTTTCCTAGTGGAGAAAGGAGATGCAAAATCCAGTTCATTTTCTTGTGTGTGCTCACAGATTTGTTTGCTAATTTTGTTTGCCAATTTAAAAATAAAATCCTGAGAAAGGAAAAAAGATTTAAGTTAAAACAGGAGACTATGTGAAGAAAAAAAGATCATCCAATTCTTGATGGCCAGAAAATCCCAGCTATCTCTTAGTTAATATAATACGTTAGTAGTGATTTAACCTCCAGTCTCAATTATAGGCTATAAAAAAATATCTTCCTGCCCAGATGGCGTGGGTCAGTGGTTGAGCATATGCCTGGGTTGTGGGCTCGATCCATCTCCCTTTCTCTTAACTATAACACTTGCTTTAATGACAGTCCCAGGACTGATTTTCACAGTATTGACTACCATTAGTTGGCTGACCATACCACCTTTAGTTCCCTAAATCAAACGACAATTCCATAGTAATTAGAGCGTATTAAACATTATCCTAAAGTAAAATGAATATATTTGATCCCTCTACATAAATATTTTCCAATGTAAGAGAACTAAGGTTAACCTTTTGTTTATGTTCCTGTCCAGATGTACCTTTAAGAGAGGGACTTAACTAAGCGCTTGACCAAGAAGAAGGACTTGTCTTGGTGTATTGCTCTTAATCAGAATCACCTTCCTCAATAATAAGTAAAATTAAAAAGTCAAACACGTTTCCATACAAACGGTTTCTCCTTTCACTTCGCCAATCTATACTTGAAGAAAGACTTCCTTTTTAACTCTGTTGTAATGGTTGAAATTCAGACCTGGGTTTATGTCTCAATATTTGGTACAGATGTGGCAACTTTTGCTGCCATATTACAAGCATCAAAAAGCCACCCTCACCTGATGCTTGGTCATCTCCAATCCCTCCAAAATCACTGTCTTAAAGTCCTCCTCCTTGTCCTGTGGAAGGAAAGAGGAGAACTCATAGCCTTTGTTCCATGAAAAGTATGCTTGGCCATGAAGGCCTTGTTTAAAGTGTTTTGGGTATGCTTTCCAATCAAAACTGGTTTCTTACTCTGTGGGATAAGATTGTCATATTTATCCCTTAGATAAGGGAGGAATCTTATAAAAATGCTCAATAATGACATGCAATGATGACAGAGTAAATGTGCCTAGGGGTCATATATAGTCACCTTGCTTCTGGATTTGCTATCATGAATATTTTTTCAAACCTGTGATATCAAAGTGGAAGTACTTAAATCCTACCCTAAACTCTGGACCCAACTTTCATCTTTGACTCTGTCCTTTTACTTGGTCCCTAAAGAAATAACTTGATTTTAAATCCTTCAAGTACAACCTCCTTTTTAATCACCTGTCTCCATTCCATTTTCTATAGTTTGTAGAATGTGGTTTTGGAGCTACTGCCTGAGTAGGGGACCCCAGAAGACTGGAAAATTTCTGAGCACTCAAAGCACATTCTGAAGACTAGAACTCAAAATCCCCAAATTGTACAATTTACTTTTTAAATTTTTGAAGGCAAAATAAAAGATTTGTAACAAAGGCTCACTGATGGCATGCTAAATTCATACAACTGACCCTTGAACAACTATAGGTTTAAACTATATGTGTACACTTATATACAGATTTTTTCAATAAATGCTGTAAATTTATTTTCCTTATGATTTTTCTTAACATTTTCTTTTCGCTAGTTTATTTTATTGTAAGAATACAGTATATAATTCATGTAACATACACAATATGTGTTAATCGACTGTTTACATTATTGGTAAGGTCAACAGTAGGCTATTAGTAGTTCAGGTTTGGGGAGTCAAAAGGTATACATGGATTTTCAACTGGGCAGGGGGAGTGTTGGTGCCCCTAACCCTTACTAGTACATTGTTCAAGGGTCAACTTTACTATTTGCTTGGGTCAAGATTTCTATTTAATTAATCTGATGTGTAATGAAAAATATAAAGTTCATAACACAATATAAACATGTTTTATAAATTCTATCTTACACTTAAAGACAAATTTAAAGGAAGTGTAATACCTTTGCCCTTTTTCGAAGAAGTTTTGCCAGTCGTACTACATAAGGTTTAAACTCTCGTTGATGTATGCCTTGTCTTCTGACTTCCAAACCAGAATCATCTGAGGCTTCTGGAATAAAGGCCCATCGGTACCTATGTGTAGAAGAATGATACCCATCAACATTAGGAACAGACTTGTGCCATCTAAGACACGTAACATAGAGTAGAAAGATCAAATCCCCACCACTTTCACAGATTCAAATGCAGCTATGCCCTTGTAGCCCTCACCTTGGGCATGTGTCTTAACCTGAACCTTTATCAGTAAATACAGATACTGTTAACGGTCTCATAGAATTGTAACAAGTAAATAAATGTGGAAACTTGTAAAGTGCTCATCACTATTTTTTTTCATGAGCACAAAGGAAGTCCTTAACAAATGTTTCCATCCTCATTAATAGGGAACATTTGGCCAAGTGTATGGTGGAAATTTTGCCTAACTAAAGAGTAAGGGGCAAAGGGCAAATAATTTAAGTAGGACTTCTTTCATACCTCCCTTTGTATTTTTTATTTTATTTTTGTCTTTAATAAGTAAAATTAATACCTGACTGTGGAAAAAAGTCAAACAGTACAAAAGGGCATACCAAAGAAAGAGAGTCTGCCTCCACTGACCAATATCGCTAGTCTCGTGTATCTATCTGGAGTTTATGCAGAAAAGAGCACATATTCTTACAGCCCTCCTCTTTAAAACAAGACAGGATTGCTTATTTCCATTGAATTATTTATCTTGGAAATGTTATCATATAAAACTCCATCCTTTTTAACAGTACCCAGTGGGAGGTGCTGATTTAACCAGTCTCCTAAATTTGTCCAGTTTCTTGCTTTTACAGAAAGTGTCATAATGGACACCCTTATATGACGTAGATTTTGTGCACACCTGAGAGTGCAGTGGTCGGCTAAATTCCTGGGTGTGGTAGAATTACTGGTTTACTGAGAATGTGTATTTTGAATTTGTAAATATAATCTCTTTGGAGAGCAACTGGACAGTATTTCAGTTTATACTTCCAACAAGAATAAGAATGTTTCTGTTGTTAATGGTAAAAAGACCATTCTGATGTTTATTTACAATTTTAATTGGAATTTCTCTTATGAGTATGTCTGGGCACCTTTTCCTACGTTGAGAAACCATTCCTTTTCTATGAACTACTAATCTCTCATTGGCCCATTTTTCTATTGGGTTATTGACTTTTACAATAAAGCGAGTTGGACTTTTATCATATACAGTGCAAATATCTCTTCCCAACTCATTGCTGCCTTTTAAACATGGTATCTTTTAGCCATACAGACTTAATTTTATTATGTAGTTAAATTATCAAATATTTTGAATGTCTGAAATACATGTTATGCTTAGAAAGATATTACTCTTTTAAGATTAAATTGCCATGTTACTCTGCTTTATATAGATTTTTTTAAAAAGACCTAGTACTTTTTAAAAAACTATAGTTACTACTAGAGCATATTTCATCCCTTTCTAGTAATTGTATTTTGACAAGAGGATAAACTCATTTTGGTTCTCATCATGGAAGCTAAAAAGTCAACACCATAAGTATACTACTTAATGTTCTTCCTCAAGCCCTAAAGAGTATAGCTTCTATCACCTTTGTGAAGATAAGCATCCTAATTAATTTTAGCCACTTTCCTACAATTCAACTTATTGTCCTTTTCTGAATTTCTTTGGGAGTAACATCATTTTAACAGATACCCAACTGCTGAAATTCATCAAGAAATAGATGTATATGGTTTTCAAATGCAAAAAAAAATTAATTTACAAGTAGTTTATAGTCCTTACCAATACATTTAATAAAAAGTAAGCTTGTGAAATAGTTTTTGGAGATTTAAGAATGTTCAAATATAGAAAGATCCTGATATCTTTATTTTAATATTTTATTCCAGAAGAACAGCAATATATAGAAACATATTTGATCATGTGGATAAATTCTCAAATTATCTTAGCTCTATTTTGATGAAACTATCTTATATAGTTTGCCTATTAAAAATTTAAATGTTAGAAACCATAATTAAATATTGAGTGCTTACGAATAAGGCATTGTGAGAACTTACATCAGTTTTCTCCCTATTCCCCTCTGCCATCTCTAGTGCAGTTCACTCTCATCTGGAATAAAACAGCCTCCATTCCAGTCTTGCCCATCTCCAGTCTTTTCTTCAAACTACAGCCACAGTAAAATTTCTAAAATGCAAGCCTGACCTGATAACAGCACTTCATTCCTTAATATGCTTCAGAGGCTTCCCACTGTCCTTAGGGTAAAGTGCAAATTCTCTCATATAGCTTACAAGGCTATATAATTCATATAATTCATAATTCAGTCCCATTCCAGCCTCTTCTTTCAACGTTCTGCTCCAGCAATAGTAATCTTTCAACATTTCCAACACACCAAGTCCACTCCTTTCTAAGTCTTCACACATGCACCTCCCCTCAACCCTCACTCTTCACCACCTCAGTACAACACTGCCCTCATGGCCTGCCTGACCCTCAAAGGCAGGAGCGGTCACTGTGGTGTGGACTCACAGCATCTTGGATCACATTTGCTATCAAATCATCATGTGTTTATGTCTCTTTCACTGGACTTGAAGCTGATGAGTCATGTTCCCCACTGCTTCCAGGGGGCATTCAATTTGTTGACTGAATGGTCTGTTAATTTTAATATATCCATAGAAATAATTTACTTCCTATAAGTCTGTTCCCTCATCCCTCAAAAGAATTATACTTCAATAAAAATATTTCAACTTATACAAAAAACTTTTAAATTAGTCTTAAATATCAGTGACCAAAGCAAATGCATTTTCAGAATATCCATTTAAAACATCCTTGCTTTTACTTACATCTGAAACTGAGGAAGATTTTCAGAGGGCAATGCCAGGGCCAAATCCAAAAATTTGCAAGCAGAGAGATAGAGGTTTAACCACCGCTGGCTGTTATACGACGTAGAAAACCCATTGCCGCCTGTGTAGGTTGTCTCCAGACCAGCCACAGAGGGACCTGAGGTCCTGTGAGCAGGAGACAGTGCTGTCAGCAGCTGGACCTGTTTACTAACAGGTAATTCCTGGAAAACCTCAAAGTGCCAACTCATATTTTCATAATCATTTGAAAATGTACTTACTAAGCAAAGTTATGACTATAATTTAGCTGGTCTCAAACAAAACATTACCTTTTGTTCTTTAAATTTTATGAACATAAAAATAGTACAGAATTACTATGTTACACCCAAAAGTTTTAAAAACAAGAGACCTCTCTACAACTCAGTGTTGTTTTGCAAGGGATTGGGGAGGACTTTCTATAATAACAAGCAGTTATTAGTACGGGGAACTCTTTTATAAGCCGAGCACTGCAAAAGAATAAAATATACTCAAGACATAATGGTCTTAAAGGAAATTTTGAATTTATAAACTTATTTGTACAAAAATCCCTATATAAATAAAAATAAATTATATTTAGTCATACAATGAACTGCCTCTACTAAGAAGAATAAAATTATAATACATTAAAGTGAGATCATCTGGAAGATCTGGACATATGAATAACTTAGTGACAGGTTACCTCCCATAATACATTTTGCTGCATGTGTTGTGGCCAAGATTTGACCTACCAAAACCAATATGGCTCATGTACCTGAAACACTATTATATAGCTTTAAACAAAATTTGTGTCTAGAGGCCAAAGGCCGTGAATACTGATAGTTTAATCCAGTCTAAAGTACTCAAGGAATAAGTGAAAATATATCCAAATATGATAAAGTAGATAGTAACAGACTAAACACAGGGTGTGGCAAAAGTGGGTTTACAGCTGTGAGTGCAATATTCTTGTATTATTTATTATACAATTTTCCATATGAACAACTGTAAACCTACTTTTGCCCCCACCCTGTATATAAAGTACTTAGATAAAACAGTACCTGTACTCTCTTAGTTTTAACTAACATTCTGGATGATTTTAGGATACTAAACATTGTCAAGAATGTATTGAAATGAATTACATATTACCGTGAAATATCTTCATCAGCAGTGAGTTCCTGCTCCATCAGTAAAAATACCTGTACCTGAAGACCGGGGAATAAATGTTAAATGTTTTTTCAAATTGGAGATTTAATCCTTCTTGCAAGTTATCTTTAGGCTACATTTTCATTAATCTAAAAACAAATTTTAGGGGGGGGGCAGGAAGAGATTAATCAAAGAACTTGTATGCATATATGCATAACCCAAGGACACAGATAATAGTGTGGTGAAGGCATGAGGAGGGGGTGGGGGTGGGGTTGAGGGGGTCAATTGGGGGGAAAAGGGGGACATCTGTAATACTATCAACAATAAATAAAACCCCACACATTTTAGGAAACAACTTCAGGATCTTTATACTTAGTTTCTGAAAATAAAACTAGAAATTTACCACAGAGCCTTGTTAATAATTTGGCAGAGTTGAGATAAAGGTATGCTTTTGGTTTGGATGAATATGGAACAGAGTTACAGTTACTAAAAAAAAAAAAAAATATTAAAACCAATTTCTTTGTGGGGAAATTGTAAATGCTGGGTTGTCAGAGCTGTGCATTCCTTTCTCTTTCTTTATTCATCTCCCTTTCCCCAACTCCCTCAGATGAGGGTGACAGGGTATGGTTTGGGGAGAGGAATGGATTAGTGTAGGGGGAAGATTCTCTGTTTGGGAGAGTCTCTCTGAAGCCAGCTTAACTAGAGCAAGTGCTGCATTTTAGAGTGAGTACGTGCCTTATGTCAGTCCATTTAAATACAGCTACACCACCTCATCGCTCTAGAGGTGCTGCCACAGGTGGGAACCAGGCCTGGCAGCTGTGACAAAGTTAAACATTTAGTGTAGAAGAGATTGAATTAAACCAGATCAGACAAAGTAACGATTTACAAGTAGCTAATATTAATGCTGTATATTAGGAAGTTTAAGCTGTATGGAGAGGTAATCTGACTTGTTTTACTATTTTCCAATGTTAAAATTGTCAGAAAAGGCAACTAGAGTTCAAGTCTCTTTCAAAATTAGTTTTTATATAGTAAGCATGTTGACACTACCCGCGGTGCTCTATGATTTATTATAAATTGATTGAAAAAAAATGAACTTACAAGTTCTGTAATCATGGTAGGCCAGAGTGAGGTAAGATGTTGTGGAGACATTCTTAAAAGCAACACTCTGAAGAAGAGGAACACTTGAGAGTGAAGAGTTGGCACTTGGGGCAAACGGAGACTCTCCACTAATCTCTCTGAAAGAAATGCAGCAAATGGTCAATACCTAAATAAGGAGAATCATTTTAATGTAAAACTTTTCTATATAATCTAGTCTAGTTTTGCTCAAACTTTCTGTGGTGAAGGACCAACTCTTTACAAGATTTCTAATATGCTGCAGGTTGATACTTTTGTAAACTATAATAAAAATGAATTATTAGAAAAATCATAAAGAAAAAGATATAAAAATACAAATGCCATTTTCTTCTTATTAGAATCAACAGATTCTGTCAAATTGTTAAAATGTTAAAAAATGCTTACTGTAAATGTCTGTACGGGTCCACTTTGAATAGCCCTGATCTAGTCGACCTTTGAATGACAGCACAAACAGTGTGGGTGCTATCTATGCGACTTCAGATACAAGGGGTCAGGAAGGAGTCACTATCTTCTGAGAGAGAAATAATTTCACTGAGGAGATGGCAACTGTCAAGCCAGCCCCGTCCCCAGGCCAGCTGCTGTGGCTGGTGGCCGCCAAGCACACTGACAGAGCAGCAAACAATTCTGCCCCAGGGCAAGTTCATCCCCGGGTGCATGAAGTGCACTGACATCCTTCATGAAGGTTTATTGAAACCTTATTCACTCCATACCCTGACCCTAGACTACAGACTTGAAATGTTACTTCCAGCCAAAATTTCCTGGCTCTGCCTGTATTCTGGTCCTCTGCTTAAAGGTATATAGACCCCTTATCCACAATTTAAAAATGCTAATACTGCCCACAGCAAAATAGTCTTACACCTCATCCTCAAATATGAATCCCCAGGAAATGTAGGTCAAATAACAAAAGGAACTACTTTACAAACATTCTACAAACTCAGTGTTTGATTGCTTTTACACACTAGTGATATTTTTTATTGTTTCAATAGAATGAATTTCTAATTCTACAACATTTTTGATCTACCTATACTTGGTATTATTTCACCCCATATTACAACTTAAGGAAAGTATTTTCTAAGAAGCAAAAGCCCTCCAGTTTGGAAGGTAAATAAAATAGTTTCCACTATTTACCTTGTATATCTGGAAGATATTTCTGGTACTGGTCAATTTCACTGCTAAAAATAGCAAATGCTAATCTTTTGAGAAGCATAGCTCTCTGCTCAAGCTCCACATCCCGGTTTGCAAAGAGATTAAGTGAACTACTTTGAGCCACAGCCACACGAGCTGAAAACAGAAAGCGTGTGAGAGGTTGTGATATAGTCAGCCAGATCATTATTTGTTTTTAAAAATGGCTAGATCAAGAGTGGAAGGAACCTAGGGTAGAGAACTTGGGCTTCTCTCTCGGGCAGAGGGGGGACTGGCATCCCCTCTACATACACAAGCCAGATTTGTGTAGGAACTGTGATGTGGAGAGACAGAAAATTTAGAAGTATAAGTTTCTGAAGGTAAGATTACTAACAATGCCATTTTATAAACCCTTTAATATTTTATGCCATCTCCCTAATTTCTGGCCTGGCCTACCTTGCTCTCCTTTCTTATATGTTGTCACTCATCCCCTACTCACTCTTCTGCAACCACACTGTCTTGCTTGCTTTTCCTTGAACTCACCAAGCTTGTTCCCACCCAAGACCTTTATAGTTTTTGTTCCTATTCCAGAAATACTCTGCCCTTAGGACATCTCATGGCTTCTTTAGTTTCACCTCAAATATGAGCCCTTTAGCTGTTACTTAAAATGTATTGCATTGTTCTATTTCCTTCACAGCTTCTTACTTATTCCCGAAAATAATCTTATTAATGTGACTAAGGTTAGCATAATGCCAGGCCCATTTTTGTCTTTTAATAAATATTTGTTGAATGGATGAATCTGAACCTTAAAACAACGCAGTGAAAAATAGAGAAGCGAGAATATGCTGCTCCTTTATTTTCTGGAGGGGGACTGTAGTTTGTGTTTAAGAACTTGCGCAGAATCATACAGATCACCCAACTTTGCTGCTATTTAAGGTCATTAGCTTAGTAACTTCCAAACTTAAAAAACATTTAGTAACTTCCAAACTTAAAAACATTTTTAAAGAGCCTTTTTCTTCAGATGAAATATTACAATATATAAATATATAAAACCAATCAAGATAGAGTAGAAAGGGGATAGAGAGTGATTCCAACCTATTTTGGCCCCTCTTTCTTCCTTCAGAGGAGTTAAACAGAGCCCCAGGATTTTGAATGACTTGTCCCATAGTTTGGCTCCAACTGCCTGCATTTACCTGCCTCCCCACCTGGCACTCTTTCATTTCTTCAACAATTTCTTATTGGGAGCTTACTATGTGCTAGGTTCTACGCTGTGGTCTAAGGAAACAATTTACAGAAACATGGTCAAATAGTTTTACTTATTAATTATCACTATGCTGTCCTCTTTGAGTTTTAATATTATATTCCTATAGGGTACTAAGTATAACTTGACAAAGAGCGAAGTATAACTAGTAGTGTCTAAAAAGAGCAAAGTAAATAAGAATAGATTATATACAGGAAAGACACTGCTTAGATTGTCATCCCATAATACTCACTCATCAAATCTCTAAATGTTGTCTTATCATGTGTCATCAGATTGTCCAGAATTGCTCTCCAACTAAAAAAGACAAGGATTAAGATATGTAATTAAGATTTTGTTGTTATTATTATTAAAAAGTGTTCTTTGCAGGATAGTAATTCATTTCAACAGACTTTATGAGATGCATTATCATGTTGAATAAAAGCTAGACAATGACTTACTGATTAACACAAGAGGCATCCATCTGAAAGAAACTGGGATCCATAAAGAGGTCAAAGGCTTCTTTTTTCCAGGCTCTCCGGGTGTACTGATACCCACTAAGACTGCTGAGCAGCTGGACACAGGCTCGGTAACTAGGGGCATTATGTGCACTAGGAGGAAGGAAAACCACCTTAACCTATGTGTTATCATTTTAATCATCATAGTAAGTTATTCATTAATGTTCACAGTTACCTAAAACAATGCTAGGAAACAGAAAACACCATAAGATAAATTTTTTTATCATTATAATTCAAGGTAAAAATAATGTCATTTTGTGGTAATTCAAATAATGGCAATAAAGGAATTAATTTGCTTTGAATAAGCTATGAATTAATAAATCTACTTAAATAATAATAGTACCTGTGATTTCGGAGGTAGGGCACAACATAATGCATAATATTTACAAGTAAAGGAATAACTCGTTCTTTTTCATCACTATAAAAAACCATATCCAAAAGATGAGCCAAAACCTAAAAAAATAAAAAAAGAAGTGAAGTATAAGCTAAGAGCATTCAGAGGTGATTTTCATCTTTAAAAAAAAACCTAGAATACCTTAGAATTAGAAAAATATAAAATAAGATCTACCTAAGCCATTTTTATATGAATAGTTTGATACTATTTGCTTTTTTTGTTCATTATTACTATAGGATATGTAAATATGGGCAAATTTTACTATTTCTAACCGAGATAGGGAAGTATAGAAAAAGAGGGGTCAAGGTACTTTTAATGTGAGTGAGTAAATAGTAAATTTAAGACTAAAAACTCAGCATTCTCTTTTCCTGACCCAGTTAAAGGAGGCTTGGGGTAAAAACAACCAAATTAATTCAAATGCTGAAGTCCCAACTCTGTCAATTAATAGCTATTTGATTTGAATCATATTGTTCTAATCCTTGTGAGGCTCAGTATCCACATCTGAAAAGGGGAAACAAAAATGACCTGCAAGACTATATAACAGGATATAAAAAAAGAGCATGTCAGAGGATGCATATAAAAATGTTTGGTATACTGTAAAATACTCTATAGTGGCAAGCATTATTATATCATCTCTACCCCTCCCTACCATACTATGATACAAAAGCACTTATCTTTTTATAAAAAGTACACTTTTAAAAAATAGTATTTGGGAAGTTGAGCAAAATCTAAGGTTATTATCACTAATATTTAAAAAACTAACCTGAATACATATTCAAACTTTATGCTATACAACTTTATTCTATACAGTGATTTCTATAAGTACAAAATGATTATTCAAATTAAAAACTCTAAGAATTACTTGCTAATATTTGTGAAACTTTTTACTTGAAAGTTCATTTTTAAAAACTTAAAAATATTTACCTCAGAAAGTAATGTCAGTGCGTGGACACTATATAGAGAAGGAGCTATGTTTGACGTTTCCAGTGCTGGTGATAACATATCTAAATAAGAGAAGATGCAGGTAAAGATAAAGTTAGATCTTTTCCCACTAAGAAAGCTACCTGCTAAATGTGAGGGAAAAGGGATGATTATGTGGTATTTCTAGTAATAGCTGCAATGATTTCTTAGTGAATATACACCTACACATATAAGCCTAAATGTTTGATATCAATACCTTCAACATCAGATTCCAGAGTGGTTCCGTCCACCGTTATTTTGGGAGAAGGCTTAACTTCAAGATTCCGGCGTAGCCATGTTGTCTGTTCCAAAGAAGAACCAGCAATTGCCCCAATTGCATCCACTATTTTATGAGTCACATCCTAAAGAAACAAGGAAAAACCACTATAAATACATGTACGTATATACAGGCACATGAAACTTCACAGACAACATTATTTGACCTTCCCATTTTAGTGTTGATGACACTGAGAAACAGAGTTTGGGCAACAGTCCTCAATTCAGAATGCCTTACCTGAAGGTCTCTTTGGTCTTTTTTATTTTCCAAACTAGGGTTTTTCATAATAAACTCATTCAGAACCCTAAAGGAGCCAAAAACAAAACAAAACAAAATGGAAATATTAAAGAAAATGATGCAATCTAATTTCTCACAGTAAGCAAGTGACTTTGTGGCCTCAATTTCTGTTTTGTATGTTTAATGATTATATATATTATATCCTATGACTCAGATGAAATACATAAGACTATTCCATGAAAAGATATGTCCCAGGATGTTCACGTAACAACATTATTTGCAAAAGCCAAAAACTGGAAAGAAGAAAAATGTCCAACTCTCCAAAAATTCATCTGGAATAAAAAAAGGCCCTGAATAGCTGCAGCGATCCTGAGAAAGAAGAACAAAGTAGGTGGGATCTCAACACCTGATATCAAGATGTATTACAAAGCCACTGTTCTCAAAACTGCCTGGTACTGGCACAAGAACAGACATATAGATCAATGGAATAGAATAGAGAACCCAGAAATTGACCCGAACCAATATGCTCAATTAATATTTGACAAAGGAGGCAAGAACATACAATGGAGTCAAGACAGTCTCTTCAATAAATGGTGTTGGGAAAATTGGACAGATACATGCAAAAAATGAAACTAGACCACCAACTTACACCATACACAAGAATAAACTCAAAATGGGTAAAGGACTTAAATGTAAGACAGAAAACCAAATACTAGAGGAATCCAAAGGCAACAAAATCTCAGACATATGCCGAAGCAGTTTCTTCACTGATACTGCTCCTAGGGCATTGGAAACTAAAGAGAAAATAAACAAATGGGACTACATCAAAATAAAAAGCTTCTGCACAGCAAAAGAAACCATCAACAAAACAACAAGAAAGCCCACTGCATGGGAGAACATATTTGCCAATGTTATCACCGATAAGGGTCTAATCTCCAACATTTACAGGGAATTCATACAACTTAACAAAAGGAAGATAAACAATCCAATCAAAAAATGGGCAAAGGATCTAAATAGACACTTTTCAAAAGAGGACATTCAGAAAGCCAAGAGACATATGAAAACATGCTCAAAGTCACTAATCATCCGAGAGATGCAAATCAAAACAACAATGAGGTACCATCTCACACCTGTCAGAATGGCTATCATCAACAAATCAACAAATGACAAGTGCTGGAGAGGATGCGGAGAAAAGGGAACACTTGTGCACTGCTGGTGGGAATGCAGACTGGTGCAGCCACTATGGAAGACAGTATGGAGTTTCCTCAAAAAACTAAAAATGGAACTCCCATTTAACCCTGTGATCCCAGTTCTAGGAATATATCCCAAGAAAACAGAAACACCAATCAGAAAGGATATATGCACCCATATGTTCATAGCAGCACAATTCACCATAGCTAAGATCTGGAAACAGCCTAAGTGCCCATCAGTAGATGAATGGATTAGGAAACTGTGGTACATCTACACAATGGAATACTATGTTGCTGTAAAAAAGAAGGAACTCTTACCATTTGCAACAGCATGGATGGAACTGGAGAGCATTATGCTAAGTGAAATAAGCCAGTCAATGAAAGAAAAATACACATGATCTCACTCATTTATGGATAATAAAGACCATTATAAACTGATGAACAAAAATAGATACGGAGGCAGAGCAGCATCGAACAGACTGTCAAACTACAGCGGGAAGGCCAGAGAGGGTTGGGAGGCGGCAGGGGGCGGGTAAGAGATCAACCAAAGGACTTGTATGCATGCATATAAGCATAACCAATGGACACAAGCCACTGGGGGGTAGGAGAGGTCGGGGGAATGTCAAGGGGGCGGGGAGGAAAGGAGACATATGTAATACTCTTCGTAATACTTTAAGCAATAAAAAAAAAAAGAAAAATGTCCAGCAACAGAGATAAACTGTGGCATATTCATACAATGAAATACTAAACAGCGATGAACATGAATAACTAACTACATGAAATTACATGGATGAATCTTACTAACGTGTGAAGGAAGCAGACACAAAATAAATGTTATACTTATCGTTCACAAACGAAGCAAAATTTATCTGTGGTGTTAGAAGTCAGAATAGTGGTTATCTTTGGGGAGAAGGGAAAGGACAGTAATTGGGAAGGGACCTTAGGGGAAATATGGTGTTTTATTTCTTAATTTAGACTCGTTATTATACACTTATGTGTTTACTTTATAATAATTTGTGGAGTTGTGTACTTAATTATTTGTATGTTTTTCTGTATGTGTTTTATGCATCAACCAAAAAGTAAAAAGAAAAAACAAAAAACCACACCTAAACCCCACCAATTTTAAATTGTGACATAGAAATGGTTCTTACCCTGCATGTGTATATATAATATGTAATATTATATATATAATAAATAATAGATTAAATTAAAATGTTTCCATTTCCATTGTTTGCTAAGCTATTCCACTCAATATTTATTTTGACTTGGTTTTATTAAGATAAATTATATGCATAATTATTTTCAAACTCAAATGTAAAGTTATATTGAAGAGTAATCCTCATGTTGATTTCTATTTTATAATTGGAAACTTTTTAAAGAATCAGTGGGATGGTTGGGAAAAATATATAAACAACCAGAAGTTTAAAAAGGGGAGTAAGTTTCTAGTATAACCGAACATGTCCAATTTTATTGTGTAAATGCTCAATGTACACACATATTGAGGAGCAGATAGGATCCTTCAGTATCTGAGAACTGAGAAAGAAAAGGTAGTTGAGAAAACAGTAAATTTTGTAAGGGAGAAGCTACAAGTCATAATAGATGTTCTTAAATTTTAATGAAATTCGCCAGCAGGGTTATTTGGTGATGATTCAAACAACTGTACATATATTCCCTCGTTGAGCCTTAAAACAGTACAGAGGTGGGTAGGGCAGATATTACTGCTTGATAGAAAAATAGCCTTGGAGAGGTTTATTGATGTACCCAAGGTAACAGAGATTAGGGTTGGAAGTAGAGCTTAAAATATAAGAACCAGAAATCTTCATTAGAATGTTTGATTTCTAGTAATTACATCTCTCATTACTAAAATCATACACATGGGGCCTTTGCTGGTTTTGCTCAGTGCATAGAACATTGGCTTGTGGACTGAAGGGTCCCAGGTTCAATTCAGATCAAGGGCACATGCCTAGGTTGCAGGCTGGATCTCCAGTAGGGAGTGTGTAGAAGGCAGCCGATCAATGATTCTCTCCATCATTGATGTTTCTATCTCTCTTTCCCCTCTCCCTTCCTCTCTGAAATCAGTAAAAATATATTTTAAAAAATAAAATCATACACATGGGTAATCTTAACTTCTGTTCCAGGAATTGCAGACATCAAGTCCACTGTTCTTTTTATTATACCTTCAATCTCCAAAACCCTTCAGTTTTTTTATTTAGAAAATAGCATGAGGATCCAAGGATCATTCTGATCCCTGAAATTCTCAAGCAGGATCTCTAGCTCGCTGTGGCTGGGCAGTCAACGTTACCCAGCTACTACAGGCTGATCCACTCTCTTCAAGCTCTCAGCTCTGTTGCTCCACCTTCTCTCTGCTTCCTGTTGGAAGACTACAGTCCCACAATTACTAGGAAACATGAGGTCATCTTACTGAAGAACCCTCAACTTCCTTCTTATCCACTTCAAATTTTTCTACACCATTAGCTGCCAAACCAGAACTGCTAGTTCCCTTAAGGACAATAAGGGTAGAAGGTAAGTCTATGTATATAGAATCACACAATCACATACATTAAATCAGTGTCATAGCTACAGAGGCTGACTAGTAGATTGAAGTTCTTTGCTACTGGTTGAATTTATCCATTCAGTGTGATAACATATTGGCTGTCATTGACTACTAATGACACCATTAGACTATCTGAGGTAATGTGAAAAAGTTTATTTCCTTTCTTTTCCCCCTTATGTCTTAAGCAGTCCTTTTTAAACTTTAAATGTGTACTAAATCATGTGGGAATCTTGTTTAAATAAAGATTCTGATTGGGGAGTGGTCTGGGGTAGAGCCTATGATTCCACATTTCTAACAAGATCCCAGCTGATTCCAATGCTTTGAGTGGCAATGTCTTAGAGAAAATGCATCCTTTTTTCTCACTTTTAGACTTGGTGCCCTTCAATGCTTTCCATTCCTTCCCTGCTGTCTCTGGAATCTGGTGCTATCAAGGAGATTCTCTCTAGAATCTGCTGTCACTCTCCACTTACATTACACTTACTGAAGACCATCTTACTAAAAGAGGCCAGGCACTATTTAAGATTTTAACAAATATTTAACTCATTTAATCCTCATAACAACTCTATAACAGGCACCATTATCATTCCCATGTTATTAAGTGACGTGTCCAAGGGCACACAGCTAAGAAGTAAAGGAGCTAGGATTTGTACAACTTCAGAATCTTTGCTAGTAACAAGTCAAGGTCCTCAGGTCTTCCTTACCATTAATATGACCTTTGAATCACATTTCCTCTTGCTACCTCATAATGTATTCCTTTTCATGATTAAACACCTTCAAAGAATAACCCACACTTACTTTCTCATTCTAATCCTTTGCTGTTCACATCTGTGCTTACTATCTTGCCAAACTCCTTTCCCCTAAATCACCAACCCTCTCCAAATCATCAATAATTATAGCCTCTTATTTATCCTCTTCTTCCTTAATCTTTCTGGTATTACTTATGTCCTCTTAACTTCTCTGTTTTAAAACACTGAATATATCTGGTTTTCTTCTCACTTTCTGGTATCTGCCTTTCTATCTCCTTTGCTGACCCCTTTTTCTTCTTCTTTGTCTGTTCTTTCACTCCCATCAATAGTTCATATTCCCTAAGTCCCACTTGAAACATAATTCCTAGTCCATCCTCTTTCCCCTTTGATCCATCCTCCTACTAACTTGTCAGTCACATCTCTCTTCGTCCACACCTATCTAAGACCAAACCTTTTAAGCTAAAATGCAAAGTGCTTCTCTATCTAGCTCCCATCTCCCTTTTCATCCATCTCCCATTCCACTGCCTGTGCCCTACTCTGTAACCAAATCAGACAAGGTATCTTGCCCAATATACCTTCCGCTTCCTGTCTCCTACAACCTCATAGAAAGAAAGCTTTCTGTTCCTACCATCTCCATTCACAGATTAAGTATTTATTGTGAACCAAGAATAATGGTAAGCAAAAAAAACAATGTCCATGAAATCATGGTGCTTGAAGTTAAGCAAGGATGACTGGAATTTATCAAATAATCATACAAACTAGTAACATAAATCAGGAAAATTACTTTTCCAAATCTGTTTATGCTCAGGGCCTTGAACTCAAATGACCCTCCTCTATGCAGTCCACTTCAGCTATCCTACTCACCCCTTCCCCCTTTTTATTTTTTAAATATATTTTTATTGATTTCAGAGAGAGGAAGGGAGATGGAAAGAGAGATAGAAACATCAATGATGAGAGAGAATCACTGATTGGTTACCTCCTGCACACTCCTACTGGGGATTGAGTCCAAAACCCAGGCATGTGCCCTGACTGGAAATCGAACTGTGACCTCCTGGTTCATGTCACCCCCTTCCCTTTTAATCCACAGTCTCTCCTCATGAAATAACTAGTGTTGTAAGTTTTACACTAGCACATTTACATTTTGTATATGTATAAACATGATTTCTCTATCCCTGCTCACTCCTTTATTTACAGGCCTCATACTATACATCTAGTTTTATACCTTGAGAATTCTTTGAGAAGGTAGAGATCACATGATCACCCAAAACATCTGATATATAGCAATTAAGACAATGAACATTCTTCTTTTATTCAAAACTAGAGGCCCGATGCACAAAATTCGTGCAAGGAGCTCGGCTCCCGCCACCGTGGCAGCTGCCTTGGTCCCCGCTGCCGTGGCTTCGTCCGGAAGGTCATCCGGTCTAATTAGCATATCACACTTTTATTATTATAGATAATATTTTTAAGTGAAATTGCTTACCCAAGAATAAGGAACTGCCCTGGGGCTGGAAGACTCAGTTGTATAGAGTCTTTCAGTAGGATCAAAAGTGATGCCCAGCTATCCACTAAATTGGGCACTGGAATTCTGCAAGATAAATATATTTTTTATATATACATATATAGAAATCCACAGTAAACTTTAATTTTTTTATAATTTCACCAATAGTCTTTAACAAATTCTCCTAATTTCTTAAAACATTCCCTAAATCTTTATAGACTATAAGAGAACAAAATCCCTAGAAGCTTTCTTTTTTCTACTGTTACATAAAAAGAAAATCAAATACATTTAATACCCAGTACAATTTATTAGTCTAGAAATTTTGCTGTAGAGACCCTGTTTTTAACACATGGACTCTCAAAACTAAAATACAACTGAAATCTCATTTTTATTACTAACATCATAGTCACCTACTCCCTATCCTGTTCTCTCCACTTCTCTCCTTTACTAGTTCTTTTTTCTTCACCCATGAGTCTGTCTCATCTTTGGGAGACCTGTTAACCTACCCTGAACATCAGTCTCTCACCTATAGGGAAATTATCTTGTGTCTGTCTGATCTTAACCCTAACACCTCTATGTGTCGAAGTTTAGATTTTAGGCAGCCACAATGAGTTTTAATACACCATACAACCTAATTTATAATAATGTCCGTCATAGACCACAAAATGATGCCATGCTTGGTGATTAAAACCAAATTACCCTATAACAGAGGATAAGGATTCAAGTTCTCCAGTAAGAATTTTATCAAAATTGAAGTCAACCAACTTTCTATTCAGGGGTTAGCTAAATGGAAAATTGGAATGCCATAACAAAAATATATTTTCATATTATTATTACTAACATTTAAAAAATCATATTAAGCTACCACATATTCACCTATATAAAAATAATAATAAATTCAGTGGCAGTAGGCATGGTTTCAATAGTAGGATTCAGCTTTTTATTTATATTTAAATAATTTTCTTACAATTCAGTGTTTTAACACCCAGTGTATCTTAAATACACGTAGGTCTTCACGTTTTAGGCTGTGTCATGAAGATATCCAATGACTTGTATTAATATATCCAGAAACAATGTTTCTGTTTCTAGCATTTGTTCTTTTAGTTTTAGGGGGAAGAAATAGCAATTTTTTGAAAGAATTCAGGTGCTTTTCTCCTATATTTCCTAACTTTTACACATTGCTAATACAGTACGGAGAGATCCACATCAGTTATCTTACCTTTGAATATAAGCATAGAAAAACTGAAGCATGCAGACTTCCAAAGAAAGATGTTTCTATAAACAAAAGAAATCAATTTTACAGTGAAGAAAAATGCTGCCTTTGCTTTTTCATTGTTGCAACTACTCTGTATTTTACTGCCAATTTTTAATTAAAGAACAAAACAAAATCAAACACAAATTTGTCATAAAAACAAAACAAAACCATGCAGCTCTTTCATTTAGTATGGGAAAAACTCGAGCTATTTAAAAAGTTGAAAATGGAAGGAATAGAAAGATTCTAAATTCCTACCCTACCACTCTAGCTATTACTTTTAAATGATCGATTTACTCTGTAAGTACCAAATCTAGTTTTATTTTAATTACCTTATGCTTAGTTGGTGCTATCAGAATTAAGTTGAGATATTTTTATAAAATGTGCTTTTAATTTATTTTATCACACATTTCTGTTAAATTAATATAGTTAGTTAAATTTGGGAACAACGCCTAATATCTAAAATGTAGTCTTTATCTAAAAATAGTGCTGAGTGAAACATATAATAAAAAGAAACACCTGTACTTAGAAATTAATACTAGGTAAGAAAATGAAACTGTTGACCACTGACATTTACCAATTTGTTCCCTTTTCAGTAGCAAATATTCCCTTGAAGTTTTCCCCTTTTATCACAAAGAAAATGAAGTATCTAATCTACTCAGAACTTAGTAGAGTGAGAACAGAGGGGCAGCAGATGGTGTGTGTGTGTGTGTGTGTGTGTGTGTGTGTGTGTGTGTTGTGTGTGTGTGAAATGTGCTCTTGTTTTCATATCCTGCACACTTAGCCCAATATTTGGTACAAGTAGATGCTGAGAATATTATGCTGAATTGAGTGTTCACAGGCAAATTTAAAATCCTATCACAAATGCCCCAGAGGTGATTTCAGAATAGTAAGAAAAGCATTAAAAAGATAAGAACATTGGCTATTTACATATGCAAGCACACTTTCCCTATTGGTAAATCAAGGAAAAAATTTCAAGATTTTCAGATCTGTGTAATAATTCTTTCATGGATGTGATTAGGTCTCTTTTGAATGACCTGAAGTCTAATGTTTGCAGTTAATAAATAATTTCTAAGAAAATATGACCTCTTAATATTGCTATAATTAAAAGCAGAAAAAGTAAAGAGGCCATAATTTTACTACTTGTAGAATTTCATGTCTGCCTAATTAAAGACAGTGCACTATGAATGCAGAGATTGTGTCATTCATTTTCTGTAGCTCTTCGAAGATAGTCTTGTACATGATCAAGAAATGACACTGACTAGAACTAAAGTTATAGCAAAATATGAGAAGTTTACAGAATTAAGAGATTCATTTTGAGGAACAAGACAGGGATGCCCACTTTCATCACTCTTATTCAACATAGTACTGAAAGTCCTAGCCACAACTATCAGACAAGAAAAAGAAATAAAAGGTGATCCAATTTGAAAGGAAGAAGAAAAACTGTCATTATTTGCAGATAACATGATACTTTATATAGAGAATATTAAAGATTCCACCAAAAAACTATTCAAACTGATAAATTCAGTAAAGTAGTAGGACACAAAATAAATATTCAGAAATCGGTTGCATTTTTATACACCAATAATAAATTATCAAAAAGAGAAAGTAAGAAAACAATCCCATTTACAAGTGCATAAAAAATACATAGGGATAAATTTAACCAAGGATGTAAAAGACCTGTACTTGGAAAATTGTAAGACACTGAAGAAAGAAAATGAAAAAGACACAAATAAATGGAAGCATATACTGTGGTCATGGATAGCAAGAATATTGTAAAAATGTCCATACTACCCAAGTGATCTATAGATTCAACATTAATTCCTATAAAAATACAAATGGCATACTTCACAGAACTAGAACAAATATTCCATAAATTTATATGGAACCACAACAGACCTGAATAGCCATAGCAATCTTGAGAAAAGAATAAAGTTGGAGGAAGCATGCTACCTAATATCAAATTATACTATAAGGCCATAGTAATCAATGCAGCATGGTATTGGCATAAAAACAGACATATATTAATGGAACAGAATAGAGAGCTAAGAAATAAACCCATTCCTGTATGGCCAATTAGTATAACATTTGACAAAGGAGGCAAGAATATACACTGGGGGAAAGACAATCTACTCATTAAATGGTGTTGGGAAAATTGGACAGATACATGGAAAAAAAGAAAATAGATTACCTCCTTTCACCATATATACAAGTATAAACTCAAAATAGATTAAAAACTTAAATGTAAGACTGGAAACCATAGAACACATAGGTAGTAAAATCCTGGACATTTCTTTTAGCAAGTCTCCTTGGGCAAGGGTAACAAAAGAAAAATAAACAAATGCAACTACATTACACTAAAAAGTTTTTGCACTGCAAAGGAAAGCATCAAAAGAAAGAGAGAGAGAGAGAGAGAGAGAGAGAGAGAGAGAGAGAGAGAGAGAGAGAGAAAGAGAAAGGAAGGAAGGAAGGAAAGGAAAGGAAAGGAAAGGAAAGGAAAGGAAAGGAAAGGAAAGGAAAGGAAAGGAAAGGAAAGGAAAGGAAAGGGAAGACAACCCACTGAATGGAGAACATAGGAAGGAAGGAAAGGAAAGGAAAGGAAAGGAAAGGAAAGGAAAGGAAAGGAAAGGAAAGGAAAGGAAAGGAAAGAAGGAAGAAAGAAAAGACAACCCACTGAATGGAGAACATATTCACCAATGATATATATGATAAAGGGTTAATATCCAAAATTTATAAAGAATTCATACACCAAAAATATACAAACAATTCAATTAAAAATGGGCAAAAAACCTGAATAGACACTTCTCCAAAGAGGACATACAGATGTCCAATAGACATAAGAAAAGATACTCACTGTCATTAATCATCAGAGAAATGCTATTTAAAACCACAAGAGATATCACCTCATGCCTGTCAGAATGGCTATCACCAATAAATCCACAAATGACAAGTGTTAGTGATGACGTGGAGAAAAAGGAACCCTTGTGCACTGTTGGTGGTAATACAGATTGATGCAGCCATTGTAGAAACAGTGTGGAGGACCCTCAAAAAATTAAAAATGGAACTGCCTTATGACCCAGTGATTCCACTTCTGGTATATATCCAAAGAAACCCAAAACACTAATTTGAAAGAATATATGCACCACTATGTTCACTGCACTGTTATTTACAATAGCCAAGGAATGGAAGCAACCCAAGTGCACATCAATAGATGAGTGAATAAAAAAGCAGTGGTACATATATACAATGGAATATTACTCGGCCATAAAAAAGAACAAAGTCTGAACCACTTGCAACAGCACGGATATTATGCCAAAGGGTACTATGCTAAGTGAAATAAGTCAGTCAGAGAAAGACAAATAGCATATGATTTCACTTATATGTGGAATCAAAAGAAAACTATAAACAAACAAACAAAACAGAAACAGACTCATAGATACAGAGAACAGACTGCTGGTTGCCAGAGAGGAGGAGGATTGGGGACTGGGAGGAAAAGGTGAAGGGATTGAGAAGTACAGATTGGTAGTTAACAAAATAGTAATGAGGCTATAAAGTACAGCATTGGAAATATAGTCAATAAGATTATAATAACTATGTATGGTGTCAGATGAGTACAGGAAAGATTAGGCAGAACACTTTGTAAAGTATATGAATGTCTAGCCACTATGCTGTACACATGAAACTAACACAAAATAATATTGAATGTAAACATTAATTGAAAAAAAGAAAAAAAAGAGTCAGATTCATTTAGAAGAGAAAGCAATGAAGAAGCTTTGAGAAGGTCAACAACTGAGGTAAGCAGACCTTAGACTCTGGCTCTGTGTTCTTCCTTTAAAGGACTAGAAGCCCACCAGCCTTCCCTTGCCCGCCCCTAAGAATTCGGCCACACAGCTGTTGACTGCCTTAGATGGACATATAGAGATATGAGCAGTCAACTATTTTTCACTAGCTACAGAATGATCACAATAGTAAGTCACTGAAGTTATTGATAACTGTTTTTATTACAGCAGTGCAAGTGCCACATGCATTCATCTCTGCAAAAAGGACATTACTGTACAACAAAAAACCTTACCTACCAGCATCATTTTTCAAACAGAACTGTAAACAAAAGCTGAGAAAAGCTCTTCTTACCTTGTCTTTTGCTATGGCTGGGGGCTGCTTTAAAACTTCTTTCACAGTCTGTATAACAGTTTCTGTTCTCATGACACTGATTGAGCGAACCAGTTCTACCAGTAAAAGCTGTTCTTCACTGGCTGCAGGAATAACCTGGATAACACATCATTGTATTTATATATGTGTGTACATAAGTCTTTTAAGAGGACTTTCAAAGGATTTTTCAAGTCCATTGATTATATATCAGGTAAAATTTATATTTTTTATCAGTAACACATGTACATTATTTTTTAAAAATCATATAGGACAATAAGCCTGATTAAAAAAAATTGCAGTGCCCTTTCCTTTCTCATGACCCAAAGCAACCATGTTCAACTCTTAGCTCTTTTCTATTATTTCTGAATGATACACAATGCTATTATATTTTCCTGTTTCACCCCCCACCCCAATTTTAGATATTACCTACTGACTCCAACTTTAGGAGACAATGATTGAGGTCGCTTACTCTTTTCTTCCTATCCTCCCAACATAGTTATGTCATTAATTTAAAATAAACATCCAGTGTTCACATGCCTACTTATGGTTGTGCTGTATATTGAACTATCATTGCATTTCTCTTCTAATTAAACTTTTTGTTTTTCCTAGAATTAAGACACTGCTTTTTTTAAAATTTGGTTTTCTCTACTTCTATCACAAATTCTTCCTCAATGCTCCAGCAACTGTAAATCTCCTCTTATTACATATTCAAACATACCAGGTAGTTAATTTTCTACCCTTTCCTCCTCCATTTAGTGTCTCCTTTTTTTTTTTTCTGTGAGAAATCTGCTCAATGTCTTTCTGTTCTACCCTGGGTTCATGCCCTCTAGGCTTGCTACACAGTATCATCTTGATATCTCTCCTGAGACCATCAGCCTAGAAATTCCCTTTCTATTTCTTCTGTGTTGGAACCTCTATTGATTGGATCCTATATCTTCTTCCTTCTTGGTTTAATCCTCCTCTGGTGGAGATGCATTTTCCTATAGTTGAGACTGTGAATTTATTGCAAATTTTTTTTTTTTTTTTTTAGATATTGCATGGTTCAAAACACCTTAAGTGACATTTTGGCTGGGTATGAAATTATAGTTTGAAACTAATTTTTCCATCACAATTTCCAGTGTTGCTATTGACAAGTCTTTTCATTATTCCAGTATTTTCTCTTGAGGATATTTTCAGATCTCCTCTTTAAATCCAGTGTCCTGAAATCACATGCTGATCTTTGTGGAGATCTCTTTTTCACAGTGACTGTCAAAGGAATGTTCTTGTACTATTTCTTTGATATTATTCTCTCCTCATTTTTTTCTGTTCCATCTTTCAGCAAAGATATGAACCTCCAGTATCACTGCCCTAATTTTCTTTTTATTTTATTGATTTTTTTTAGAGAGTGGAAGCGGGGGTAGGGAGGGAGGAAGAGAGGAAGAGAGAGGAAGGGGAGGGAGAGAGAGAGAGAGAGAGAGAGAGAGAGAGAGAGAGAGAGAGAGAGAAACAAACAAACATTGGTGTGAGAGAGAATCCCACATGTGCCCCAACTGGGGATCAAACCTGCTACCTGGGTATGTGTCCTGAGCAGAAATCAAACTCTCCATCTTTTAGTGTTCAGGACAACACTCCAACCAACTGAGCCACACCAACCAGGGCTCACTTCCCTAAATTTCTTATCTCCTTTTTCCCATGTCCATTTTCCCAAGTTTGCATGCTATTTCTGATATTTACCCCTTTTGCTTTCAACTCTTAGTTTGTTTAGCCTCTGCTATAAAATTCAATATCCAAGAAAAATTTTAATTTTTTGCAATGATCTTTCTACCAGTCTCTAATATTATGGATGCAATATGGTTTTACTTATTGAAATACATTATTATTATTGTTCACATCTTCTGTTTTCTGCATTGTTTCTTCTTTTTTATCTACTTATTTTGGTCTTTGTCTATCATATAAGCTTTTTTTCCATATGACTGTTAATCCTTATCTTTATATTCATAGTTTCAGGTGTATAAAACAGTGATTGGACATTACATAACTTATTACACCAATAAATCCAGTTCCCATCGGATACCACACAGTTATTACAATATTATTGATTATATTCCCTAGGCAGTACTTTACATCCTGTGACTATTCTGTAGCTACCAATTTGTACTTCTTAATCTCTTCACTTTTTTCACCCCCCAACCCCCTCGCATCTTTCACCCAGTCCCCAAATCACCTGCCCCTCTGGCAACTATCAGTCTGTTTCCTGTATTTATGAGTCTGTTTCTGTTTTGTTTATAGTCTTCTTTAGATTTCACATGTAAGTGAAATCATACAGTATTTGTCTTTCTCTGACTGACTTATTTAACTTAGCATAATACCCTCTAGGATCCACCCATGCTGTTGCAAATGGTAAAACTGATGTGAGAGAGAAACATCGATTGGTTGCCCCATGTATCTGCCCCAACCAGGGATCAAACTCCCAACACTGAACCCCCAACCTTGGTATCTGCTTTGCCTGGGAACTGAACCCCCAACCTCTTTGGTATGGGACTATGCTCCAATCAACTAAGCCACCTGCCAGAGACCTTTGAGCATTTTTAATTTGGATTGTTTGTATTTTTTGAGTTCTTTATAAATTTTGAATATTAATCCTTTATCATATGTATCATTGGTGAATATATCCTCCATTCAATGGGTTGTCTTTTCTTTCTTTTTGATGGTTTCCTTTGCTGTGCAAGAACTTTTAAGATAATGTAGTTGCATTTGTTTATTTTTTTTCTTTTGTTTACCCTGCCCAAGGAGATTTGTTAAGAGAAATGTCCAAGATTCTACTGCTTATGTTTTCTATGATTTTTATGGTTTCCAGCCTTACATTTAAGTTTTTAATCCATTTTGAGTTTTATACTTGTATATGGTATAAGGTGATCTAGTTTCACTTTTTTTTGCAAGTATCTGTCTAATGTTCCAAACATTTAATGAATAGACTACCATTACCCCATTGTATGTTCTTGCTTCCTTTGTCAAATACTAATTGACTGCTTTTACATATTCCAGGATTTTAATTCTGTCCAATGTACTATCTACTACTTAATTCTCAAATGTTAAAATAATGTCATATAAGTGAAATGTTTATTTTTAGTACTTTAGAAATGTCAGCATATATGTAATGTGAATTCAGCACAAAAATAACATCAGAAACCTCTAGCTAGACAAATCATATATCTTGTGTGACTGTAAATTTAACAGCCTTAATATCCTAATGTCACTATTTATTTCTAATATAGAACACTTTCTTGAGCTTTCAAAGTCACAAAGTAACAAAATTTTCACATATATAACCTAGTAAAAAACAATTTATGAATTACATTTAGAAACAAACTATTTAACCTATCATATCATAATGAAAAACTAGTGAACTTAAAAACTTTTCATTATATCCTTGCTTTGTACCCTGAATAGCTAGCATTTAAAAGATAATCTGTACTATATCATCATGGCTGTCTAAATATGGCTACAGTTTTAATATCATACTAATTTTTCTTTTCACATAAAAATACCTTTTATAATTATTTAAGAAATTTAGGCAACAAGTCATTACCTAAACAGGTGCACAAAATGTTGCTTTTCTACTTACCCACCCAATATTGGCCCTTTTTAATTAATGAAGAGTTGAAAATTAGCTTGTCCAGCAGGTCATCAAATGATACAATTTTGTTCAATATCTTTTCATTATAACATGGATGAGATGCTGTAGGAACTTAACTGTTGTTTATATCAATTAGCCTATGGTAAAATTGGTTTCATTATAGTATGTTCCAAGAACCCACAGTCAATGTTAAGTGAGGACTTACTGTACTTGCCAAATGCTTTACCAAACAGAAAAATAAAAAGTATAAAATGGTTAAATACATACCCTGGTCCTGTTGATATTTTTATTCTGCCTTCTTTCATTCCATACAAATGCAATGGCAGCCATAAAGTGAACACCATGATTCATTGAAATGGGGCCCAATAATTCAAGAATTTGCTGTCTCAAGTTCTAAAACAAGCAAATGACAATTGAATTAAAAAGTATGAAAGCATTAACAACTAACCTGCACTTTCAGTTTTTCTTGAAGTAATGTATACAGTACTTTTATGTTTTACTACCTAAACAACAGTAGAGGAAACTTTAATTATGTTAATATATGCAACCATAGTCATTTTAATTCTAAAACAGGGGTGAGGGAGAGGGAAGGGGAATCCTATAAAATGACAACGAATCAGCTAAATGCAAGAGTGTAATCAGTGTGATGAGATAACAAAAAAACACAATATAGTTGACCCTTGAACAACAAGGGTTTGAATGACAAGGATCCACTAATATGTTAATTTTTTCCCCAATAAATACTTGCACTATTTTCCATCTGCATTTGGGAGTCCATGAATGTGAAGGACTGATTGTATGCACTGTTCTAGGCTATTTTATATAGGAAATTTGATCACCTACAGATTTTGACACCAGGGGAGGTATCCTGGAATCAAACCTCCATGAACATTGAGGGGGGAAAAATTTGGGGGCAGACAGAAGTTACTCATGGATTTTCCAATGCACTGGGGATCAGTGCCCCCAACCCATGAGGCTCAAAGGGCAACTATACATGAAATTCAATTATGTTTTATGTAGATTCATTATTAAAAGGGAGAGGGGTCTTACATTTTAGTAAAATTGAATAAAATAAAAACCACAGTTTAATCCAAATATCAGTACTTAGACAAAATTTTCCTCATGATTCTAACCCTTCCCCTTTTCCCAATTACAAACATGTTCCCACGACTCAAGTCTAGGAAGTCAGGTCTAGATAATAGAGGAATGTCAATGTGACAACTGACATAGCATAACACACTTTTAAATATTCATATAATTTTCTTCTAAATATAAAGTAGAAAAATTGGAAAACATGTAACAGTATTTTTAAAACAACCATTAATTCCATCATTCTGAGATTATCACTATTAACACATGAAATTTATTCCTTTTTCTGAGAGAAATTTATTTTCTTTACATGACTGGAAATACAGCATTTGTTCAACTAAGTAACATCCCTGTTTCACTAAAATTTTAAGCATTTTTCTACCCACTAAGAATTCTCAAAAGTACAATTATTAGTAGCTACATAATGTAACACTAAAGAATAATTTACTTAACCATTTCCTTATTTATTGTTTAGAATCTCTCTGTTTGCCTTACAAATATACCTTTGCATAATTTTTGATTACTTTAAAATTCATTACTAGGTAACTATAAAAATTTTAAAGCCCTTTGAAAAGGAACAAAGTTTAATATATATGAATAAACATCAAAAACATTATGTCATATAAAAGAAGCTAAATACAAAAGATGAAATAATGCGTGGTTCCGTTTATTCAAAATGCTCAGAAGAAGCAACTCTACATATAGAGAATACAGATTAATAGTGTATGGAGGTTAGGGGGAGGAACACGGAGTGACTGAAAATGGATATGCGGAATCTTTCTGGTAATAGATATGTTTGAAAAGTAGAGTGTGGTGATAGTTTCACTACTCTTCAAATATGTTTTAAAAAATCACTATATTGCATGTACTTTAAATAGGTGAAGAATTTTATGATGTGTCATAAAGTTATTTGGTAATTAATTATTCAATACATTAGAGTGCCATACATACTACTCAAATTATTCACAAATTCTGAATATAATCTCTGGGAAAGTGCTAAAACAGACTCTTGAGCCCCAGGTGAAGTGTGAATTTCTAACCTTTGTGGCTCCAAGATTAATAGTGGTAACAGAAGCAGATGCAGCAACAGTCATCTTTTCCGAAGAATCAGCCTGATGCAGTATGCTCCAAAGCAATGTCACAGAGGACATGATCATATGAAGGATTGAGAGGATTCCTTTGCGGGCTTCATACAAGTGTCTGTGGTCTACATTGACCCAAAGCTATTAAAGTTGGGGGAAAAACATATTATCACTTACTGAGGCTTTTAAATGGGGACTTGTATCTCATAATCTTTTTTAAAAAGTAAAATATTTGTGCAGTCTTACTTGGAGATATTGTGTAGTAGGATCCAACAAACAGTAATGGATAATGGCTGTGATCCCTTCTAAAAGAATAAGAATCATATCTGGTGGAATAATTGATGCCATCCACAGAGGCCTGAAATAAAATGCATTCATTTGAACATAAGTTCTGAGAAACAAGTCCATATTTTATTAATATTAAATGTCCAGCATGTTCTAAGAACATAGTAAGTGCTCAATAAAGATTACATAAATAAATTACTAAAATAATAAATTGGTTAATAAATTAGTAGCTTTTATGGCCTAATTTATAAAATAAATGAGTCACATTATACGTACGAAAGTTGTTTTTGGCTACGACATTCTATACAAAGTCAATGCCAGTAAATCTTCAGCAACTGTATAGGGCAGGCATATCAATATTGAATATAATACCGGCAGTTTTCTTATATTTTACATGTAGTTGCTGAGGTTATACAGGAGACAAACTAGAAATTAGTCTACTAATCATCTGGCTCATTTGGCAGACTAATTTTAAATATGTATCCTCCAAACAAGAAATAAAATCAGATAGAAAAAGATTTATAATTTTAAATTAATTTAGTGTGAAATTAATTTGCCCTTAGATAACATTCAGATAAAACTAGGGAAGCCCTTTACTGGGCTATTACTTTTGCCAGCTCAGAGCAGAAGAACGGAATTAATTTCAGCCCTTAGACAGTGATGGCGAACCTATGACGCGCGTGTCAGAGGTGACACGCAAACTCATTTTTTTGGTTGATTTTTCTTTGTTAAATGGCATTTAAATATATAAAATAAATATCAAAAATATAAGTCTTTGTTTTACTATGGTTTCAAATATCAAAAAAATTTCTATATGTGACACGGCACCAGAGTTAAGTTAGGGTTTTTCAAAATGCTGACACGCCGAGCTCAAAAGGTTCGCCATCAATGCCTTAGGAGGAAAAAGGCCTGTTTAAACATTCCTTATCTTTCCCAATCTTCATTGTTTAATTATTACTCCTCAAGCTAAATTTTCTCCTTTGTGAAAATAACATACTATTTGTAACCTATCTAGTGATACCCACTAATTTATTTACTCAAATTGTGACTGACATTCTGTATGAGTAAGCAGTTATATATGTGATGAATGTCAATTATAACAAAGTTAAAAATCAACTCTTACCTACTATCAGATAATCCTGTTTCATATTTGTACTGCTGAATTAGATTATCTAAATTTCTGCAAAGCTGTAGTGTCACAGAAACAACCACTCTCTGTAGAACTTTTCCCATGTAAGGCAGAGTAGATGTGATTAAACCAATCCATTGTGGATGCATCTTACAAGCACAGTGTTGATGTAAGGCCCGTATCACTGCACAGAGGAACATGCCTTGGCATGTGATTGGCTGAGCGTGCAAATACTGAAGAGAAGTCATGGGCTGATGGGGACTGATGTGTTCCAGATCAGAAACAACAAAATCAAAACCTGTTTCATTCTCTTCAGGGACAGTCATTACCCAGTGTTCTAGAACAATGAGTCTCTGAAGAACTTTAAGAAGTTGTGACTGGAGTGTGCTACCATTGTCAAACTCATCCTCTGAGAAATTGATAAGGCTGTCCTCTGAGAAACCTTCTTCCACAGCAATCACATTCTTACCTGCCATCTTTTCACTATGCCATTTCTGTGCACTAAAGATAGATGACAGCAAACAATGAAGAATTACTTTCTGAACTTTGCACTTAGATAACATATCAGAGATAAAACTAGGGAAACCCTTTGCTGAGTTTTCTATTACTTTTGCCAGCTCAGTAAAGAGAAGTGTCAAAATTTCTATGCTCATCATCTGCATATTTCGATTGCCTATTAAATCTTGTGCAGTGACCTTGACATGAGTTGGGTAATGGCTACGCATGTAATATAAACAGAGGGAAATGAGAATTTCTATGTACATAGAACTCCTGAAGTTATGATTTGAGTCCACTGGAATGTGACTATAAAAGTCTTTGCCCATAACAGAAATCCGGTGTCTGGCCAATAGATTCTGAAGCAGAGATAACTGAGGGGTATACACATTATTTATACTAGTGGTTGAAATGGCATTTACAAAAGCAGTAGGGTTAGTTTTCAATATGGCTTTGATGGCAGAAAAAGCATAAAGAGTCCTGGATGAGTCATACAACTGGAGATACAGGAGCACATGCTGATAGAGAGGATGGATGTTGAAACTGGGAGATTTCCGTGATCCTGGAGAACCCATGTCACTCTCGATTTCAGAAATGTCTCCCTCTCCACAGCTATACCAGTTCTCTAAATCCAGACCATCACTAAAAAACACATTAGTTTGTTTGAGTTTTTCATTTGAAGTTTTTTTCTTGTCGTCATCCTTTTTCTTGGCAAGTTTTACTTTAGGTTTTGCTCCTGGCTGTTTGCCTGACTCCTTAACGATTGTTTCTTTCTCTGAGACTTTTTCTGATAATTTTTCTTTGAAGCTGAACTGAATACTACTGTGACTCCTCTGTCTAGATTTGGTTTCTGTGGAACCAACAGAAGAGTCATGGGGGGTATGTGTGGTTTCGGAAATACAAGGTGAGGAGCTATTTCTGGAGATTCCAGTTGCCATACACTCACGGCCATCTTCTGCAGACACGGAGAGAAACTGAGAACTTTCATTACTCAGCGAAGTACTCTGACTCTGCTGAGTGGACTGATCTTCACTTTTAATCGGCTCCTCGCCTGGATCCACATCACTGTGCTTTGGGGGCATAGCTTCAATTTCTAACTGAGAAGTAGTTGATGCTGATTCTGCTTCGAGGCCACTTACGACTTTACATATCAGGTCAAACACTACCTGCTGAACATCATCATCTGGGGAGCTTGCGTTCAGCATCTGAGAGTCCTCTTGGGCATTTACATTTTCAGGATCAACTTCGTAACTCAGGTTGTCCCCAGCAGAGGACTGTGAACATCCAGAGTCAGAACTCTGAAGTATTTCTATCTGTTGGTCTGGAAGATCAAAATCAGACACAACCATTGGAATTGTCTCACTGCTGGTACTTAGAAGGGAAAGTCTGTCACTTAATGGATTGACGGTGAGACTAAAGTTCTCTATTTCGTCCACGGTAAGCGGCTTTTCACCATTTCCTTTAGATGCAATGAGTTGTATTTGGCTTACTGGTATATGAAAAAAATAGTAAAGAAGAAAAAATTTAAAATAATGAAAATGTAGAAATGTACACTGAACTCAAGAACTTTAATCATTAATTTCAAAACCTACTTATATTTTACTATTAAAATCATATTTTATTACTATTTTACACTTTTTAAATTAGAAAATTATATAGATAACTATTAACTAGAATTTAATAAACACAATTCAACAATAGAAGGCCTATTATTCGATTGAATTAAACTTAAACAGAAGAGCACATTTAACACAGATAAAATATAAAAATTTGCCCTCATCCCCAAATAAGACATCCTTTTTTACTGCAGTTCAAAATTTTAGTGTTCTTTTCCTCCCTGTGTTATGCTAAAGAGAAGTACAAAAATACAACCTCCTTGATTCTGATAAAATTCAAAAAACGTTTATGAATAATCTAGTATGAGTAATGCCCTAAACCCGTGGTCAGCAAACTGCGGCTCTCGAGCCACATGTGGCTCTTTGGCCCCTTGAGTGTGGCTCTTCCTAAGCCTTAGGAGTAACCTAATTAAGTTTATAACAATGTACCTACCTATTTAAGATTTAAAAATTTGGCTCTCAAAAGAAATTTCAATCGTTGTACTGTTGATATTTGGCTCTGTTGACTAATGAGTTTGCTAACCACTGCCCTAAACCAAGAGACAATGAGGGTGAGAGAAGAAAAAGACAACATTGTTCCCTCCAAAGAGCTTAAAATCAGCGGGGGGATCACCAATACATTAATCTATTTCTATGCTTTTTGGAGAGCATACTACATTGATGGAATTCTTTCAGAATGGATGGAAGGCTTAGTTACAAATGAATGGTACCAACCAAATGCTATCACTTTCAGGGAACGCATCATGATACCACAGGTGAGGTCTGAGATTGATTTCAGAGGAGAGGTGAGAATTCAGCAGACAAGCTGGAACTGATGGTATGTAAAGCGATAATACATAGGAGTTCTGGCAATTAGCAGGGTAGGGCATTTTTTAGAAGATTCAGGGAAAGAAGTGGAAAGGAATCTAGAGAAAGGAACAAAGACTCTAGAAACACACTAAAAGTGAAATAGCAGGATGGTTTAGTTCTAGCTTCCATCACTTACCAGCAGTGAGCCTTTGAAATAGCACAACCTTCTAAGAAACAGCTCCCTGCTCAGTATAATTACTTTTATATTGCTGACCTCATAGGGTTGTTGAGACACAAATGATATAAGTGAGAGTTTTCTGTCCCTTTCATATAATAAATTAATCCAATACTGTGTTATAAAGGGCTTCACCCAACAGTTTGTAGAGAGTAATAATAGTATTTGGGGGAGTGGTGATAAGAGATCAACCGAAGGACTTGTATGCATGCATATAAGCATAACCAATGGGCACAAGACACTGGGGGGTAAGGGAGGCCGGGGGAAGGTCAAGGGGGTAAAAAAAAGGAGACATACGTACTACTCTTTGTAATACTTTAAGCAATAAAACAAAATTTAAAAAAATATTTATCACTTAAAATATGCCAGTACTACACTAAACATGTCATAAATATGACTTGAGAAGTGGGTTATGATTCCCATTTTACAGATGAGGAAAATGACTCATGAAATGTAAATATGCACTATAAGCTTACTATACATTCCTAGTGAAGTATCTGCAGAGCCTTGTAGGACTAGGATTGCAAAATAAAACTAAAGGTATTTCCATCAAAACTGAAGGATGTCTCTGACCAATGCTGTGCTGATTACTCCTTGAAAGAAGAGTCAACTGAGAAGAGATCCAACTCCTCTAAGAGGGTCACTGACGAAGCACACACAGACATGGCCCACATGAGCACTGCTAGTGCATGCAGAGGGGAGAAAATAAGCCCATGCAAAAAATCTCACATTCAATTCTCTTGTCAATCACTGTTGTGTTCAACTCTCACTTTATTTTAAAAACTTAACTCTAAATAGAGCTGTTCTACTTGCATGTGATATTCACCATTGCTACATGCAAAATTTTCCATGAAATGCTTGTCACTTTCTTCTCCAGGATAACAAGCCTTATTCCAATAACGTTCTGCTTGAACACGCTGCACTGAAACCCTCTGAGTTTTGGGATGAAGCAGGAGCAATAGCAATGGCTCCAAAACTCTTGCAATATCATGTCTTTGTAGAACTTGGTTCAGCCAGGCTTGTCCCACAGAGCTGGTAGAACCATCGATACTGTTAAGGCTATCTAACATGATGAACAGTGACCTACAATAAACACAAATAAGTAAAGAACAAAATGCCTACTTTTACTGTGACACTCTTAACTTTTCTAAAATTAACATTATAAGTTGTGTTTCTTATTTTGAATTAACCATTTTAAACTAGTCATACTTCAGGATAACTTTGACCACAGCATTTTAATAATCTTAATCCCACAGTCTCAGTAGGTACAATAGAAGGAGAAAACTGTCTTTTCCCTTTTTGTAGATACTTAGGTTCTTGAAATTTCACAAGCATACATTATTCTTAAGATAAATAGTAAAGAATAAAAAAATTTTAAAAGGCCTTACAAAATTGGTCTTGTTTTAGCAACATATTCCTGTCACCAAATACTGAACCCTCTCCAATTCAAGTCAATGTTACCTCTATGCTGGTCCATGCTCCTCTGTTCCCATTCTCTTTATGAATCAAAACTATGCACTTAATTCAAGGCATGAGGGATGGTTTGGATCAGAATACCCATGATTCAAACCTGGGCCATTCATTTTATCTCACATGTGCTCTTGGGCAAGTCACAACTTCTCTGGGCCTTCACTGCTCACTTGTACGATGAGGAAATGTGGTCGTCAAACTAGAGATGGTATTTGTAAAGTTTCTAGACCTAGGGCCTACTCTGTTATAGAAGTTAAATAGCAGATCATTTAAAGATAGTGATGCTGCTTGAAAAGCACCAGTTGACATAAAATTCAGTAGAGCAGACATGTGATCTGAGCTGGGCTTCAGACATAGATTTGTGGCCACCTCTATGAAATCTGCTGGTGAGACTATATGAATCTACTTTTAAGTGGCATCTACTTGGAAGTCAATGCAAATCTCATATTTGGGGAATGAGTCATCTAAATAGGCTAGACAAATTTCAGAACCACTCTCAGGCACCTATAAGTTCTTTGAATCCATGAAAGCGATTTGTCAGTATTTTAGCTTTAGATTTTAATAAATACCAGTGCAGGCAAAAGATTGAGAGTAACTGCTAGAGAAACACTTATACAATGTATTGTTTATATGTCATGTTACTGAATTTGATTACAGATTCAAGAAGGCTGTCTCCACTGCTGTAATCCTGATACCTGGCATGGCACCTCTCACATTATAGGGACTTGATAAACAGTCATCCAATAAATGCGGGACACTGGGTGCTCCAGGGCAAAAAAGGGCAAATCTGGCAGATAAATGAAATCTGGTAGATACATGAAAATGCCATGAATTTTAATGTAGCTTAGATTTTTAACAATAATTTATAAGTTCTATTTATAAAATGTGTACATTGCTATTGCCTACCCCTGCCAAACTAACCAAGGAGTCAAGAAAAGAGGCATTCAGATATCTGATGATAAAATCTGAATATAAAATGCAACCAACCTGTCAAAAGAACGTGCAAAAGATGAAGACTTATTTATATGGAGGTCCCTTGTTAGATGCCAAAGAACTGCAAACTTTGCATGCGCCTCCATCTTTATTTTCTGAGGAGGAATATAAGAGATTACATTATTTTACTTTCCTTTGAAGATATTCAGTGATTTTAGTAAAAATCAAAGGAGCTATTTAAGAGAGAATGTTATGTTCAATGCTCATGATACTCCAAAACACTGCAATAAACTATTTTTTCATGGAAGTAGAAACATAGAAAATACCTAAATAAATACAAAATATTAAACATAAAGGATCACCTTATGCTGCCTGATTATTATTCAATTCAGAGAGGTAATCAGTTTACTAGCTTATTGTAAGGAAAAGTGTTGATAATGTGCATGCCTCATGATATTCTCAGTATAGGAAGTACTTTTCCCCCTCATTTTGATATAAATACTTAAGTAGTCAAAATTGATTTTGTTGTACTATACAATTTACTTTTGCTCCCAGAAATTATATATTTATCCCAAATAAATTTATCACTTACAAAGCTGATTTATTTGATTAAAAAATTTAAACACCTACAACATTATTTGTACAAGAAAAATATTACACTATTTTTGGGATTATTTGAATAAGATTTAAGTGTTAAGATAATAATGAATAGAACAATGTAAAAATAAATTATTTAGAAAGACCAGCGTTTGGTATTAGATAATGAACATGTATTAATGTAAATCAAGTAGAAATTGTGATATTATTAAAATGTTTATAGTCTTTCTCTAGCACTTGTAGAATCCTTCAAGTAAAAGCCCCCCTAAACCTGGGACTGTTTAAATTGCTTGTGATAGGTCAGAGAATTGCTTGCTTTTTCTGTGGGCATAATAAATGCTTTTCCTATAAACCCTGTGTTTATACATCAACCAATACAAACATGTAAAAACAAAGTAAATAATAAAGGTACTTTAACTTTTTAGATGGCTGTGAAGTATCTTTATTCAGGACTTAGTATTTCTTTACAAATTAAATGTTGCACAAGTAAACAGGTATGTAATTTGTCCTAAATATATGTAATGTAATGTAAAACAAAATTTAATTAAAATATAAGGCTTTATTTAAAATTTTATTTCTGAACAGTTTTGAAAGAATGTGTTGCAGCTAAAATAGAATTTTAACATTTTTCCTGGTAATAAACTTTTCATTCTTTTTCATTTTCTTCTCCGTTTGCCACTTCCCTACCCTGCCAAATGTTTCATTTACTCAACACAATGCCTTTTTGTTTTAATCATGTTTCTTGTTGTTGTTAGTTTTTAAAATATATATATTTTTATTCATTTCAGAGAGGAAAGGAGAGTGAGGTAGAAACATCAATGATGAGAGAAAATCATTGATCAGCTGCCTCCTGTACGTCCCCTACTGGGGACAGGGCCCGCAATCCAGGCATGTGCCTTGACCAGAATTGAACTCGGGACCCTTCAGTCCACAGGTCAATGCTCTATCCACTGAGCCAAACCAGCCAGGGCAACACAAAGCCTTTTTGAGTATGACCCATTCAAACTCACTAGAATTGAGGCTTTATTCAATTAGGGCAATTCACTTCTAAAAGCTACGTAATAAAATCTTGAATTTATATTACAGAACCGGTGCAGGAAGACCACATACTTCATTAAGTTACCTGGAAGAGATCAATTAGAATGTGTCCCAACTTCCTCTCAGACTCACTCGTAACTCAGACATCTTTACTCTAACTGACCTATGTGTCATGTCCTATACATTAGAATACAAAATCCTTATTTTGGGTATGTAATGTAATGAAAATAATACAATCTCACATATTAGCATTATGTAGCTGATAAATGTAAATGACACATATTATTTCATTTCCCATGTATTAATGTATCCATCAGTACCACAACTGAGGCCACTGAGGCCTCTTGAAATGAGTCTAGAACTTGGACCAGCAAAAAACTTAATCATCACTACCCATAGCTGGTGTCCTATACCAAGAAATAAACCCAGTATTTGATTTTGGGTTACTTGATTTTTCATTGTACTGATGCTTTTGTAAAGAACTTTCCTCTAAAAAGAATAGAACCTTTATTTTAAAAACATTAAAATCACTCTGAACAAACCTCTATTTTCTCTTATTCAGATACTAGCTGCAATCATTTTCATAGGGTTTCCCAACTTTACATTTGTTATAATAGGAATGGGGAGTGGACACAGGATAAGAGAAGTCACCTTGTCTTTATGAGTTAACTGCTGGCTTATCACATCTTCACAGATGCTGGAAGAAGGAACCAAGTTATGTAACTGGTAGAACAGCTCCACACTCTTTTGGTGGTGCTGAGGGGTGCTATCTCCCAGCTGGTCCCATAGTGTGAAAGCTACGTGCTGTAGAAAAAGAGATAAAGGTAACAGTATTATAAAACCATGAATGAAAACTCATTAACAAACTTCCTACTGGTACATACAAGTCTGACGGCCAGAACTTGAAGGTCTTTAATACTCATTATGACACTGGGATGAGATTTAAAAGTGTACCTTTCACCTACCTACTGTCATTCAGGCCCTTAGAACCTCTGATGATAGTCCTTTAATAATATATATTTTAAACATCAGACATGTAAGCACTTTCTGCAGAGCCAAAATAAATCCCCATTTCACTATTTTAATGACATTTAGTAAAGTGATGCTAGAAAACATTATCCTTAAAAGGGAATAACTCCCACACTGAATACTTAATATTTACAGTGATATGTTGCAAAGTGAAATAGCCCAAATACCCAAACTACTTAAGGCATATAAAGTAGGTCATCTGTATTTCAGAGCTCCATGTATGTGTTAACACAGCACTTGCTCTATGACAGTGTTAAAAAAAAAAAAGTACAACCCCGTCCGTGCCTCCAAAAAAGAAAAAGAAAAAAGAAAAAAAAAGTACAATCATCAGGGTTTATGACCACAACCTTATAGAAATCAATTTTAATCCAGCAGCAGGAACTATCTGGAAGGGCACAATGACTTGAAAGCAGATAAAGAAATGTTTAAATTTTTTTATGTATAAAAAAAACCTGCTTAAGATGTAAAACAATGCAAATACTAGGTATACTTGATGTTCTTTCTATATAGAGAATATCATTTGTACTGTTGCAGAAATTAAAGACTACATTTTTCCTAAATGTCGTCGTACACCACAGATGATAAGCAAACAATATACAGTCAGAAAAACTTTTCCTAGGAGTTTTGAAGAGCTAAGTTGTACAAAGCAAAGTGCCACAACCACTTCATCTGGAAATAAGTTTTACTCTATAGAGCTTTCCTTTTTCCGTTTTAATTTTAGCTGAAATTATTTCCTCCATGGATTTAGTGCTTTAATAATTGCCTTTTATTTACCTTAATATTCCCCTCATCCTTATCTTTTTTCTCCACACAAAAGTGGGAACAAGATGGGCAAAGCAGTACACATCAAGTGTATCTTTTTCTATATAGTACGATATTAAGGTGTTAAATTAAGCCTGATTATCATCTTTAAAGTCTTTTTTTAAAATATATTTTTATTGATTTTTTACAGAGAGGAAGGGAGAGGGATAGAGAGCCAGAAACATCGATGAGAGAGAAACATCGATCAGCTGCCTCCTGCACACCTCCTACTGGGGATGTGCCTGCAACCAAGGTACATGCCCTTGACCAGAATCGAACCTGGGACCCTTCAGTCCACAGGCCAACGCTCTATCCACTGAGCCAAACCGCTCAGGGCTCATCTTTAAAGTCTTTGCCATGCAAACTAGGTCAAGTATCACCTTAGTCATGTATGTAGTTAGAATTTACCTTGAAAAATTCAGTCTTCTCAGCTATGTACTTCAGATTGCCCGGAGTGAGGGGCGGTCTAATAACCACAGCTACTCTTCCCTGGTTTGGACTTAAGGGTTGCACAGGTTCCACACTGTTGATGTTTTCCCCAGTGACCATGACCACAGACTGAGTCAATCCCACCAGGTCCATGACTAGTGAGATAGCGACACTCTGCACACTGAAATCACTTGCTTGGTTGCACGCATTCATTAGAGTCTGGAGCCACAGTGGAGGCTGCACATGCTCACAGTCTGAAACAAAAGATGGAAGCCAACACAGTTCATCACACTAAACCTTCATACATACTCTAACTCTCCAGTTAATTTAAAATAACAAAGCTCCTCTACTTACTATCTTTAGGTCTTGATCTGTTAACAAAACCAATGGCTTCCCAACTAGACTAGAAAATACAGCAATAACAAGACTGTCATAAACTTGTTTTTCATATGTAGTTTTCTTATGGCAAGTCATACAATCTGTTTTCCTGTACTGAGATTGTGTATTAGTCAAACATTATGTAGTAATCACTGAACTGTGTGTATACATAAAAATTTACATGAAGGTAAATACATATACTAGTCATAATAAAGAAAACCAGTGAGAAAAACAACAGTGGATCTAAATATTAGATTCATTGTCTCCAAAGAATGGAGTTAATTTCCTTCTTAGTTTCTATTCACTTGCAAGAAAACTGGACTTCAAAATCATAACTTTTCCAACATAATCTCCCCATGACAGCATTTCATTTGAAGAAAATCTACAAATTAAAAAACACCTTAAAAAATTAACTGTCAAACATACCTCAGTTTTAATATCTGAGTACTCCTGGGTTAAAAAAAATAGCATGCCACAGAAAATTTTTGAATATGAATAAAACAAACTACCTTACCGGTCTCTGACTGTTCAGAATGTAACTCTGAGGTATGGTTCCCGTCTGCAATGTAAACTGGAAAACTTGAGCACTCCAGGAAGAGCTGGCAGGCAGCAAGGAAGGCAGAAAGGTATTCTTTGGAAGTTTTCTGTTTACTTATATTTCTGTCTTTTACATCTCCATGTGAATCCCTGTCCCATTTTGAAGTGTCTCCTTGCTCTCGGCTGAGATCCCCATGATGCTCTGTAGCCAAAGCTTGTGAGAAAGAGTTACTCTGAACAATGTAGAGGTTGATAAGTCTGGTGAGAAACTGCTGGACATACTCCAAGCAGCACTGCATTGCAGTCTTTTGGACTGTCTTCCCACCTCGGGTTGCTGTCCCCTGAGTGACTAGGGAGGCAGGCTGGATGATGGTTTCTTCAGATCCCACAGTGGAAGCCGTTTCTGTCTCAGAGGATGTGCTACCAATTGGGATGGCAGCTGCTCCCTGCCCCTCACTCAGTTCTCTGTCAATGTCGTCAGTTCGATCTGCTTGATACTGTATAAACTCAGTGAATCCACTCTCTGATGACTGACTACTTGGTGGATTTTCTCCATCTTCAAACACTTCAGTAGGATTTTCAAGAGTAACTGATGATACCTGGTAGAGATGAAAAAGAACTGCTTAGTAGCTAAATGTATATATTAGGAATTAAAAATTAGAAATGACCATATTTGGAGAAAAGTCAATTTTAGATTCCTATTCACAACTTTATATATTCAGTTAAATCTTAAAATAGTTTCTACAATTGATTTATATGTCTATGATAATCAATAGGAAATATGGATATGGTTCTAATGAATATGTCAATTTAACTCATTCAGTAAATATTTTTCACCATATGCATAGCATAAAGTTATGTTCATCAGGGCAAAATATGTGAATGTACAAATTTCTAAGATTCATATCCTTTTTTTCAAAAGACTAAGAATTTATTCAATCTACTTCATGAAAACACTTTCCTAATGTCTAAATAATGTAATTTTCCTAATGTCTAAATAATGTAACTTTCCTAATGTCTAAACAATGTAAGGAAAAAGAATTAGAACTAAATCTAATAGGTCATCTGTTTAGGACCTCATGAGTGTGAAATTTGTCTGAAAAGTATAAAGTACTATCTAAATGTTTGCTATTAACATTCTTACATTCTTTCAGTAAACAGTTACTGGACCTACATTATGTGCCAGACACTGTATTGGGTACTAGGAATTAAAGGAATAGTTTATAATCTAGAGGACAAGATAGGAAACAATTAATTAAAATATAAATTAAAAAATGAAGCAGCTACTGCAGTACAGCGGGAATGGGTAGACTGTTCCCCTCCCTATGATAAGACTAAGTACAGATCATTATGCATATTTTCTGGCCTAGTGCAAGTAAACAAGAGTCTCAGCATGAGTTCTTTGGGAAATTGTGCCAGAGCATCATTTGAATTTGAGTAAGATCTCTAAAGATAAGTACTCAATGCTCTGCTGCCACAAAGTGTGGCCTCACCCAATGTTCCTTGCTTCAGTGAATCAGACCACCATTCATCAACCCAGGAAGGCAGAAACCTAGGGGGGATTCTTGGAACCTTGTCCACCTCTCCTCCACACTTCTTTTACATCCACTTCAGTATAGTGGTTAAGGGTGCTGGCCATTAGTCAGCTAAGGCTCTGCCACTTACTAGCTTGGGAAGTTCTTTAACTTCAAACCTTAGTCTCCTAATTTGTATAAATGACATGACAATAATTCCTACATTTTACAGTTGCTATGAGGCTTAAGTAAGACAGGATATATAAAGTACCTGGCATAATACCTGACACTTAATAGACATTCAATAAATGTTAGTAATTACTCATTACCCTTACCGATCCATTACTACTACCTATACCTGGCTAATCCATCCATTTCTCTGTCTTAACTCCCCCATCTTAGCACGTTACCACCACTTCTCACCAGCACTACTGCAGGTCTCCCCACACCTATTTTTGTTTCTAAATCCACACTCCACACTGCAGCCAGAGTAATTTTTCTCACACACAAATCTGATTATGTCACTTGCCTTTTTCCCTTGAGTGTGTTCCTAAGATAAAGAGTAAAAGCCTTAGTACAGTGAATAAGCTCTGTAAGACCTGGCTCCTGCCTACCTCAAGAGCTGGATCTCCCCTGCACTGTCTGCAATGAGTAAATGTTCTTTCCTCTAGCAAATGTTCTCTTCTTTCTTCCTCACTCATACCCTAAATTCCTTTGGGGTTTCACTCAATCCTTTCTCAAGAAAGCCTTCTTGACCCCCAATCTAGATCAGATCCATATTTCTACCACTCATATTTTCCTTCATACATTCATCACAACTGTAATTAAATGTGTAATTATTTGTTTAATGTCTGTCTCCTAGAAAGAAAGGGTAGAGAGGGCAGAGACTGTGCCTAGTTCAACCTCTGGATACCCAGCATTAGTGAATGAATGAAAACAGGCTATATTCTCTATTTCAAAGATAAGAAAACTTAGGCTCTGGGGAGTTAAAAGATAAATTAAAACAACAAAAACAACAACAAACTTGCCCTAGCCCCATGGTCAGCAAACCGCGGCTCGTGAGCCACATGGGGCTCCTTGGCCCCTTCAGTGTGGCTCTTCCACAAAATACTGGCTCTTCCACAAAATACCGACTTCTGCGCATGGGCCACAAAGTTTCAATCGCTCTGTATGTGCGTGCCCACAGGTGGTATTTTGTGGAAGAGCCACACTCAAGGGGCCCAAGAGCCTCATGTGGCTCGCGAGCCGCGGTTTGCGGATCCGCAGTTTGCTGACCACTGCAGCCAGTTTGGCTCAGTGGATAGAGCATCAGCCCACAGACTGAAGGGTCCCGGGATCAATTAGATTCTGGTCAAGAGCAGGTACCTTGGTTGCAGGCTTGATCCCCAACCCTGGTAGGTGTGAGTGTGTCTCTCTCACATCAATGTTTCTCTCTCTCTGTCTCTCCCCGTCCCTTACTCTCTCTAAAAATCACTGGAAAAATATCCTCAGGTGAGGATTAACAACAACAAAAACAACCCCCAAAAAACTTGCCCAAGGTTACAACAAATAAATTTATTAGTTAGAAGAGCTCAATTAGGTGATTCTAATCTTCATAGCTCTTATCACCATATAATATCACTTTATCTGTAACAGTATGAAATTTTCATATTATAATGCCAAAGTTAGAGATGGCTATCATAATGACCTTATCAATTTTCTGAAAGGTTAACAATCATCTAAAATCATGTATTAATACACTTTTTTAAATGTATTATTTAAATGGTAGAATTGTCATTAGTTTTAGTGTAAAGTCATTTCTGTATTGATCTTTTTTAAAGATCAAAAAACAATGGATATTAAATTACTAGAATTCAAGCCACAAAATTCAATTAAACTTGCATACATTTATAATATTTAGTTGTATGGTCTATATTACATAACTAGACTTCAGATTATTTTATAATAAAATTTTTCTGAAAATAGAAATAACATGTTTTGGGCATTTGGGTATAGAGATCCAATACACTGATTTTTTTTTAAATGTTTTAAGAGCATAGAGACTTATAATTTTTTAAATATATATATATTTTATTGATTTTTTACAGAGAGGAAGGGAGAGGGATAGAGAGTTAGAAACATCAATGAGAGAGAAACATCGATCAGCTGCCTCCTGCACACCTCCTACTGGGGATGTGCCCGCAACCAAGGTACATGCCCTTGACCAGAATTGAACCTGGGACCTTTCAGTTCGCAGGCCGACACTCTATCCACTGAGCCAAACCGGTTAGGGCGAGACTTATTTACAGAAAATACCCTCAGCTTTCAAATATGATCAATATTCAGACATCTCAGTGAAGATACCACCATTGTACTTCAGTAAAAAATTGGAAAGAAGATATAAGCCCTGGGAACATAGAAGAAAACCAGAGACAGAGGTGGTGGTGGGGAGCAATAGGAAGGGAGTAGGGGAGAGAGAGACAGAGACAGAGAGAGGAGCATATGCTAAGGTTAATGAACCATTATATATTTTTAAAAGTATATTATTTAATTGTATTTCATTACTAAAAATTGATGTTCCCAATACCTTACCGTTAATCATCAATAAGTGCCTCCAGATGTTTTCTACATAGTAAATATTCATATATTTAAATATGCTGAAAGAATGTTCAGGTCCTTTCCCTACTCTCACTAATCTCATTTATATAAATAGCAAAGCTTCAAAAGCAGTTAATACTTATTCTAGTTTTATTTCTAAGATCCAAGAGGCATACATTAAGGAAAAAAAACAAACAAAATGAATTTCCCAACAATAGAATCATATCATAACAGAATGTCACATATAAATAAGCAGTAGGAAGGAAAGTCAGAGACAGGTTTTAGTTTATGTAAGATAATCCTGGATATATTTAAATTGATTGAGGGTCAGTAATGATCATTTCATATATGAAGATCGATATATTTAGAAGGACCAAGAAAAGTTTTAGGACTATTAGTTGGTGATAAAAATTGTATGAAATTGTCCTGATAATATATTTTTCCTGGCTGAACAATAAAAAAGCAACTGACAAAAAAAACAAGGGCAACTCCACAAATCCTGGATTTAGGTAACAAACCTTGTATGCCAGAAATTTTAAAATCTTTATTGTAAGATAGTGCCACTGTAACTATATAATTTCATTAATATTTTTGTTAATTTTTGCTAAAAATATTTTAATATCATAAACTTGAAAGCTTTTGAATTACTGATGTTGCCATAGATGTTTTGCAGGAGTTTAAGTATGTTACTAGTGCTAGATTAAAATCATTATAATTCTATTCAATGTCATAGAGTAAGCATTATGAATCTAGAAGAGATTCTGTATTTCAAGAAGAGCATGTAAAAAACCTACTGTATACATATGAAAGGACCAGTAAAGTTTAGATTATAAACATGTGGCTACTGAGCACTTGTAATGTAGCTGATCTGACAGAGGTACTAAATTTTCTTATTTCAAGTGTTTTTGAAAAAAATTTAGAATTTGAACAAAGATATGCTAAAGTGCAAAATACACACTGAAATTTTGAAAACAGTACAAAAAAGAATGTAAAATATCTAACTTTTTATATTACATCAATTTTATGATTACATGTTGAAATCATAATAAATTATCTAGAAAGGCCTAAATAAAATATAATTAAAATTATTTTTTCCTGTTTCTTTTTACTATTTAAAAATGACTACCAGAGCCCTGGTCAGTTTGGTTCAGAGGTTAGAGCATTGGCATCGGCCCATAGAACAAAGTGTCTCAGGTTTGATTCCCAGTCAAGGGCATGTGCCTTGCTTACAGGTTCAATCCCAGGCCCCGGTCAGGGATCATGGGGGAAGCAACCAATCAATGTGTCTCTCTTACACCAATGTTTCTTTCTCTTTCTCTTTCCCCCTCCTCTCTTCCTTCCACTCTCTAAGAAAAAAATCAATGAAAAAAATATCAAGTGAGGATGAAAAAAATAAATAAATAAAAGTGGCTACCAGAAATTTTAAAATTACATATGTTGCTGGCATTATATTTCTATTGGAAAGTGTTGATATAAACAGTTAAATTGCACTAGAGCCAAAGTCTAGATAATGGTCTACTGCCACACATTTGGATCTATGCAAGATTCACTAAATCGTTTGGTATATGACTTTACTCAGATATTATTCTGCTTTGAAGAAATAAACAGTTGACCCTTGAACAACATAGGGAGAGGGGAGATGTCAACCCCCTGACCCATAAACAGTTGAAATACATGTATAATTTTTGCCTCTCCCCAAAACTTAACTACTAATAGCCCAGTGTTGACAGGAAACCTTACAGATAACAGAAACAAGTCTATTAGCACTTGTTTGTATGTTATATGTAGTATATACTATGTTCTTACAATAAACTAGAGAAAAGAAAATGTTAAGAAGCCATAAGAAAAATACATATACAGTATTATACTGTATTTTTAAAAAATATATTTTTATTGATTTCAGAGAGTAAAGGAGAGACAGAGACAGACAGAAACATCAGTGAGAGAGAATCATTGATTGGCCACTTCCTGCACGCCCCACACTGGGACCGGCCTACACCTGGGCACACACAGGGAATCGAACCATGACCTCCTGGTTCATAGGTAGAAGCTCAATCACTGAGCCACGCTGGCTGGGCTAGACTGTATTTTTGGACAGTGTAAGTTTGCACCATCTGTCAATACCTATACCAACATTATCACATATAACACAACACATTGTAGATCTTACATATATTAATAACATTGGACATCAAAAATGAAAAGATAATGTGAAGAAGAAATTCATAATTATCCACTGGTATAACAATTCATACATTGACCACAAAGCAGCATCAACACCACTGCTTTATGGTAGCTTAGAGTCATTGATATGATTGCTTCATGGTAGCCTAGCCTATATACTAATGAATAAATCACTATAAAATTTTATGGCATACAGTATTACAGTCATATTCATAATACAGAAATGGAAATATTGTTACATTTTAAAAATAAAACCACTTACCTCTGATGATTGGCTGATAAGCAGTTTCTTCAATTACAGGAAAGGAGCATAATGTAAGTAATGTAATTATTTGAAAGCAAACTTATAAAACAGTAAGAGAATATATTATTAATTTATTAAATATTATTCACCTTATGCCTATGCAAGGATAAGCTATCCACTTTCATACAAGTCATCCACACAAGGTTATCATACAGTTGTTGTGCAGTTATTAAATTTTCACATGAAGACACATATACAATAGATAAGTTTATAAACTCCATGACATGATGATTAGCTACTATTCATTAATTGGACATGGAACATCATAAATGTCTTCATCCTCATCTTCACATTGAGTAGGCTTAGGAGGAGGAAGAAGAGAGGTTGGTCTTGCTGTTTCAGGTGCAAAAGAGGTGGAACGGGTGGAAGGAATGGAAGGGGAGGCAGGGAGGTTGGTAAAACTTTACAGAAATACATTGCAATTCCTGACCTTTTCCTTTTCATTTCTCTAAAAATGTTTCCATACGGTACCAATCCTTTCATCGTGTGCTTTATTTAGTTTTAAGCACCTGTATCATAGAAGGGCCTATATCATAAAAGAAGTCAAGCGTAGTCTTAAATAAGTGAAACCCTTGTGCCAAACCGTCTAATGTCAATTTGTTTTCTGGCACTGCTGCTTCTATCTCCTTCTCCTCCTTGTCTGGCATTGCTAGTCCAGAGCACTCATCTCCATCAAGTTATCTTCCGTCAATTCCTCTGGTGTGGTGTCTATTTATTCTTGAATTTCTCCAAGATTCATATGTTGAAACCCTTCACCCCCCTTTTTTGCCATATTCACAATATATTTCATGATTTCCTTGATTGACTCTGTCTTAAATCCTGTGAAGTCACTCACAACATCAGGGAACAGTTTTCTCCAGTAGAAATTTATAGTTTCAGGCTTGATGGCTTTCACAGCTTTTTACATAACAATGATGGCATCTTCAATGGTGTAATCCTTCCTGACATTCATGATGTTCTATCAAGGTTCTCTTCTCTTCCATAGCACTGACAATCCTTCCCATAAAGTACCCTTTGTAATGGCCTTAAAGGTCCTCATGACCTCCCGACCTAGAGGCTGAATTGGAGACATTGTGTTTGAGGGCAGTAGACACTTCCAGACTTTTGATATTGAATGGATGGGGCTCTGGGTGGTCAGAGGCATTGTCCAATGTCAAACAAACTTTAAAAGGTAGTCCCTTACTGGCAAGGTAAGGGACAAAGCAGCGATGGAACCAATGCAGAGAAAGGGTTCTTGTTGTTCAAGTCTTCTCATTATACAGTGAAAAGACCGGCAGCTGGTGTTTATCTTCCTCATTGAAGGCTCAGGGTTCAGCAGCTTTATAGACAAAGGCAGTCCTGATCATAAACCTGACTGTATTTGCACAAGAGTAATGTTAGCCTTTCCCTTCCTGTCTTAATACCTGGTGCTCACATCTCTTCCTCAGTAATAAATGTCCTTTGGGGGTGTATTTCCCCAGAATATGGCATTTTCGTCTGCATTAAAAACCTGTCAGGCAGGTATTCTTTCTCCCCCATGATTTTCTTAATAGTGTCTAGGATCTCATCTGCTGCCTCTTGGTTGGCAGAAACTGCTTCTGCTATTATCTTGACATTTTTTTAAACCAAACCTCTTTCTAAAATTATTCTCCAGCTTCATGGAAGGACCTGGAGAGTATTATGCTAAGCAAAATAAGCCAGTCAGAGAAAGATAAGTATCACATGTTCTCACTTCTATGTCACATCTAATAAACAAAACAGATCCAGAGACACAGAAGCATGGAACAGACTGTCGAATCTCAGAGGGAAGGCAAAGGATAGGTGGGAGGGTGGGAAGAGATCAACCAAAGAACTTGTATGCATATATTCGTAATCCATGGACACAGACTGTAGGGTGATAAAGGCCTGGGGCAGGGAGGCGGGCTAGAAGGGGTCAATGAAGTAAAAAGGGGACATGTGTAATATTTTCAATAATAAAGATTTTAAATGAATAAATAAAATAATTCTCCAGCTTTAGAGCCTTCACCTTCCTTTCACTTTAATTTGTCACATAATGACTTCACTTTTCTTGATTAATATTAGAGGTATGCCTTTCTTATAGCAATCTTGCACCCACATAAAAGCTGCATTTTCAATAAGAGATAAGATATTTGCAAGGGGTTTGGTTTGCTTCTGCTGGCACAGGTATAGTGGCTGCTTCACAAATTTTCTTTTTTTTTTTTTTTTAAACAATTAAACAATGGTCTTAACACTGGATTCATTTATCTTGAAATGGCGGCAAACACAGCTGCAGATCTCAATCTACGAAACATACCAATTTTGTCTTGTAATGTCATGACTTTTCTCTGCTTCTTGGGAGTACTTCCAGTATCATCAGTGGCATTATCTATGAGTCTCATGGTGTTATTCAAGGCTTATGGTATAGCACTAAACATGATAAAAGATACGCAAGAACTATGAGAGATCACTTTTTTACTTCAATATGCAATTACTGTAGACAAGCCGCTTACACAGAGATATTAGATGATTAGTGTCACACGTCTTAAGTGGATACTCGCAACACTTGTGCTCATTGCAAGAGCAACAGGATGTGGCTATGAAATTATTACAGTAATACAGTATGTACTAGAATTAATTTTATCACTTATGTTTATTTTTGTGTTTTTTTAATTCTCACCTGAGGATATTTTTTTCCATTGATTTCTAGAGAGAGTGGAAGGGAGTGAGGAGGGGGGGAGGGAGGGAGAGAGAGGGAGAGAAGAGAGAGAGAGAGAGAGAGAGAGAGAGAGAGAGAGAGAGAGAGAGATTGACATGAGAGACACATCTATTGGCTGCCTCCTGTACAGACCGGCAACTGGGGATGGAACCCACAACCTGGGTATGTTTCCTGACCAGGAATCAAACATGCCACCTTTGGTGTATGGGACGATGCTCCAACAAACTGAGCCACGCTGACCAGGCCATTTGAGAATAAGTACTGATAAATTTTAAATTTTTAATAATAGACGTATATATTTTATGCTAGTAAATGATAAAATAGATTATTATCTACATATATTTCATGCATTCATGATATATCTAACCTTTGCCTAATTTTGTCATTTCTAAGCTACAGGTTCATCTATGAGTTTTTTCAAATTGTTGCAAATCTCCCAGAATTTTATATTTATTGAAAAAATCTGTGTATAAGTGGACCTACACAGTTCAAACCCATGTTATTTAAGGGTCAACTGTAACTGGTCTAATAACATAATTAACAGCTAATATTACCTTTTTGTCTTCCCATTCTTTCACTGAGTTGTTCTGCCCACTTGGAAACTGCAAAACACCTCCAGTACTGGCAGCTAACAGTGGAGGCTGAACTTTGCTAAGGATCTTTGAGCAGAGCCTGAGTGAATCTGTGAGTTCAGACAAGTGCAATGTCTGGAGATGGCTTGTCAGGGCAGAAACCATCCTGAGCAGCAACTGGGGCAAGTGTTCTGTCTGGATTTCAATATAAGTCTCCTGAAAATAAAAGTGAAGTGACAAAAGTTTAAATATGCAATCCAAAAGTTATATTATTTCACTGATTTTTAATCTATATAAAAAAGGAAATAATTTTTACTCATCTGTCATATTTTATATATGTCATGCTCTTAATTAACATTGTATAATCATTTTATTATTAATGATATAAAATTTATATTCCCAAATTCTCAATTTAAGTATTTCAAAGATATATAATAAAACAATCCCCATTTTATTTGCTACATTACTGAAGTTATAACAAAAGTGAATACAATACAAACAGGCTGAATGTCATACCTGACACAACACCCTCATACTTCTAGTAGGCTTCAAAATGAGAAAGCAAAGAATTTAGGAGAGAAAAAGGGAAAAGATTCCCAAAAGTTATCATTTATTAGAAAGAATCATTAATGAATATAAATACATCATATTATTTTACACTAAACATTTAAAATTTCAGTAACATGCAATTATGAAGTATATTCCATGTATTATATAAGACTTGTACATGTATTATGTATATATGTTACAGGACAAAATACTTGGAAAATTTTACGGAAAAAAAAAAGCTAAGCCACAAGGGAAAAAATATTTATTAAAGATAAAATTTATTTGAAGATAAGGTTTGTCTTCAACATGAAATATCTAAACTATATTAGATTTCCTCAATATTTTTTACCAAGGTCATCTTACCAAAGAAACTATAGGAGGCAGAAATTGGTCAGCTGTAACTCAGATGACTCACTATCTCCAGGCCCAGTCTGAAGTCTGGCATGCATTGTCCTCCTAAAGGCACAAAATTCACTTTATCAAGTATACTATCAAGTAAAATGAACATGTGACAACATCATTGGTTATTTTTAATGAGGGTCAATTCAGCAGTGGGACACAGACAGTAACGTTCTTATGATGAAGTATATTCCCTTTTCCCCAGGACACCACTGTACCTCTATGTGGAAAATTCCCAGGGCAAGACTCCTAGGTTTAACCTCTCCCTATTACTCCCATCCTGTATTTCCAAGTGTTCTGGATGGATTTCACTTTTGGGGACTTATTTCCTATTGCTCCCACTACAGATATCATCTCCTAGTTAAAAAGGATTATTTGTTGCTTTATTTCTAATTTCAGGGCCTTTGTTGATACACACTTGTCCACCTGGACTTTCACCCTCCCTCAACCTCATTCTCTCATATACAGAATGTATCTGTCCTTCAAGATTTAAGATCAAATGTTACCTCCTCCAGGAAGCCTCTTCTGATCCAAGCAGTAGAGATCATTACTCCAACATTCACATCAAATCATATTAATCCTATATGACCATCTACTGCCCTACACTCTGATGACACAAGTTAAGAAGAATATGGTACAGCCCTAACCAGCAAGAAATATAAACATATAGATAAGTAAATGTAATAATGTGACAGTATAGGAAAAGTTGATTCTGATGAGAGACTTGAAGGAGTCATAGAAGGCTACTGAAAAGTGGGTGATCTCTATATAGGACAATACCAGATGGGCAAAAGACAAAAAATATGTTTTAAGAAATAGCATAAGTGCAGCATGAAAGTAATGTCTGTGCAGGGACTAGTCCAGGTTACCTAAAAAAGGATGGATGTGTATGTTTGTAAAAGAGAAATGAAGGCCAGGTGGCAAAAAGACACTCATAATTCCTTGGCATTCCTATTTTAATCTCTCTACTAAGGCATTTGTAAGTTTTAATTTAATACTAGGAATATGTATGTGCATGTCTTACTTGTTCTTACTACAAAGTCTTTAAAAATAGAGACTAGATATGCCTAGCATAATGCTTTTCAACTGGGTACTCAGTATCTGAATCAGTAAATGTACAATTAATTTATCACATCAGCATTTATAGTTTCAAAAGACTTCTAATCCCAAATTCATACAGGCTTACTTTGTGACTATATGCTCCTGAGGCTTGAGAGGTTAATCTGGTTCTGAGAGAATTTGAACTACATTTCAGACAGAGATTCTACTTGGGTTCACTAGTGTCCTTGGGTTTTTAGAGCATTTTTTAAACTTTATGTCCTAGGGGGTGAAGGGCTTTTATTACTCAACTAGAGGCCCAGTGCACAAATTTGTGCACGGGTGGAGTCCCTTGGCCTGGCTGGCAATTGGGGCCAATCGGGGCTGATAGCCAGGGGGAGGGACCGCGGGAGGTTGGCAGGCCATGGGAGGTTGGCTGTGGGAGCACACTGAGCACCAGGGGGCAGCTCCTGCGTTGAGCGTCTGCCCCTGGTGGTCAGTCACATCATAGCGACCAGTCGACTGGTTGTTCAGTCTCTTAGGCTTTTATATATATAGATAGTGACAATATAGCTGGTTCTATGGCTTTAAAAACACAAATATGACACTAAGGAATTTTCTGTTCTTCAAAGTGGGAATAATTTTGGGAATGTGTTCTAAGGCAGCAACCACAAATATGCTATTTTCTCTACAACAAAAACCAAACTGGATTAGTATAGATTGCAGAGGGAAAATTTTTCATGTATACTGGTGACTGAATAACTTACCTCTGAACTATTCAATTCTAAGATTATATGATCAATAATTCTATATTCTAGAATAACAAGGTACAGCCAGATTATGGCTATTAAATATATATAACAGTTGTAAATAGTAGCGGTAAAATGTACAAAAAAATCTTTCCATTAGATTGAAGAACTTAAAAAACAAAGAAAAGGCTGGCTTTGAATGCTACTAAATTAAAATGAAAGAAAGAGTTTAACATACCTACAACATTCTTCAAACCAACGTGCCACATAATCCCACATATAATAAGGTTCAAAGGAATTAAAGAGAAGGTTGGCAGTTTTAATCAGCTCTGCTGTTTTCTTATTTTCCCTTAATTTACTAAAAAAGGAAAAGAAAACATAATAAATATTAACATTTATTTTTGCAAATTTAAATTTTAGTACAATGTTGTTAGGGTGTACATATTCCTAGGCAGTTGTTAAAACACTTGCATGTAAGAAAATTGGAATATATGATTTTTATCTACTGCCACTCTCTTATTACATTCTAAGTAATTATTTTTCCAAATCTGAGTTTTCATAACTCAACTGTACGATCAAAGATAAAACATTAGACTTGCGTAAGAAAAAACTACTGCCCTTCCAGTAAAAGAACAGGAAATTTTTTTGAACTATTTTGAGTATCTGACTCTTAATTTGGCATTAAATTACCTTGTTTCACTTGGCATATATAAATTGAGTAGTGATTTGATTTTGACAGCCTTGATTCTGAAGTAACTTTGTCTGCTTTCCTGTAAGATTTACTTAAGAAAGGTTAAGTTTGCCCTGACCAGTTTGGCTCAGTGGATAGAGCATCGGCTTGTGGACTGAGGGGTCCCAGGTTCGATTCCGGTCAAGGGCATGTACCTTGGTTGCGGGCACATCCCCAGTAGGGGGTGTGCAGGAAGCAGCTGATCGATGTTTCTAACTCTCTACCCCTCTTCCTTCCTCTCTGTAAAAAAATCAATAAAGTATATATTAAAAAAAAAAAAGAAAGGTTAAGTTTATTTGTTGAATTTCAATCTAGTATTCTTAGCTTGAAAAACAAAACAGCAAAAAAACTAATACTGTATATAGCCATTATTACTAAAGTCCTATCAGGGAAAATAACTTTGTTATTGCAAGTGGGAATCCTTTAGCTTATTAATTACCCACTTACCTATCTCCTGCCACCCTCCTTACAATAAAAATAATCATTTTTATATATAGTGAGGTACTGCCAATGCATTTAGCAAGTTGCAAGACATATCCCCACATTAAAGACTAATTAAATACTCTACAAGACAATATAAATTATCAGAGTACAGAATAAAACAGTGTATCAGTTTAGTCAATATTAACTTCTCAAACAAAAATTACAGGATATTATATTTACTAAAAATAAAAAACTGCCTATTATTATGTTTTAATATATAAAAGTATGTTTTAGGGAAAGCTCAGGTTATCTCAGTTTTGCCAAGGAGACACTAATGAAATGAAAATTATGTAAAAGAAATTGTAGTCTTAGAACCTTTGTCATATTATAATGAAACTTAAAAGTGGTAAGCTGCTTAATGTAGAGAAGAAATTTAAAAAGTAAGATTTTGTCAACATGTATCGATCACTGACTTAAAGAGGAGGACATGCTAATTTTATATGAGTTATCCTAGGCATTAAAAAATGTGTTTAGCCCTGGGGCTCCTGCAGGAGGCAACCAGTCAATATGTCTCTCACATCAGTGTGTGTTTTTTTCTCTCTCTTCTGCTCCCCTGTCGTTCTCCCCTCTCCCTTCCTTTCACTCTCTCTAAAAATCAATGGAAAAAATATCCTCAGGTGAGGATTAAAACAACAACAAAAGTGTTTATATATACCTGAAAAAGAAATAACCCTAACTTTAAAAAAAAGTTATTTAAAGAACATTTGGTACCCTTTGATTCACTTAATTCTGTGTTCAAGTCATAAGTCATGTCATGCTTAATTTTTTGGTAATCTACCTGCTTAATTGAGCATGATCCTTGCTGAAGGGTGGTTCCATCTGAAGATCCAATTCTGCTTTGCACTGAGAATACAATGTTCTAAATACTTCAATTAGGACATCTTCTAGAATTACAGGCCCTAAAATGAATATACATATTAAAGAAAGAATTAATTAGCATTGGCAAATCATGATTATCTAAAAACTGGCCGAAGTAAAGAATGCTTTAAAACAAGTATTTTTTAAAATGAATTTATTGGAGTGACAGTGGTTAATAAAAGTATATAGATTTCTAGTATACAATTCTACAATTGTAATATACAAATCTAGTATACAATTCACCTGTATATGCATTGTATTGTGTTGTTTACCACCCAAAGTCAAGTCTCCTTCCAACACCATTTATCCTCCCTTAACCCTCTCCTACACTCCCTTTCCTTTCTCTCTAGCAATCACCATACTGTTGTCTATGTCCGAATCTTTTATTTTTCCCTTTGCTTAATCCCTTCATCCTTTCTCACCCAGCTCCCAACTCCCTCTGCCCTGACAGCTGTCAGTCTTAAAACAAGTATTTTTTTTTTTTACAATAGTTTCTTTTTTCCCCTAGAAGCTAAACTAAACTTTACATTTGGATAACCTAATAGTAAATAACTGAGCAAATGTTTATTTAACTTTAGGCTGACATAACAGAAATTATAGAATCAGGGAAATTGGTTTTGTCAATTAATAGTTGTTACTTTGGAAAATTTAACTTCTTTGAGCTTTAGTTTCCTCATCTAGAATGAGGATAATAATACCAAGCTTACATAAAGGTTGTTAGGGTCATGAAAAATATTTGTAAGGTGGGTAGCATAATTCCCAGGATATAATGACTATTCAGTAAATGATAGTAATATTACTACTATCTTGAATTTAAGTAATATAAGAAGGAACTGGGCTAACCTTTATTGCTATAATAGACAGCAATATCCTTAAAAAAAATTCCTGAGCTTCAATATATTAGTGCATATTAGCTAAAATAAACTCTCAAAGCCATTGATACAACTCACTTTAAATTTTTTATTTTAAGAAATTAGGTACTATGTTATTTCATTTTTTTGTGCTAGTATTTATGCTTATTAATTTTTGTCCTAGGGGCCATAACTAACTTCCCAATAGAATGATTATATAAGAAATATATAATGAAGGAAGGGAAAATATACAAGACAAAGGGAGTGCGGGGAAAAATGCTGAGGGATACAACCCAAGTACTTTTGCTCAAGTCCTTGAATACTGTGAACTATAAGACAGCTATGCCCGGCTGGTGTGGCTCAGTGGTTGACTACTGACTCATGAACCAGGAGGTCATGGTTTGAATTCTGATTGGGGCACATGCCTGGGTTTTGGGCTAAATCCCCAGTGGGGGGATGTGCAGGAGGCAGCCAATCAATGATTCTCTCTCATCATTGACGTTTCTATCTCTTACTCTCTCTCCCTTCCTCTCTGAAATCAATTTTTAAAAAGCACACATATTTACAAGAAGTCATGACATATCATAAATGTTTCAATTTCAGTAACTTAATAAGGATTAAGAAAATTTTAGATAGAATCTTTAAAATGACTTCTCTTTTACACACACAGATAACATACCAGTTGCATACATATCTACCTTCTTAACATTCTAGAGTGAATGTTAGGTAAGAAATTGTTAAGAATGTGTATTTAAAGGTCACCTCAAAATACAGCAATTTTTCTAAATAACAACTTTGCCTTATTTTTCTTATGAAAGAATACAAAACATGTGATCTTATTACCTAGCTCAGGTTTGTCCAGTAAACTGATCAAAATACGAAAAGGTTTTAGATCCTGTGTTAAAGTGGTCTCTTCTCCAAATCCATTCATGTGTAAGATCCCCACCATTGCCTTTAAAAAGAAAAAGTACACTAGTCATTTAAATAAAGTTTTCAAATAATTTTTTTCAAAAGAAAAATATTTTTAATACATTGCCTATTGCTTTTCTGAAGCTTTCAATGAAGTTGGCTTTATCCTTCCACTAGGGGGAAAATATGTTACATTCATTTTTCTTGAGAAGAAAAAAGTGCTTACATTTTTTTTCTAGAAAAAAAGTGGAAAGTTAAAGAATATCTAGAAAATAAAGTTATGAGTTATTTGACTGCCCAAAAGATAAAAATATTTATATTTAAGATAATCAATGTGCATCAAACTATGCCACATCATATGGTAGTGTCTGCCAGTATACAATTATTTTCCCATTGGTGACTCCAGACCATCTATATTCTTATAACCTCCTTCATTTTAAAATGCTTCAGATACAGTATACTATGTATTTTCTTATTTTATTTTGAGATATCCTAAATAAATAAAATTGATGTAAAAATAATATAAAATAAATCTATAGTTCATTTTAACATTTCAATTACAAAAGTAATTTTACCAAACATTTAGATTCCTGTTGCAACCCAAATTTCCCTGGGGCTTCAGAGGAAATAACACAGATCCTGGCTCATTTTTGGAAAAGCTCCAATTTTCATAGGGCAGACAGGTGAGAAGCTGCAACTATGTTTTAATAAAGTCATGAAAACAAACTAAAAAAAAATAAAATCTCTGGACTTACACAGAAGTGAGTCAATCTTAAAATTACTTATTCATTTTATTGTGGTCATTTGTTTATTATCGTCACTCAGGAAGTTTGTGAGTCTTGTCTCTACCTCTCCAATTATGAATTAATTCAATTAAGGTAGAACCTTGTCTTACACTTGTTGAGCAACTCTAATGGTCAGAGAGTAACCAAAATGAAAATATTCATTACCTGGACCAACAATTCTTTTGAAAAGGTAGTAAAATAGTAAGTGGCATGTTCTTCAGGATTACTGTGTCTTGTGCTTCTGGGTCCTATGATAGCACCGTTGTTATCAAAACCTCCACAGAAATAAATTGCGAAATAAATTAAAATTCTCAAAACTGTTGTTCACTAACACCAAAACAACAAATATCTCAAAACTAAACACTTACCGATTAGTAGCCCAATCAATGTCAGCAAGAGAGATCATTTTAGATAGTTTAATAAAGGAAAACCAATTCAATATGGAAGTGAGTATCATAGTATTCTTTCAGAATTATCCTGTTTTTTTCTTTACATAAGTCTTATGAACAGTGAAATAACTGCAGGGTCAGAAAATTAAAATTAAGTGATATTGTGTCCGACTCCAGGTGGTAATGAGTTGTGAAGACAGGGCAAACACTGATGAAAAGTATAGAAGAACAAAGTATGCACGATGCTTTATTGCCTGAGAGACTGGTACCATGTGTGGGTCAGTAGTACTAGTCCTGATTCCTTTGATGACTTAAAAATTTTAGGAATTAGGGAGATAAAGGGAGGAAAAGTGGGAGATACCTATAATACTATCAACAATAAAAATATGTATTTTAAAAATTTTAGGAATTATGTCTCTATTTTGATTAAGTTATTCTTCTTTGTCTAAATATTTATAGTAGAACAATCTCAACTTATAAGGGCAGAAAAAGCTTATCAAAGGGATCATGACTTATGAATTAGCCTCTTCAACTAAGAAGCTTTTGAAATTTCTTCATACAATACACAATTAATAGTGTTTACATTTTAATTGTCTATTTAAACAAATTTTTTAGTTTCTTCATTTAGGCCATACATAGCACTTGATAATATTTATGTATAACAAACTTTCCTCCATCTTTTCCCAGCTAAGACTACACATGAAACACCTACCTAGAAGCCATGCATAAAGTCTTCGGTTCAGAGACATGTCCCTCCTTAGTACTACATGAAGGGCTGCTGACAAGATCCTGATCATATCTGGTCGAGTGGCCTGAAAAAGTTAGGAATGTGGTTATATTTAATCACATATAAAAACATTACTTTTTCCTCTTTAAAAAACAAAACACATACCTTACAATACATTCAGAAGTTTATTTTATTAAAGGAAACCTGGTTTTAGCTAAAAAAGGCAAAGTTAAAAGAAAGATAAAAGGAAGCCTGTTAATTGATGTTAGGGTTTTTTCTTTCTTTTTTATTTATTTGTTTTTATAAATCTTTATTTTTGAAAGTATTACATGTCCCTTTTTCCCCCATTGCCCTCTCCTCCCCCTCACCGCCAAGCCTTCATTACCCTATTGTCTGTGCCTATGGGTTATGCATAGATGCATATGAGAATTGATGTTAGTTTTAACAACATTGCTAAATAATCCATTTAGAACAGAAGCTTGGAGTGTGAGCATTAGAAAGTAACACTGAAATCAACTAGTTAACAATCACTCTCAAATGAAAAACCCGAGTTTCACAGAGCCTCAGTACTTAGCCTAATGTAAAAGCCTGGTTAGTGCCCAAGTTGGATAAGAAGTGACCTCCCTTTAATCACAAACTGGTGACCATTTTACTACACCATTCTTCTTGGCAGTATTAAAAAGGGATTCACCCTTTTTATTTGTTTTAAAGGAATCTTAGAGAAATAATTGAGATGTTACAAAATACAAATCATCAACAGCTGACAAATTACAGGCACTCATCAAAACACAAATGTTTTCCATTAACCTAAGAAACTCTCAAAGTGTGATTCCCAGACTCTAAGGCAGTGGTTTTCAACCTTGGCTGCACATTAGAATCATGTGGGAATCTTTTTAAAATCCTGATTTCTGGGCCTCAGGGTTTTAAAAAGATTCCCAGGTGATTCTAATGTGCAGCCAAGGTTGAGAACCACTGCTCTAAGGGAATCTCTAAGACCCTTTCAGGAGGTCCATAAGGTAAAAACTAGATCAGAACAATAGCAAGATGTTCTGTTTTTTTACTATATTGATATTTGCCCTGATCATGTGATAGGGGGTAAAACTGCTGGCATCGCCCTAACCGGTTTGGCTCAGCGGATAGAGTGTCGGCCTGCGGACTCAAGGGTCCCAGGTTCGATTCGCGGTGAAGGGCACATCCCCAGTGTGGAGTGTGCAGGAGGCAGCTGATCGATGTTTCTCTCTCATCGATGTTTCTAACTCTCTATCCCTCTCCTTTCCTCTCTGTAAAAAATCAATAAAATATACTAAAAAATATATACTTTAAAAAAGCTGGCATCTTAGCAAGAAAGGAAGCAGTACAGCAGTGGCAACCACTGCACTTGTAGTCATTGTATTTTTTTAGTGCCATACACTTGTATTACAATAAGAAACCAAAACAAACAATAAAAGTCAGTTTCACTTAAGAATGTTGTTGAAGCAGCAAAAATTTACTTTATAAAATATTGACCCTTTTAGTACATTTTTAAATATTCTGTGTAATAAAATGGGAAGTACACATAACATACTCCTGTGTATACTGCAGTATGATAGATGTCTCAAAGAAACTCACTTGTATGACTGAATTTTGAACTGACCTACCAGATTTTTTTCAGAGAATACCATTTTTACCTGAAAGAATGATTGACACAAACTATGATTATCATGCTTGGACACTTGAAAGACATTTTCTCAAAAAAATTAAAAAATAGCCCTAGCCGGTTTGGCTCAGTAGATGGAGTGTCGGCCTTTGGACCAAAGGGTCCCAGGTTCAATTCTGGTCAAGGGCACATGCCTGGGTTGTGGGCTCGATCCCCAGTGGGGGGTGTGCAGTAGGCAGCCAATCAATTATTTTTTCTCATCATTGATGTTTCTATCTCTCCCTCTTCCTTCCTCTTTGAAATCAATAAAAATATATTTTAAAATAAATAAATAAATAAAATAAAAATAAAGTGAGCCTATCACTTCAAGAAAAACAATTAAAAATTTTTTAAAAAATTAAAATAAGAAAAACAATTAATAGTCATAGAAAGAGGGAAAGTGGAGAACAAAGATGACTTTTTCATGATCCTTATTCTCGGGAAATCTAATGATTTGGTACAGAAATAGAAGAAAGAGTGTTAGAATTGGGCCTGGGTAGGGCATTACTTTTAAAAGATAGTCAACATAGCTGTTATTTTCATAATACGAATTATAGAAGGTAAGGCTTGAAAAAGTCTTGGTTAGGAGGGATACAGAGGTGGTGGAGTAAGAAAGTACTGAAGAAAGCTCAGGCTGAAAAAAGATTGAGAAACAGTGGTCAGTGAAATTACAAATTAATTCTTCTCAATTTAAGTCTACACTGACTTAATTTCTCAGATATTGTTGAGTCACCTATCAGTATACTGAAGAACTAATAATATTGAATGTTTGCAAGGGAAGAAAGCAATGGGAAAGTTTAAGAACAAAGGTCAATAAAGGGACATAATATTTTAAGCTTTTGAGCCACATACATTTCTTTGGCATATTCTTCTTTATTTTCTTTTGTGGGCCTTTAAAAAAGTAAAAATTACTCGTATCTTGTGGGTTATTCACCAGCCCTATACTAGTAAGTTTAGACTACATTGAGATGTCCCAGGGAATGTTCCTGTGAAAAGCCAGAGTGAAATAAGGCTTGATTTAAGGATGGAAAGACTCCAAATAGAAACTGGGGGTGATTTATGTCCCAATTAGCAACAGTATTGGCAATGAAGTATAAAATTCTTCTATTATTGATAATTCAATTTCAAAATTAATAAAGTAATAAAGAAAAAGTTGAGCATGACCGATCATAATAAAACTCACTAGTTATCTAACTACCGTTCTTTAAAGAAACCTCAAATAATAGTTTTTTCTGCTAATGACTTTTAAGAAATAAACTTACATTTCCAAGGTAGAAATTCTCTTATTACTTTTGTTAGACATGTAGTTCACCATTCTGAATGCTTACATACTGGTGCTCTACATCATTCCACATTAAGGTTTACAACTCAAAAGTATTTAGATGACTTCTTTAAAAAAATGAGGATACTGATTAAATTAAAGTTCCAGCAATGAAATGCTTCAATTATGATTTGTTAAATTAATTGCTCCCATTTGTAATAAAAGTTCTAGAGGATATCACTGTGAATCATTATTTGCAAAGGTCTGACAATCTCAAAATCACCAAACCAAGAAAAGAAAACAGGACAGAGATAACAGCTGGTAGAAGGCCTGGGTTCAAAGTCCTGGCACATTCACAACTAGCAATGAGTACTTCCTGCTTATTATAGGTTAGAACTGTTTTTAAAGGTATGAAATGACCTATTTCAATTAACATATTCTTATCCAAATCAACAAACTTTTTTCTGTATAATTGTCACAAGTTCCACTCCTTGAAAGAGCACTTGTTTTCCATGTACTTACTAGTTTATAAAACAAAAGAATCCAGCTTAAATAACTATACATCATAAATTCTGATTTTACAAAGAATGCCTTATATTAATACTAGAGGCCCAGTGCACAAAATTCGTGCACTCGGGTGGTGGGGGGGAGTCCCTCAGAACAGCCTGCTCCCTCTCACAGTCCAGGAGCCCTCAGGGGATGTCCCACTGATGGCAGTTGGACATCCTTAGCGCTGCTGCGGAGGCAGGAGAGGCTCCCACCTCCCACCACCACCGCTGCACTCGCCAGCTGTGAGCCTGGCTCAGAGCTTCTGGCTGAGCAGCGCTCCCCCTGTGGGAGCGCACTGACCACCAGGGGACAGCTCCTGCATTGAGCATCTGCCCCCTGGTGATCAGTGCGCGTCACAGCGACCAGTCATTCTGTCGTTTGGTTGATTTGCATATTAGCCTTTTATTATATAGGATCAGCATTAATGTTTTACCTGACTCATGTGGAATGGAAAACAGAAAAGTATGAGGTCCAGCGTGCTTCTCTGTACAAGTACACTTGAGTCCTGCACCGAGGTACTTACTGCTTCTACCTAAAATGAGAGAGCCTTTAGTATCTATTATCTATTGTTACACTGGGAAACGTTTAACATGAAAATGTAACAACTCTTCATTTTCTCCCATAAATAAAAATATGATTCTGAGCATCTTATCAATAATTAAATATATTTACATCACTCTGAATAGGTAAATACGTATATTATGATGGCTTAAAAATGAAGAAGCACAAGAGTATAAAGCAAAAAGGTTCTCTCCCATCTCCATCTTCCAACCATTCATCCAATTTCCTTTTTGCAAGCAACCAGTATTACTAGTGAATATTTTCTGCAAGTATAAGTAAACAAAAATACACAGGCATATATCCAAAACCCTGCCATTTTCATTTTAAAATATATTTTGGAGATCGTTCGTTATCAGTACATAAAGTACTCTATTATTCTTTATGGCCATGGAAGTACTTTATTTCATATATAAACTCTCTGTATTTAACTAGGTTCCTAAGATAGACATTTATACTGTTTGCAGACATTTATTATTGTAAATAATGCTGCAATATACTTACGTAATATACAAATACATCCCTCAAAGTAGTGTTGCCAGGTCTTAAGGTAAACACAATTGCAACTTAATCAGTGTGATGCTTTAAGGTTACATATATTTATATTCCCACCAGCTATGTGTGACAGTTTCTGTTTTTCCATGTCTACCCATGCATTTTTATTTTTGTCACTCTGATATATGAAAACTGATATCTTGGTGTATTTAAATTTTTATTTCTCTTATAAGTAATGTTGAGCACCTTTTCATGTTTAAATTATTTTTATTTCTTAGGTACATTATCTGTTCAAATGCATTCTTCCACTATATTTATTGATAGTACCTCTTTCAATATTAGAGAGTTTAGTTCTTTCACTATGACTTGTTGCAAATGGTTTTCCAATTATGGCATTTGTCTTTCAAAAAAATTTATAAAATGACTTGTTCAAAACTTTCATTAAATAATTAAAAGGAGCCCAGCCGGCGTGGCTCAGTGGTTGAGCGTTGACCTGGAAACCAGAAGGTCCTGGGTTCGATTTCCGGTCAGGGTACATGCCCGGGTTGCGGGCTTGATCCCCAGTGTGGGGAGTGCAGGAGGCAGCCAATCAATGATTCTCTCTCATCATGGATGTTTCTATCTCTCTCTCCCTCTCTGAAATCAATAAAAAAAAAATTTTTTTAATAATTAAAAGGAAATGCAAAAACCAATACATTTAAAGATCTACATAAAAATGGTGTAGCCATTTTGGAAAATAATATGCCAGTTTCTTGTAAACTTAAATATACATTACAAGAAAATGTAGGAGTAAATACTTGTGACCTTGGATTAGACACAATTTCTTAGATATTATATAACACCGAAAGCACAAATGACAAGAGAAAAAACATAAATTGGACTTGATCAAAATTAAAACTTTTGTGCTTCAAAGGACACAATTAAAAACTGAAATCCTGGCCGGTTTGGCTCAGTTGGTTGAAGCGTTGTCCCATACCCCATTCAATTCCTAATCAGGACACATATCCAGGCTGCAGGTTTGATCCCCGGTGGGATGCATACAGGAGGCAACAGATCCAAGTTTCTCTCTTACATTAATGTTTCTTTCTTTCTCTCTCTCTCCTCTCCCTCTCTCTCTCTAAAATCAATTTTAAAAGAAAACATATCCTCAAGTGAGGATTTAAAAAAAAAGGAAGCTGACAAGATAATCCACAGAATGGGGAAAATATTTTCAAGTCATACATACATATGGGTTTAATATTCAAAATAAATAAAGAACTCTCACAACTCAACAAGAAAAAGAGAAATAACCCAATTTAAATAATGAGCAAGCACTTTGAATAGACACTTCTCCAAAGAAGATATAAAAATGGTCCAAAACTACAAGAAAATACACTCAATATTATTAGTCATTAGAGAAACGCAAATCAAAACTACTTCACATTCACTAGGATGAGTATAATAAAAAGACAGACAATAACATGTGTTCACAAGGATGTGCAGAAGTAGGACCCCTCATATATTGCTGGTGGAAATGTAAATTGGTACAGTCACTATGGAAAACAGCTTTCCAGTTCCTCAAAAAGTTAATCATAGAGTTACCATATGACCCAGCAATTCCACTTCTAAGTATATACTCAAAAGAAAACATGCTTACAGAAACACTTATTCATGAATGTTCATAGAGCATCATTCTTAACAGCGAAAAAGTAGACAAGACCCAGAAGTCCCTCAACTGATGAATGGGAAAACAAAATGTGATACAGATATCCATATAATGGAATATTATTCAGCCATAAAAAGGAGTGAAGTACTGACACATGCTTCAAATCTTGAAAATATTATGGTAAGTGAAAAAAGCCATTCATAAAAGATTACATATTATATAAATCCATTTATATAAAATGTCTAGAACAGGAAATTTACAGAAACAGAAAACAGATAAGTGGTTCCTAGGGGCAGGAATAAAGGAGTATGGTGAGTGGGAATGGGGTAATGAAAATGTTCTGATATTGGATAGTGATGACAGTTGCACAGATTTATGAATATAGTAAAAACCAATAAACTGTACAACTTAAAAGGGTATGTGAATTATATATATCAATAAAGCTGTATTTAAAAAAAGTTAAAAATACATTTACCATATAAACCAAATATTCTATTCCTAGGTATTTTCCCAAGAAATAAGAACATATGTCCACACAAGGAATTCTATGCACATGTTTACAGTACCTTTCCATAATTACCCCAAACTGGAAACAATTTAATCATCCATTAATCAGTGAATAAGTAAACAAACTGTGGTACATTCATACCATACTACACAGCATGATAAAGGAACAAATTACTCATATATGCAAAAACATAAATGAATCTCAAATCTGTTATGTCAAGTGAAGGAAACAAGAATTGCTATGCTCTACCCGCCTGGCTCACTGGTAGAGTGTCAACCTATGAACCAGAAGGTTATGTTTTGATTTCGGTCAGGGAACCTGCCCAGGTTGCAGGCTCAATTCCCAGTAGGGAACTTGCAGGATGCAGCCAATCAATGATTCTCTCTCATCATTGATGTTTTTTATCTCTCTGTCCCTCTCCCCTCGTCTCTGAAATCAATAAAAATATATTTTTAAAAAAAGAATTAATGGCTAATACAGTATTATTCTATTTACATAACATTCTGGGGAAAGCACAACTATGGAAACAGAAAACAGACCAGTGTTTGCAAAAGCCTAGGAGTGTAGGGGAAGGGGAGTGACCACAAAGGGGCACAAAAGAACATTTTATGGTGATATAAATAAATATCCTATATTTTGATTGTAGCATTGGTCTCATGACTATGTGTCTGTCAAAATTCATAAAACTGTACATGCTCGACAAGTTAATTTCAGTGTATGTTAATTATACTTTAATAAATATAACTGAAAATCTGCACAAAAATCTCAATCATATCATAATCATGTGGAAGTAAAGTACAGGATGATTAATTAAAATTTGTGTGTTTTTTTTTTTAATTTTCCAAAGGACCCTTGAGGCTTTGTTTTTTAATCCTTGAGTATTTTAAGAGTACAACCTTCCAGAGATAAATGGTTTCCTTCTATTCTTAATCTTCAAATTAAAAAAGTATAAACAATCAGTGTGATTTTTTCCACTATCTGATTTTAGTACTACATCCTCTGACACAAATCCCACACAGAATATAGCTATCATTTTGTCTAAAACATGTCTTTCCTACAAAGAAAACTATGATCAAAGAGAAGGTTCATTTCAGAATAACATAATAAATGTGGCTATGTTAACAGTGGTCTGATAAGAAAGCAAGATGATATAAAGACTACTTATTTGCTTGAATAACAGATAATAAAAATAACATATAAATAACAATTTCCTTTTCATGAAAAAAAAATTCTGAAGATTTTAAAAACAATAATTACTGATTATTTTTGTCTTAAGTTTCCTTGATGAAAAAGGTAAGCTCCATGAAAATAGGAACTTTGTTTGTGGCATGACTTTCAATAACTGTCTGAAATAGTGTACTGATTCTAAAGAAGTATTTGTTCAAGGAGCAACCATATATGGACCTACCATTAACTCAATATCACTGCCAATTATATAAAGTTGATCTTCCATGGAAAGCTTCCTGTTCAAATGGGCGAGAACATACGTGATTCCAGGTAAACGCACAGCAGGACTGGTGAGAAGACTACCCCAGAGGGCACTATAGAATGCTGATTGGTCCACTGCAGCAGCAACCTTTTCCAACAATGTGTTTGTTCTGAGGACAAAATAAGATAGTTTAAGAAGGGAATGATTTATTGTCAGATAATAAATTGTTATTCTCTTCCAGCAAGTATGAAAGTATCCATGTTATAGTCATATGCTCCACTCCAGAGACAAGTGTGGTAGCCTGGAAGAAGCATGTACTTTAGAAATCAGAGGACTGGATTTAAGTCCCGTCTCCACCATTTACTAGCTGTGTAATTTGGGAAATCACTTAATACATCTTCAGTTCAGTTTCTTCATCTATAAAACTAAGATAACAAAAACAATATCACAAGTCCTATCTATTTCAGCGGGTTGTTAAACACCATACACTTTTAGTTAGTAGTACTCTTATAGCAAAACATATTTTCTGTTAATTTTCAATAAAATCTTAAAAGGGCATTTCCAAATATTTCCTTCTCTTTAAAATCACACTATGTAATTCACAACAACTTTGATGAATTAGACCTATAACAAAATCATTACTGCTCTAT